GGGTGAGGCGATGAACCCCCTGATGCGTCTGGCCAACAAGTCCGGTTTCCTCCAGAGCGCGACGGATCTCACAGGCGCCCCTGCGGCTTCCAAACGCCGCATGGTGCTCATTGCCACCATGGAATATGACATTGAGGACTGGGCTATCAAGATCAAGATCGGTGGTCTCGGTGTCATGGCTCAACTGATGGGCAAGACCCTCGGCCACCAGGATCTCATCTGGGTCGTGCCCTGCGTCGGCGGAGTGGACTACCCTGTTGACCGGCCAGCGGAACCCATGATTGTCACCATTCTGGGCAAGCCGTATGAGGTCCAGGTGCAGTACCACACCTTGCAGAATATCACCTATGTCTTGCTGGACGCCCCAGTTTTCCGTCAGCAGTCCAAGTCAGAACCCTACCCACCGCGTATGGACGACCTCGACAGTGCCATTTACTATTCCGCATGGAATCAGTGTATTGCTCAGACTATCAAGCGGTTCCCCATTGACCTTTACCATATCAACGATTACCACGGTTCCCTGGCACCCCTCTACCTCCTGCCGCAAACAATCCCCGCCTGTCTGTCTCTGCACAACGCCGAGTTCCAGGGTCTCTGGCCCATGCGGACCGAGAAGGAAAAGGAAGAGGTCTGCTCGGTTTTCAACCTGGATAAGGAAATCACCCGCCGCTACGTTCAGTTCGGTGAGGTTTTCAACCTGCTCCATGCCGGTGCCAGTTATCTGCGTGTCCACCAGCAAGGATTCGGTGCTGTCGGTGTCTCCAAGAAATACGGTAAACGGTCGTACGCTCGGTATCCCATCTTCTGGGGTCTCAAGAAGGTCGGCAACCTGCCCAACCCGGATCCATCGGACATTGGCGAGTGGAACAGGGAAAAGGCCCTCGCCAAGGGTGAGGACCCGCCTGTTGATCAGGAATTCGAAGCTGGTCGCGCGGAGCTCAAACGCCAGGCTCAAGAATGGGCTGGCCTGGAGCAGAACCCGGACGCTGATCTCCTCGTGTTCGTTGGTCGGTGGTCCATGCAGAAGGGTGTGGATCTGATTGCGGATGTCATGCCTGCTGTTCTCGAGGCTCGGCCTAATGTCCAGCTGATCTGTGTCGGCCCTGTCATCGATCTGTACGGCAAGTTCGCTGCCCTGAAGCTGGATCGTATGATGAAGGTCTATCCTGGCCGTGTCTTCTCTCGTCCTCAGTTCACTGCTCTGCCCCCTTACATCTTCTCCGGTGCTGAATTCGCCCTCATTCCCTCTCGTGACGAACCGTTTGGTTTGGTCGCCGTCGAATTCGGCCGTAAGGGTGCTCTCGGTATCGGTGCTCGCGTCGGTGGTCTCGGTCAGATGCCTGGTTGGTGGTATAACGTCGAGTCGATGACCACTACCCATCTGCTCAATCAGTTCAAGCTGGCGATTGACGGTGCTTTGAACTCGAAGCCCGAGGTCCGTGCTAAGATGCGTGCTCGTTCAGCCAAGCAGCGGTTCCCCGTCGCTCAGTGGATTGAGGATCTCGAGATCCTGCAGGGTACATCCATCCGAATCCACAACAAGGAGGCCTCCAAGTCCAACAATCGTCCCGTGACCCCTACCGGCCCCATGACACCTCGCGGACTGGGTGCTATGAGCCCAACTTTCCCCGGTAGTGGAACCCAGACCCCTGTTGGCATGCACTCTCGCGAAGCCAGCTACGTGAACCTGAGGCAATTGTCCGAAATTGGCCCACAGCAGCGCGACACCATCATTTCCTACAGCAACAACAACGCTGGCCGGGAGATGACTGAGAAGCCTGCTCCGGGATTGAGCCGTAAACTGTCGCTTGGTGTCCGTTCTGGCCCTGGTCATCTCAACCGTCCTGGGCGACGTGGACAGGGACAGCAGGACCTTGCTCTGCCCGATCGCAGGGATGGTGGTGATGTTTCCGATATCGAGGAGGAGGAGAGTGACGATGACTTCATTGATCACTACTATGGCGACGATGAATATACTCTCACGCCCGAGCAGGCCGAGGAAGGTCGACGACTCCAGAACAACCCCCAGTCCCAAAGTGGACGTGCCACCCCGAGAGAACTTGTCCGCTCCGCGCAATTCCCCTCGAGCCCATCCGTTCATTCTGACATGGGCCTTGCTCCCCCCACCCGGCCATTCCTGGAACCTGGCAATCGTCTGAGCAGTGCCTCGGTGCTGTCGGTCGATTCCATCGTTGGTGACAAGAAGGACTTCAAGCTGCAAAAGGTGGATCCCTTCTTCACGGACAGCCATGGTGACTACGCTCGCTTGTTCGAAAAGAGTCTGGAGAGCTTGAACGCCTCCAACTCCGAGTCGCAGCTCTGCATTGAAGAGTTCCTGGTCAAGAGTGAAAAGGAATGGTTCGACAAGTTCCGCGATGCCAAGCTGGGTCGTCTGAATTCGCCCGCTCCATCTGTCTTCCGTGGTAAGCGTGGTCCTTCGCCTGTGGATTCCTACTACGGGGATGACGCCTCGTCGCGTATGAGCCCGGATGATGATCAGCAGTCCCAGGAAGATGACGAATTTCTCCTAGGCAAGGACTATGTCCCTCCGACCGGCCTGCGCAAGTGGATGCAGCTGCGCATTGGAGACTGGCCAGTATATTCCCTTTTGCTGGGCTTGGGCCAGATCATCGCCGCCAATTCGTACCAGATCACCTTGCTGACCGGCGAGGTTGGTCAAACCGCGGAGAAGCTGTACGGAATCGCGACCACGTACCTGATTACCTCGATTCTGTGGTGGTTTGTCTTCCGTTACTTCAAGTCGATCGTCTGTCTTTCCGTCCCCTGGTTCTTCTACGGTTTGGCATTCCTTCTCATTGGCCTCGCCCATTTCGAGCACGATGAGTTCGCCCGAGGATGGATTCAGAACGTCGCCAGTGGCTTCTACGCGGCCGCTTCCTCCAGCGGGTCGATTTTCTTCGCCCTCAATTTTGGTGATGAAAGCGGTGCGCCGGTCAAAGAATGGGTCTTCCGTGCCTGTGTCATCCAGGGCACGCAGCAGGCTTATGTCATTGCACTGTGGTACTGGGGTTCGACGCTCACCAAGGCCTCTAGCCAGGGCCTCCTGACCACTGAGACCAACATCGCCAACACCTGGAAGATGACCGCCATCTGTGTCCCGATTACCGTGCTCCTGTGGGGTGTTGGTCTTCTCATGTTCTACGGCCTTCCCAACTACTACCGCCAGAGCCCTGGTAAGGTTCCGTCCTTCTACCGCTCGGTGTTCCGCCGCAAGATCGTCATCTGGAACTTTGCCGTCGTCATCATCCAAAACTTCTTCCTCAGTGCTCCTTACGGCCGCAACTGGAATTGTAAGTCAACTTCATCTGTCCAGTGAATCGAGATACTAACCCCTGTTACAGTCCTCTGGAGTTCAAACCACGCAACAACCTGGCAAATCGTCATTCTCTGCGTCGTCTTCTTCGGTTTCGTCTGGGCCGGCTTCCTCTTCATCCTCAGCCACCTCTCCAAACAACACAGCTGGATCCTCCCCGTGTTCGCCTGCGGTCTTGGAGCCCCCCGCTGGTGCCAGATCTGGTGGGGTGTCTCCGGCATCGGGTACTACATGCCCTGGGTCGCAGGCGGGCTCACGGGCGGCGCTCTGGCATCCCGCAGCGTCTGGCTGTGGCTGGGCGTTCTCGACGCAATCCAGGGCCTGGGCTTCGGTATGATCCTGCTACAGACCCTGACCCGCATGCACATGTGCTTCACCCTCATCGTGTGCCAAGTGCTGGGATCCATCGCCACGATCTGCGCCCGAGCCTTTGCCCCCAACAACGTCGGCCCGGGCCCTATCTCGCCCGATCCCACCTTTGGCGCGAGCGCCGTGGCGAACGCGTGGTTCTGGATCGCCCTGGTCTTCCAGCTGCTCATCTGGTAAGTTCTGCCTCTTTCTCTATCTCTCCTATTCTATGCACCTCGAACATAGCTAATACGTTGCAGTGCTGGGTTCCTCGTCTTCTTCCGCAGAGAACAGCTCTCCAAGCCCTAAGGCACAGGCACTACCATCGCTCCTTAACGATTTGATTTCATTGTTGTTGGCATATTTTGCATATACATGCTTCCTGTATAGATACGACATTTTGCATATATAGATGTGTCATGACTACCTCGCTGGGTCTTTCCGCTGTGGCTTGATGTCCGGAGTTCAACGAGGGTATGACCATGTGTTTATAGAAAGTTTACATAATACTTAATTGCGTTTTACCACATGCAGTAGTATGCCGTAGGCCCTCTATGGTTTGCTTTGTCCTAGCCACATTACCTCGTTGTAGTCTCTAAATAGCTAAGTCATTGTAGATAACTTGCTCATTCTCTTCTCCCAAAGTGATTCTTGTGGACCGCAGAGACACGGTAGTAGATCACCTTGTGCTGTTCGTGAGGCCTGGCCGGGTCTCGGGTATAGCCACCTACTAATTGACACATCGGTATCCTACATGAGGCAAGAAATCCTCCTGCCTAACACAGCCCAGCCAAATCAGTCAGGATCTGTCTCTCAGTGGACTCAGTGCCAAGAGGAGGTAAAAATGGGGAGAACCCTGACGGTATGCCAAGAGACACTGTGGGCCCGATCTAGCATAGCGAAACGAGCTTATTTCTCAGTAGCCAATCAAGAATGGTAAGTTAATACAGCTAGGCCAAACCTGGCTGGTATATTACCGTTTTTCGCATCTCTCGTGTTTCCTACTGGTCAAGCCTCAAATCCAGGGAGCGGAATCATCTGGTTGCAGATGGATGAGACTGAATGCGAGTGCGAGTACGGGTATTGAACCACTGAAGAGAGATTTTCAAGGCAGCAGCATTTACTATGGCGTTTGGAAAAGAGAAGATGGTGCCAGATGTGGACTATATATGTCCCTATTCCATGTCCAATATGCCTCCTAGGACAACATCAAGGATCAGCGCATGCTCTTACAATTGTCACTTACAAACTCTCTCTCTCTCTCTCTCTCTCTCTCTCTCTCTCTGTGCCCTTCTCTTAGTCATTGAGTTCCAGCGCCATGGCCTCAGACAAGGATAACAACATCTACTTCTACAATCCCTCCCTCGGGGCCGCCGTCCTCTTCGCCATCATCTACATCATCCCCCTCATCTACCAGTCATACATGACATTCATCTTCCCCCGGAAAGCCCAAACACCACGAACCAACTACTTCATCCCGACGGTGATTGGCGCCGCCCTCGAAGTAGCAGGCTACGCAACCCGCTGCGCCAGCGTCCAGAAACCAGGCAATGTCGGCCTGTACGCCGTCTCCAGCACCATCATCGTCATCGCCCCCGTCTTCGTCTGCGCGAGTCTCTACATGCTTCTTGGCAAGCTGGAGACGAGCCCCGACAATGGTGCCAAGAAGCCCGCGAGCTTTCTGCGTAGGGGGTCGGGTCGATGGCTGCCGTGGGTATTTCTGGCGTTGGATATTCTGGCGGTGCTGACGCAGGGGTCTGGGAGTGGGATTGCGTCCTCGGGGAACTGGGAGGGGTCGACCAAGGACACGGGGATTGGGGTGTTGATTGGGGGGTTGGTGTTGCAGGTTGTTACGTTTGCGACGTACCTGGTTATTATGGTTTGGTTTCATTGGAGGGCGACGGTGGAGGGTGGCCAGTTGCCGCATGGGGTTCGGATGGTCATGAAGGGGGTATATATTGCTGGGTTTTTTATTATGGTAAGTCTGGGTTTGAATCTTGGAGAGAAGGCTACTGCTGACGGTAAAAGCTCCGCTCTATCTATCGGGTGTTTGAATTTGCATTCGGCATTGACTCGTACACGTTTACGCATGAATGGCCGTTGTATGTGCTCGAGGCTGTTCCCATGTTTGTCGCCTTGTTGGTCTTGGGCTGGTTCCATCCGGCGCGCTGGTTGGCAATGTCTGGGCTGGAAGGGGAGCAGGTCTATCCTCTGCGAAAGTCCCATAGACGACAAGACACCGAAGAGCAATCTCTAGCTTGAGGATACGGGACCAGAGTCTGACCTGGATAGGGAATTGTAGATGTCGATGCTTGGGTTATACAGAGGGGATTGGCAATGCAAACATTTCTATACAATGATGTCTATGAATTTGACTTGATTATTGCGCTATTGTCTCACGAAGCTGTTATTAGATGACGTGCATGTACTGCTCTTATACTATTGCATCACCGAGTCTCTTCTAATACTTGAAACCCTCCAGGCTTGGCGCATCCTAGCCACGCTGTCGTCTCCATGTCAAAGAACTGAGCATGCAAATTGGGAATTGCACCGTCAGACCGCGTACCGCGACTGCTTCTCATAGAACTCTCATCTGCAGCTATGATTTGCATCGGTAACTCTATCAACTCGCGCATCGAAGATGGTAGCTCTCGGTATATGGCATGCGCCCACTGATGTACGACCGACTCTCTTTGTAGGAACGTAGTGCCACTTAGCTCCCGCAGCCTGATATAAACCGGCTGCATAAGGAGCTCGATGACAAGGAAATACATGAACAAAGCTCGCGAAACGTGGTTCGCCGGCGCGATGAACATGAGAAACTCTCGATTCTCGGCCTCGTACCACACCGCATAGATCCTGGTGAGCTTGACAAACGCTGCGCGGTTGGAGATTGCGAGGGCGGTAAGTGTCTCCCGTAGCGCTCGAAAGAAACGGTGATGTATGGTGCTTTGAAAGAGAGGTTGTAATCTATCTATTGACGCGAGAAGGCTGTCGATCAGGAGGGGACTGCTGACGGGTTCGTCGGCAAGTGCCAGGGCTACCTCGGCCGCCTCCTCCTCCGTCTGCAGATGGAATAGCTGGCTTGTTTTGTATTTGTCTATGATGCAGTTGGTGATCACTCCACAGCCGCGGACCGTGACTGCGAAGTCGACGAGGCCATCATGCATGTGGTATGCCTGGAACACGAGAGCATAGCATGTGGCCAGGATGACGTCCATGTCGGTCGTTGTGCATTCTGGGCCTTTTCCTATCGCTGCCGCTAACGCTTTCAGTGCCTTGCCTCTGTGGATAATCGCCGTAGAGGAGTATTCCGATCCATTAGGCGAGACGAGGGAGTAGTGAGTAGCTCCTAGCGCAAGGATCGCGTGCATCAGATGGGGATACTACGGTGGAAGCATCAGCTATAGCCCGTGGGATTTTGGCAAGATAATCACCTCATGCGCATATCTGGGTACTTCGGTCGCCCATGTCTCCTCACTCCCAAAGGGCAGATGCGGGCGCGCAACGACGAGGTAATGATGAAAGAATCGCATGTCATCGCCACTGAACGGACTGACAGCAAGCCCTTGCGAAGGTGATAGCTGCTTGCCACTTTGTGATGATGCAACCACAGCATCCTGTCGCGACGCCGGCCGCTTCCCTGCACCAACCCAGTCCCGGACTTTAGATGGATAAACACATTCCATGTCTCGGTACATGCAGTTCTCGCATGCCGGCTTGGTTTCTTGACACTGCACTCGTCAACGTCGTTCCGAAATCCGGGGATCAAACGTACCTTTACCCTCCGGGCTCTGCAGTTGTAGCAACCCCAGCGAGACTTGGTATGCGGTCGTTTCTGTCTTTGATTAGTCATGATTTTTCCTTGTTCCCCCGACTGTAACTTGTGCCGATCTGGCAATTCGGCCTTATTAGAAGCGTCAGAGTCGGGAGACAAGGACAAAACCCCAGACCTCATTTGCCCTTGCATATCCATTGAGCGTATACTAGGATCAAAGCAAAGACTTTTGCTGAAATGATGATGATGACACCGATAAAATATTGATGAAAGTATTCAGATAAGCATATTTGATGAAGAAGATCGTTGATGTAATCCAGGCAGCAACCGAATTGGGCGAATACGAGCTTCGTCGGCCTCCCACCAATAATAACGAATACCAATGAATAAGCAGCTCCGACTCCTTTGACTCATCGAGACCGTTCCTTCTTCGCTTTTCCGATGCTACGGTGAAGACAGCTTGCTCACTCGGTCCAGCTCTAATCTCATTCTGTCTGATCTATCCTTTAAAATTTGTTGCCCCTGTTGGTTAAATCGAATTTCCTTGATGGGACTCTGCTGCCATGCGGTCCCTATCCTGACCATCGAAGCCGCTCCCTCCAGGTATCATCCAGACAACGGGCTGTGAACTCGTTTGCTTCTGTGATGGATGCATCTCGGAACCGACCATAATAGAATGGGAGGGTTCCTGCCGTATACCCGTCGACTCGAAGATGTTGACGAGACTCACGGCAGGCTGAGTATTGACCGCGAGCTTGCCCTTGGTGCCATCTCAGTACCTAGCCGCGGTCAGGTACTGGCTCATGAAGTCTAAGAGCACGATGGAGGCACAGAATATGCATTTGTGTTCTATTCATAGCCATCATGGAAGCGATGCCGTTAGGACTGGAGGCCTGAGGGACTAAAAGTGGGACAAAAATCGACGGTCTATCTTGGCAATCTGCTACGTGCATCTTTCAAAAGGCTTCAGAAGGCTGCTTCAATGACATCCGTCAACTTTGCCATCCTCCCTACTCAACATACAAGATATGGATCCATTTCGCAAACTCCCAACCGAGATCATCCTTCAGATTCTAAAGTCATGCTGTGATTTCACCAGCCTCGACGGTCTTCTGCAAATGTCCCCGGTGGTCAACGACGTGTTCACCTATTTCTATGCGGAGATCACAGAGGCGGTGCTGGTGTCTTGTCCAATGACCGGGAATGGGATTGAGAAGGATTTCAAGCTCCTAGTCGCTATATACTCAACAACGACCTTTACACCCTCGACCATCCTCGACTTTCTTCAACGCACACCAGGAGATCCCTTTCCTCCTGCGTTGCAGGCGTTCCAATCATTCCGACCACTAGACTCAGACGCAGCACTCAGGCGAGTCGTATCGACAGCGGCCAACATCCATCGTCTAGCTTGTGCCTGCCTTGACACATTTATCCACCGCATCAAGACAACGACGCCATCCCGCGCAACTGTGTCTGACGGTCAACTTTACAGTTGGCTGTGGAACAAAGAGCCGGACCCTCCAGCTGAGCCATTTCAACTCAAAGGCACTCATCACCCACGTTGGGTGGAGCAATACCGAGTACACCGTGTCTTGTGGGCGGTCCAGATCTACAGTGAACTTTGTGCCGCAGCAGAGAAGCGCTGGTCCTGGTCGCAAGACGATATAGATCGACTATTCGACAAGGATGTAACAACGGCCAATTCAGTTTTGCGCGAGGACGAAGTTCCAGCAATCACCGAGTGCTTGAATGATTTGTCACCCACCCCCTTATCACCGGTCCACATCAAATTCCCGGCACTGACTCACCTACCGTCTCCAGAAAATCTGGCTGTGAAATCATGCTGGGATTTGCCTAGTGTCCCTCTGGCCCGAAGAACAATTTCTCTAGAAACGCACCCCTGGGGAAACACGATAAACAGTGGCCGAGGTTGCGGTATAGGAATGATGTTTTATGGTCGATTTGGCGGTTCCTACAATAATCCGAGAAGTCCTCTTTGGCGATGCGATACCCGGGCCTTTAGGCGCCTCGGTATTATTTTTTGGGACCAGTGGCGATTATATCAAATGGAGCTGCTCCAACAGTCATATAGAGTCCTCACTCCTGAAGGAGAATATGTTGGGGGGAGAAATGAGAGATCCAGTCTGGCCATCGCCTACGTATGGTTCAGTCTGGCGAAGAATGGATATCTGAGGGAGCGTCCTATCAATCCATTCGCCAAAAATCCACTTAATTCATGGCTTTGTTGATTGCAAAAAGAGTAGCTAGTATTGACAAAGCTATTGCAATATAAGCGTATCAAGTCTTCTGCGCCGTCAGTCTGCTCCTTGCTCCTTATAAGTCCAACCAGTTGCATCCAGGCTATCCAATATGCAATGGACAAAAGGGGACAGTCTACAGAACTATCCAATCTATCATGTCTATTTCTTCCTTGCCGGCGCATTGCTTCAATTATGTACCATATAGACATTGGCCAAGTGGCCCGCCTCCAACGCAGCACAGCGGCAGCAACAGTCCGGGTCATACTACCAGCAATAGCACTACTGACGAGGTTCCTGGCCGTGTCAATGTCGGCAAGACTCTCGACATCGGCCTTCAAGACTGGCCGCACTGTGTGCGCGGAATTGTGCCTCAGCCATAGATGTATCATGTGCCCCATTTTCACGCCTAGGGTGCTCCATAGCCCATATGTTCGACGACGAGTCTAAAAGTCTCCGTATTGAGCCTCTAATGCATATTCGGGCCTACAACAAATCAGCCAGGCGGACGTACAGTACTTGACAGCCAATGAAATCCCAACCCATTGACGGGGAGGCGGAGACGTTGGTGTTGTCTTTAGGGGCAACGCGGTGACAGCCTCCATGAAGGGCACAATTCGTTCCTTTGACGGCGGGGGAAACACAAGGCCTCCGCCGCCTGTCAACACTGACCGCTAGCAGGCTCCTTTCCAACACATTTGAGGCACGTTGTCGCGGCCACCGGGACGGTTACCGATAGGGTGTAGAGGATGCCTGCAAACATGCCCGGCCACGGTACTCAACGCCTTCGTCACTTGACGTCACTTCGAGCCAGAAAACTGTCAAAATCCCCCCTATCTGTCGGATGAGCCAATTGCATTTTTTGAGTTTCATTCACCCTTATCTCGGGATTCCTCACCGTTGAAGGCTTACCGATGGTGGATCTGTGGGTTCGGTGGCAGGAAGGACAACACCGCTCACTGTTTTTTCCCGCTTGACAGGAATAGTTCCTAACTCCTTATGCTTCAATCTTTGGTCACTGGATAGGTTCGAATATGATATCGTATGCTCTGAACAGAGGCATTGCAGGTTGCGGAAGTGGGATTGTGATATGAAATGCAAGGTGTTTTACGATATATCACAACTGACTGGGTCATTCGAATGCACACTCACATAAGCAAATCAGGATATGGGCGGACCATGCAATATGTCTAAGAACAATCGTGCAGGCGGCCATTTCAAGGTCGCCCAACCATTGCCAGAGTCTGCACTGATGCCTCACCGTATGCCATCACCCTGCAGGTGCCACGTCAACACACTCCCCGTATTAAACTTCGATATACCCCACGGTCATAGCGATCAAACTACCAACCGCGCAATATTAATCCCGCCATGGAAGTCGACGCTGCAACCCTTTTCAACGAGCTTGGAGAGCGTTATGAAGACGCCTATGCCGAGAGTCCCGGGCTGCTCCAAGTCACCGAATATGTGGTGAGCAAGCTTCCACGCAGCAGCCATGTCCTCGACGTCGGTTGCGGAACCGGCAAACCGGTCGCTGCAGCACTCGCATCCGCCGGTCACACCGTCTACGGCATTGACGTTGCTGAGAATATGGTGAGGATTGCAGCCAGCCAAGTTCGAGGGACATTCTCAACGGCCGATATGCGGACCTACACGCCTCCGGTCAAAATGGACGCCGTGTTTGCAATCTACTCGCTCTTTCAGATCCACCCAAGTGATACTCATAAAGTGGTGTACCGGTTCGCTGAGTGGTTGAAGGAGGATGGGATCCTCGTACTTGGTGTGACGCCTTCCTGGGCCCTTGTGGGAGGAAAGGGCGTACATGATCCCGTCTGGGATTGTATGAGGTCGAAAGTGACGTGGATGGAGAGGCCAGTGTCTGAACTGTACCTTTCCCAGACGGCTTGGTTGAATTTACTGCGCGAAGCTGGTTTTGCAATTGAGGTTGAAAAGATGTTCAACTACATACCCAAGGACTCCAAGCATACGCGAAACGAGACTCATTATTTGATCGTCGGGAGGAAATTGGAGCCACGCCCGTTGCTGGGACCGTATCCTTTGCCTGAAGGCCTCCCGGGAAAGTCAATGCGCAACGAGGCGGCTTGGAGACGGCTGCAGGGCCACCTGGTCTTGAGGGATGATGAGAGGATGAGGCTGTCCTCTATGCTGGAGAGCCATCAAAGGATACTGGATATTGGGGGTGGGCTGCAAGGTGAGCCATGGACGCATTCTTCCTCGGTATATGCTGGCTTCTGATTGTCGCAGACTTCCTTGGTACGGCATCAACAGGAGACAAGTCCATGGAGACTTTGGCTACTCCATTCGACAATCTCCCATACGCAGATGCCCAGTTTGATGCCGTCATTGCAACCATGAGTCTCGACTATGTTGACGATCTTCGCGGTTTCTTGCTAGAAGTCGTCCGCGTGGTTAACAAGTCATCCTCGAATGCGCGGGTCATTCTGATCCAGGCTGCACCATACAACGAAGTCCAGAAATTGGTGAACACCGTGTGTACCCCATTGAGCGGCACAAACCCAGGACCAGCCCATCAGGGCCTGCTACTTCAATCTGCCAAGAAGGTATTGGCGGAGATCGGATTCGGGAGGACTTCCCTCCATCCTCTCAGTACTTCTTATTCCTTCGGCGGGAATAGTCCATCCGATCGGAGCAACGAACTCGCCGAATTGTTGCACAATGTCTGGTTTCATGGCGAGGAAAAGCATGAGCAGATGAAGCAGCAGTTAATCCCCCCGATACAGAATCTCCTGCATGACCATCCCGGCTTCCTCCAGAATGAACTAGTGATTCTGGAAGCCGTCTTGGATGATCATTAAGTCTATATGCGCACGGCTGAGAATTACCCTATTATTATCTTTTGAAGACTGTCCCATCATCTGAAACGGTAATTAAACTACGCGTTAGATCTGAATTTTGCGATTTATCTTCAAATTCGTGTAAAATCTTCTGCATTGGTATCAGCCATTCTCATTGTCCAGACAGTAGAACAAATCTGACATAGGTCACAATCAATCAGCTCTTCAAAGGGTATCACAACACAAATGAGCCATGTCTCTTAAGCAATCGAGCAAGCTCCATATTCATAATATTCTTCACAGAGGGGCAACTGAGCCAGACATTCACAAAGAAAACAGACAAGGATCAAGGGTATCAAATCGAGTTAACAAGCAAAAAAATATCTTCTCCAAATCCTGAAAGCAAAATCAAAGTCAACACATGTTCCAACTAGTCGGAGCCTTCGTCTGACGACGACTGCAGCTCTCATATTCTCTCATCACAACACGGATCTCATCTTGGCCCAAGGGCGCATATTGACCAGATATCCACGAAGCGTGCTCGAGGGCATTGCTTCAACTTTTGGACGGCTTGTCTCGGCAAAACACTCGAAAATCTCATTTTCCTCAAACAAGTAAGCAAAGAGGAACGGGGTGTGGCCATGCGCATTCTCAGCGCGTGGGTTTGCTCCAGCCTGCACAAGCAGGCGAGCCAAAGTTACTGAGCGCAGCACGACAGCAAAATGGAGGGGAGTAAGTCCATCGTTATCTTTGGTGTTCACATCTGCACCTCTGTCAAGGAGGAGGCGGACCATCTTCTCCTGTCCTGCTTGGACAGCGACATGGAGGGGAGTGCGTCCTTTTGCATCTACAGCGTTGATATCATCTCCGTGTTCGATGAACGTGAGTGCAAAGTTGGGATATCCGAATTCTGCTGCGTCGTGGAGAGCAGTTCGCTCTTGACGAATCTGCTTCTCAGGGTCCTCGGTCTTCGGGGACTCCTGAGTGCTGGTTTCAGGGCTGAGGCAGTTCTGCTTCATGAGCTGCTCAAGCTCTTGTGGGTTGGTCTGGTAGGATAGTCTTTCCTTGAATCTGGACTGCATGGTGACTGTTTGAGAAGGTCTTTGCGATGGATGTTGCGATGGGTTCACTTGATTGATGAGGTGTACGATGGCGATTGAGCAAATAAAGAATGCTGAGAAGAGAGAAGAGAGAGGAGAACGTCGGGGGACGTTCTCAGTCCTCTCGTCCTGGGGATGTGCGACTCACAGTGACGTATAATGGTGACATATTGATGACAGCGTCTTGTGATATCATTTACCCTATATCAGAAGTTCCAGCATAAGATACTCGGGGCCTTAGGCAACTACGTGAGCGCTATTTCCTGTAAGTATGAATAGCGCGCAGTACTCTGCCTGACTAGGGTGTGGCATGGTTAAGCTACCTTCTCGTGGTGGCCCGGTTTTCAACTAAAAGCTGATGGCGGTGTGCGAGACAAGCAAACACTTAGGAGGGTGATAGGCTCATGAACATCTTCCGGGGAGAGGGCCTCAGCTGTTAGCCTTCTTGATGTCGTAGGAGGGGGCTTGTCAAGCAGAATATGCGCTATCATTCCTACGATGCTGGAAATGTCGCCTGGACAGCTTTTTGGTCTGCTGGATTGATGGCTGAGAGTGCTGAACTACATCAATCTATCGTGCCCTTGTCCAGCTATTTCTGGGATGTAATCTACCCAGTTAGTAGTGACTCTCCCGCCTGTGGTTGGTGAGGGGAGCATCCCAACTTTATACGTATATAGTTAGTGGCCGCTAGTGTCTTTTTGTGCCAGGGGAACCTGGCTGATCCTTGATGGTCAGGGGCTCCCAGTGTAATTGGAATCTGCTATCAGATATGGTGGAGCCGATAAAATGTTGAAATGAAAGCATATCTGATACTCGCAATGTCATAATAATGTTTCAGACAGGACATGAATATAATATATGCATTAGATACGAAGCCGTACAACTCTATACTTGACCTTTGGATAGCACGGGCCGTCCATTCTTCAACGTGTCCTTTTTCACCGCTCCAGTTGAACAGGGCACGTTTAGGTCGCTTTGTCAGCAATACGAATGTTGAGACGTCTACCCATTTCTACATCTGGCAATTGACATTACAAATCATTGTTACTCTAGGCTGCTCTAGAAATTCTATTGCTTTGTAATTCAGCTGGATTGAGAACATTCGACTCGTATCGATGGTGGGGCTTTCATGTTGATCATGTTGGTGAGCGTTTAGGATAAGTATAAATGAGCAGGAAGTCCAAATCATTTAGATAGCGAAAGAACAACGGCAACAAAGATCATAAACACAATCACTACTTTTTCCACTAGAGACTCAAGCAAAATGACCTCCTCTCTCTACACTTACACCGTCCCCACCTACCTCAAGGGCCTGGAAACCCTCACCCTCATCCTCAAAAAGGCCGAAGAATACGCCAAAGAAAACAACATCCCCCTCTCCGAGTTCGCTGAGGCCCGTCTCTACCCAAACATGCTCCCTCTGAGCTTTCAAGTCCAATCCGTCAGCAACACTTCCAAGAACTCCGTCGCCCGACTCGCTGGCACCGAAAATGTGTCTATGGAAGACAACGAGAAAACCTTTGAGGAGTTCTACGATCGCATCAACCGGACCATCGAGGTGATCAAGGCCGTTGATCCCAAGCTCTTCGAGGGCAAAGATCACACCGAGTTCCATGTGAAGTTTGGCTCGTATGAGTCGACCTTTACCGGCGAGACATACGTGAATCGTTTTGGGCTGCCGAATTTCTTCTTCCATCTGAACATGGCGTATGCGATCTTGAGAAGTAAGGGAGTGCCGCTTGGGAAATTTGATTATCTCAAGTATTTCAATGCTTGATCTACTGGTGTTTGCAATTGAGCAAGTGGGATAGGCAATATGAATCATGAGTCGTTAGTTATACATTATGCTACAAATACAGAGTATGAAACAAGTATGGTATAGTACATTGCTTAAACAAGACAAAGTGACCTATCCTCCCATCAGTAGATGACCAATGACCGGCGTTTAATCAGACATGGCCTGTTCTCGTTAGTGGCAGTGACATGGACAACAGGCCAAGAGTCAAACTTACGTCCAAGAGGCTTAGCTCTCTTCGAGATGGACTTGGCCTGATACTGCTTATGCTTGGCCAGTCGCGCCCTATCAAAGCCACTTAGTGGTCGCATACGCAGTACACAGCCAGCAGAACTTACTCTTCAGCCGCTTCGTGCTCCAGTCGTTTCACATGTTCCCTAGCTTCGCGCACCGCCATCCGAGATTCCCTCAGAGCGTGATCGGCTGCTTTCTCTGCCGACTCGGCTCGGAGGACCTGCTCCTTGGCTGCTGCGATGGAGGGGTCTTCATGGTGTCGGCCGAGCAGGCCGCGACGTTGGGTGTGTCCGCTCGAGTAGCTACCCGAGGAACGGCGAGAGGAGTGGCTGGAATATGAGTTACGACCACCGAATAACCCGTGGCTGCGTTGGTTGGGCTCCTCGATGCTACGAGCCGAGGTGGAGGAGGAGCCGGATACTGAATTGCGGTGGAAGAGAGGCATGCTGTTCGTACTGGATGAGATAGAGGGCTTGACTGTATATGATTGTTTTCGTTGACTTGGTGATAGGTAAGAATGAGAACTTCATTTTCATGATGAACAGATTGTGCGATAACTATATAGGCAATCTGCGTCCAGTGTGACGTCAAAACGATGATCGCATAACAGCCACCATCATCATCCCAGTACGTATTGTGGTGTGCCGCTCCTGGTCACTACGAGCGCGACGCAATATATATGCGCTTCGTTGATTTGACGGCGGTCATCTCCTCATCAAAGCCTCCTCGTTGGTCCTTTCATCGCTTGATCGTGGTGGTTTGGCTTTCCTGCCTGACATCATTCTTGGCCTTGTCCTCTTTCCAAGCAACGGCCAGGTTTTATACGCAATAAGTGCAGGCTTCGTGACACCACATCGATGACGAATTCGACGCAGGGAGACTGTATATGTTTAATATCTTGGTAAAAGCAACAGAAGCGGTTATCAGTTATTGTCGACGATGATGGGACCGTGGAGGTGGCGAGCGTCACGGTGATCGACAAAGATGCCGTCACTGACAACGGAGCGATCAATTGATTGGATGCAGTAACGGGCCATCTTAACCTATCAGTATCAGTAACTCAATTGGTTAGTGTGCCCTCGCGGCAGTTGAGGGAGGCTGAGCATGACAGAGCGCTCATTGGGTTGAGACGCTAAAGTGTCAGGTTAGTCGTGTGTCAGTTGTGTCAGTTGCGTCAGTTGTTTTGATGTTGATAAATGTGCGTGAGTCATGTGATTAGTGCCTGATAAGGCATTATCACGTGACATTGAGCCTTGTCCCAGGCTGTCACTCGTCAGCCGCGATGTAGACCCTCTCTCTAGATTGTATCTAGCAGTAGCTTATCTGCCAGAGCCTCAGGGGCATACAAACAAGGCAGACAGCCCCCCCAAACCCAGTGTGACCCACGCGTCAGCCTCCAGACTCTATTTAAGGCCAGTGAAATCTCTGTTCACAATGGCTTCAGCTCTGTCATCATCTCCTCGCTTACCAGCATGGCGTCAAACACCGCCCTCTCGCAGACAATTCGATCGCTGACTCTCAGCAAGATCCGCGAGCTTGCAGAAACTGCGCAACACTTATCAGTCGCGTAAAAGTGAGATCCTCAGAGCATCTGCAGTTCGTAACGATCGGTTTGACAGATTGACATGTCTCCCGGCTGGCACCAAGGAGCGCTATCCCGGCGCCTCTAAGGATGTCACCATCAGTCATATCGAACGATGGCTTGATCAAGCCAGATACGGCTCGTCAATTCCCTGGAAGATGATGGAGGGGTTTGAAGAGACATTGATCTCAAAATTGGACGCCCACAGTCACAAATTGAGTCTTGCCGATCTCTATGCGCGCTTACTAACCGAGTGCATAATCCTTCAAATGGTACAAGCAACCCCAAAGCCAAGGATGATTCTGACGACGAAGATTTCCTGATTGTGGAAGCACGCCAGAAGCAATGTCTTCAGCAATTATGCGACCAGTTTGAAGCGGTCGTCTTCCAGCCACGTGAGGCCAACGAACAGGAGATCCATGCCTTCCTTGAAGACCTCTTCCTCGGGGATGAGGGGAAGCGTGCGCTGAGCAAACTACGGAGCCTTGTCAAGGACAGATGCGAAACAATTTGGAAAACTGAGGAACCATTCAACCCGATTTCGTTGTCCAATTGCATTAAAGGTTTGCTGACTCAGGAGTTGCTGAGTGACGGGAAGCGAGCCATGCTCAAAGACTTCCTGAACAACGAGGTCGCTATGACCGAGATCGCAGATGTTCTGAATATGCGATACGCCGAGTTGAAGAACTGGGACTGGCATTAAAGCAACAGCTTGACTGCTGTGATAGCGCCATCTCCTGGATCCGCACCTGGAACAGCTGCATCCGCCGCTTTCTTCACTAGCAGTTTCGGCCAGCCGGCCTTTTGCTTCGGGCGTGACCATGTCGACCTCATCCTTGCCACTTACGAAAAGGTGCAGAACGCGCTCTTCAACACCGATAGTCGCGCCTCGGCAGTCACGGAGCACCTTCGGCACATGATCGGTGAACGTTTCGGCGTCTCCGGAATCCCGGACGCGTTCTTCTTCCGGAGCAATTGGGCGGTCTCGGTCTGCGAAATCCATTCGTCTCAACGCTCTTAGTCCGCGACGAGCTTCGCTCTACCCCGTCCAGCTTATAAACAAATACAAAGAAAATAAGAAGCAGGCATACCTCGACGCTAAGGAGGAGTTCGAGGAGCTGATAGAACGCGAGCGCTTGCAGCGGTACCAGGTGGTCTTCCCAGAGGGGGAGTCCGGAGCAACCCCAGTCCTCGATAGAAGCGAATTGAGCACCTTTATGGCGTTTGAGGAATACACTCGCATCAGAGAATCCACCGACACCCTCCTGCAAGTTCTGTACACGAAGTTGATGGATGTTCCTGGTGAATCTGATATCAAACTTACGGAGAAGTCTACAGTGCGCTGTAAAAGGTGCAGTCTCAGTTCGATTATCCGGTGGAGGATAATGAACTTAAATGGGATGTTGCAGCTGTATGCTCAAATAGCCGCTTAGAATGCTTGGGGGGTTGAGTCTGGTGGACAAGCGGTTCTTGCCTTGTGGGGGGGGGGTGGTGTTGGCCATGGTTAAGGGGAAGAGGGTCACCTGGCAGATGGTGTTGTAATTACTGTCTGCCGATTGATACTTGTGGTGGGCTATTGTACCTTCATTTCCGGCGGCTAAAGAAGCTTTGCCTCAATAGACTTCATACAACAGGGGAGACATCATTCATATCATTCACTCTTTATACTTCCCACACCCTCTCCGAATGCCATTCGCTTAGCCCAGCTACACCTTAATCGCACCTCCGTCCTCCGAATCTACCCTTGGTAAACTGTCCTCACTCAACCCCTCCGTAATCCCAGATAGCTTCCCAGCCCTACAACAATTAGCCCAATTACTCCTCATCCCAAGCCAACAGCAACTCACCTCTCCCTTCTTTCCAACCGAATCGTCACGAAAGTCGCTAGAATAAGTATACCCGACAAAACCGTCACCGTGATGAAACCCTTCCTATACCCCGGCGCCTCAACCTGCCGCCAAACAACCTGCGGCAACCACGCCTGAAACACATACGCCATCTCATTCATGCTGCCTACCACCAACGCGCGTTCCTCGTTATCGTCGGCACAGATTTCATGGGCCCATCTATTTGTCTTTAGTTTGTGATACGCATACCAAAAAAGGGGAGGACATACGCCATTAGAAGACCGCTTAGGCCGTACCCTGCTCCGGCGATGATGTAGCAGGTCCATTTCCACCCGGTGGGGATGTTCCATATAGCGAGGGAGGTGTATGAGATGATGTTGATTATCTGGATTGTTAGATTGAGGGGAGTTGAGGTGGATGAGCGGGGGCTTACAGCGCCGAATATGACGGGTGGCCAGCGTTTGCCGCCGAGGATGGAGTCGGATGTCCCTATCTTGTCAGAGGTATCGCAAAGATGTAAGGAAGCTGCTTACAAGCGTAGATTAGAGTAGTCACGACCTGAACCGCGCCGGTGGTGGTTGGATAGGCGTTAATCTGGCCGATGGAGTACTTGGGGTCGGTTGAGTGTTTGAGGTATCTGTTGTTGATCAGTATATGTGCACGTTGAGGGGATAACTGCACTGTACTCACTGTTGGAATATAGGCTGGGAGCCTGCAGAAGCATTGTTGAAGCACCTGATCACGTCAGCTCTCAGTGTCGTCGGACTCGATGAATATAACGTACAAATACAGCAATGTCAGTAGATAGATATGCCACGACGAGAATATCCTCTTCAACTTCTTCATCGTCAGAGGCCCTCTAGACTTGCGTCCTTCAAGCTGCATTCGCTTCTGTGAAAGCAAAACTTCCTGCACACATCAGCAGTTGCAAGCCCACGCGACAGCAAGTCAACCTACCTCCTTGGACAAAAACCACGGGTTCGAAATCTCCGGCACATCAGGCAGAATGAAGAACCCACTCAGCGCCACCGGAAGCGAAATGACTCCATCGATTATAAACAACCTAGAACATCAACTTGGCTCGCAAATGAGTTGCCATCGTAACATACCACTGCCAGCCCTTGAACCCGCCCCTGCCACCAAGATGATATACGCCCGCCATCAGGTATCCAGAAAACATACTCGCGATGCCACTACTCGTGTGGAAAATACATGACCGCTTCGCGAGCTCGTCTTTGCGGTACCACGAGCCGATGATGTACTGCATGCCCGGGTAGAATGTGCTTTCTGCGAGGCCTGTGGCTGTTACTACCCACCCCTACCAAGGACGGGACATCACGTACCGACAAAAAAGCGCAAGACATAGAATTGAGTCGGGGAGTTACATCGCGCCATTGCAAACGTCAGCACCGTCCATAGTAGCTGCCAACATTAGCATCTAGCAGTCTATTTCCAGAAGATAATACTGTACCTCCATCGCGGGAATCCAATATCTCGGCCGGATACGGGTCAGGAGCAAATTGCTGGGTATCTCGCCAATCACGTAGCCGACTGTCCAACAGGTCTGCATGTAATTAAGCTCGTTGCCATATAGGCTGAGGTCTTCTTTCCTGTTCTCGGTCAACTATCGCTAACAATGTGGTTAAGGCAGACGTACATCCCAGAGACAAACGCATTATTGAGGTTGACTTGATCGAGATACTTGATGAAATACCCTTGCATCTACCGTCAGCGTAAATACATGATTCATGGTTGATATACTACCAAGTGAAGCGAAAGTCAATATCGCTGTGTCCAGCTTGAATAGCAGCTTGCGCTCTTCGGGGGACTTGTCGAATGTGTCCCAGATGTAACTGAGCCATTTTCGCTTGGGGTCTTTCTGTAAACTGTCGACGATGACTCTTTCGTCGATGACTACCTGTGAGGGTGCCATAATGTAAATGTCTGTAGAGCAGTCTGTGTGACTCCTGCTAAGAGGAGATTTGGTTCTTCAATCTGTGATTAAGGAATCAGCGCATTTTAACGGGCACTGCCACTGAACAAGCTCTGGCATTCGTTGAGGACCAACGTTTCCTTAAACCGAGTCGGCTGCCGCTGAGCTTGTTTCTATCTTGACTTTACTGGGTGGCCAAGGTGGGACGCTGTAGCTAGGGTGGATTCCTCATGGCCGGTAAGGCTTGCGCCATTGAGTTACGATAAGGGTGGATATGTCGAGAGTGCCCAAGTCAAGGAGAAGTCCCCGCGGCTGCCGCTGACTGACTCGTGGTGATGGCGAGTAACCGGTTCAAAGCTCGCCATAGGATTGATGGATGATGTGCCAACCACATCAATGCAAAGCGCTCCTTAAATCGAACTTTGTACATGTGGGGTACAGGAAAGGAGGCACAAGGTGGGGGTTTTGGTCTATATCGCACTTGATGTATATGTCCTCCGCCAATAGATAGTTTACGGCAGACTTTGGAGAAAGCCCCCTAGACTCGGGGAAGCGGCCGGTGTCAATTGTCTAAATACAGTCTATAACCCTATCATCTCGCGACTCAGCTACACATCTCCAACGCCGGGAACTGACCCACCCCACTATCCCTCCTCGCCCCGCTCCCAAAAAGCTGTTTAAGTCGCTCCCTCTGCGCTTCCTTCGCCTCCAACCATGTCTTAGTATGTCCTTCAATGGCCACTAGTCCGTGAGAAGCCCGGGCCTTATTCACCCATTCCAAGATATCCGCTACGTAGTGCTCCTCCACATCCCTGAGTGAATGGAATCCCCGCCCACTCCCCTTCGCCTTGATGCGAGCAAGATATTCCGCCCTCATCTCCTCGGTGGGAGGCAGCTGGGCAATCCCAGAGAAGACAGCTGCCACGGCGACGGCTTGGAATTCAAACAGCGTGAATGTCGCTGTGTAGTACGGGACGCCTACGAACACCAATGTCGGGTCGGGAATGTAGAAGATGTCCTTGTGGAGGTTATGCACCTGCGTACCGTCCGTCACAAGAACTGTTTCATTTGCATCCGCGGGAGAGGTCTCATCGTCGTGATAGTCTTGAAGAAAGGGCAGAGTAATGTGGTAGCCAGTGCAGATAATTATGGCGTGAATACCGCATAGCTTCTGACCTGATTTAAGGTGGACAACCAACGGCAAATGCTCATCTTCCAGTAGTATCTTGTCGCTTTGCATCTCAAATTTGGCAATTTCGCCGATTCTCACTCCGTTTTCAGGAAGTACTGAAGCAGCCAGGTCAAATTCACCGTTGCGCGTGCTTTGGTATACGCTTTTGGTGATTGGGCCTATCTCGCGAGCAATGTCTGTCGAGGACACGCCACCGCCGATAAGGAGGATGTTCTGTGAATTCTCAGCATGTTTGGGGATTTCCACGTAACAGCAAGCCGACTGACTCACCTTGTTGTCAAATCCGTCGGGCCTTCTGTATCCCTTTGAATGAATGATTCTGGATGGCCATAGTGCCTTTGCTTCTGGTAAGCCAGGAATGTCGGGGATACGTGGCGCGTGGTAGTGCCCAGAGGCGACGACGACTGCGTCAAATGTCTACAACAGTAAGCCCAGTCCACAATGACGCTTCTGATCTGATAGCTCGTACTTTGCCGTTCTCCTGCTCTTGCAGGACTTCGCTTCTCTCATCTTCATGAAGAGTAGACCAAGTGACCTCCCATCCGCCGTCCTGCTTGCGCAGCTTCTTCACCCTCGCGCCATAGATAGTGACACCGTCAACGCCGGCCTTCTTCGCCGTATCTTGAATGTATTCCTTCATTACAACGTGACTCACAAAGTCAGGCGTGCCTCCTGGCCAGGGGTTAAGCTTTGTGCGCATCAAGGGTGTCGGGACATTGTTCCTGAGTCCTTCGTAGCATGGACTACTCACGTTAACCAATATCTTTTCATAAACATAAGCTGAACTTACCCAGGAGGAGCGTGTTGCAGGACACGCTTATCCCTAACATCTAATGCTTCCGCATATTGTTCAGCGCGGGAGGGTTGCACAGACGGATAGACGGGTTCAAGGGGCTTGCGCTCGTCGTACAACCTATAGTCTCCTGTCAGAAAGGCAGGAACAGGAAGTTACAACAATGCGTACCAGACTCCCCCTGCGGCATGATTCCTCTCAAACACAGTGACCTCAATCCCAGCAGCGAGCAGATGCCCGGCCGAGACAACGCCGCTGATTCCTGCGCCAATCACAGCCACGTGATGGATTTGACGGCGAGTCATTGTATTGACTGTGCTTCGATATTGCTCCGACGGTGAGGCCTCGACAGGAATCCTTATGAGTTCCCTCTAACCCATGGCAGGTTATTCTTTCTCGAATTGCACCATTGGCGACGCAGATAACGATTGTGCATAAGCTCCACAGAAACGTAGAATTCCTACGTCTCGGAAGTATATTGCCGTGCAAGTCAAGCCTATTCGACCCATGGGCTGATGGTTGTGTTGCTTTGAAATCCACTCATCTCAACGCAATCATATCCCTGAATGAGGATATTCGGATTTTGTCCGCATGACGGTCGCGACTCGTGCAATCTGAGGGGCTCGGGAAGATAAAGGAGGATGATAAGACAAGTGAGGGGAAGTCAGGGCTAGAGCGTGTCAGATATCGCAGTTGACCCCATATGATACATGGTGCAGAAGGCGTAATGGGTGATGGCGATGATGTGATCGCATACACAGAATTGTCCACACTTGTACTTTCTTATCAACTGAAGCGGGGATGATTCGGTGCCCGTATAATTAAACTAGAATCGGCACTGTCTTGCACCAGAATTCGTCTTGCTCAAGGCTTGCTACGTTCATCAGAGACTAGCACCATGGCTCCTGCTGCAATTGATCCCCGCATTGTCGACGTCGCAGAGCCTAGAAAGGAGACTCTTCCTCTCCCTCCGAACGCCCGGGAAAGATTCGAAAAGGCCGGCATTGATCTCTCAGCCGGGTATCCGTACCGGCCTGCTCGCCCTCTCTACGTGGATGACGTCTACAACATCCGGAACTATGATCGCCCTCACATCGATCCGGGATCCCGCGCTGATCCTGAGAAGAAGGCTTTGCTGTCAGCAGCGAAGGAGGTCATCCACCTCACCAAGCACATCGGGACCGAGATCGTGGGGCTGCAACTCAAGGATCTTAACGACAAGCAAAAAGACGAGTTGGGCCTCCTAATTGCGGAAAGGAGCGTTGTCTTCTTCCGAGACCAAGATATCTCCCCACAGCAGCAGAAGGAGCTGGGTGAGTGGTTCGGTGAAGTTGAGATCCATGTACGTCGTTGCATCACCTTTGATAAGTTGCTAGGGCACTGGACTAATCTTTGCTCAGCCGCAAGTACCACAGGTCCCTGGAGTCCCCGGCGTGACCGTATTGTGGCCGGCCCTGCAGGCAGCAGAAACCCCGGCTGCATTCCGCCGGCCTGGAGGCGCTTCCCGCTGGCATACAGATCTTGTGCATGAGCGACAGCCAGCAGGTGTCACCCATCTTCACAATGATACGGTGCCTAGCACTGGAGGGGACACGCTGTGGGCAAGCGGTTACGCCGCTTACGAGAAGTTATCACCATCGTTCCGTCAATTTATCGACGGCAAGACAGCCATTTATCGCTCGGCACATCCTTATTTGGACCGCAAACATCCGGAAAAGGGGCCCATATATGTTGAGCGAGAGCATCCTCTTGTCCGAGTCCACCCTGCAACAGGGTGGAAGACTCTTTGGGTAAACCGAGCCATGACAGACCGTATTGTAGGCCTAGACAAAGCAGAAAGTGATCTCATCCTTGGATATCTGTGCGATGTCTACGAGAAGAACATTGACATTCAAGTTCGCTTCAAATGGACACCAAGGACAAGTGCTTTGTGGGATAACAGGTAAGTTACGGATACGCTTCCTACCATGTACGGCGTTTGATGACTGACTGTACAAGGATCACCATCCACAATGCCAGCTGGGATTACGAGGGAATCGAGCCGCGGCATGGCACAAGAGTGACCGCCCTGGCAGAGAAGCCTTTCTTTGATCCAAAGGCACCAACAAGACGAGAGAAGTTGGGTCTTCTGGGAACAGACGAGATTGAAGAATTGGCAAATCACTTGGCCAGACAGTAGCGCAGACAGACTTACTTCAATGCTTGGGCAGATCCTTGAGTCCTTTGGAGCTGCAATACCCTGGATCTGTTGATGCTGAAACCACTTGGCTTAAGTAAGCGTAAATTGACTGAGTCCTACTGAGCGTGCTGTCTGTGCTAAATTCCTGCGTAGCCGTAGCAAATGCTAGTTGCGTGTACTGGTTGGTCAGAACCGTCTGTCTTGGGACACAGTCAGCACAGGCGGTTTCATGACTTATTCCCGCCGGAGGACATAGGCCCAATGAAAGACTTCAGGAGTGTGTGCAAAAGAGGAAGTCTGGCCTTGTGGTGCTTTTATAGAGGTGCGTGACACGGTGGTCCAATACTTCCCAGCATAACCGAGGTCGTCAAAGCGAATGTTTGAATATGAGAGAGCAACCCACGTACTGCCCTTCTGGGTCAGCGGGACAAGGTGCAAAGCCAACAGCTCCACTGGAGACAGCCTGAGTTCTCCGGTCTCCTTCACGATCTCGCTTATGATTGGACAAATAGGTGATGGGCCGTATTCAGTCGAGAGTGTGACAGATGGCGATGTCGCAATGGCGTCGCTCGTGCTTTTATCGACGACCACATCAAACGGCGCATAGGGTGCTAACTTGGCAACATCGCTCCACGATCTCAGGTCAATCTGAAGCCAATGCATTGCCTGGTCTGCATTCTTGCCACTCTCAAGCTCCCGGCCGAGGCGGACAGCTTCCGCTGAGAAATCCACATTCTAGCAGAGACAGCGGAATATTAGAACATTTCTCCGAAAACATACCAAACAAGAGCACGCACCACAATGTAGCTTCCCGGCCAATTCTGCTTACGAAAGGCCTCAGATAGTTTGACCCCCAGTTTGGAGATTCCTGGACCGAGGTGCAAAGCACGCGGGATGGCATCGGATTGAGGACGATGCTCCAATTCAGACAGGGTAGTCTCGATCAGGATTTCCCCCGAATTCAGCCATTCCCCCACATCTTTTCCAGTCGCAAATTTGACGTCCCAGTATGCGGGATCGTCATAGTCAGGAGCGCCTTTAATTTTCGGGTGCTCTCTTCGTGTCGACAGCGTCGTCATTCTCTGACGTGAACAAGAAAACGCGGTCGCGTGCGTTGCAGAAAAGACGTTGCCAAGAAGAGCTTGTCACGTGACTATCAATATCCCCACGCTCCCCAAAGCCGAAACCTTTCAGTTCATAATGCTGCTCCAGAAAAAGCCAATGATTCTATGAGGCACTTGGATCTAGGTGGATTCATTTTGGTCCAAATTTGAACGTTCCTAAAACCTTGCTCTCTTCCTACATCTGAATTGAAATAATGTTGTAGGAGTACTGAGCTTTCTCCGAGCAGAGATATATTTCTGAGGATCAAGTTGGCCAGGTCAGTATAAAAAGATCAAACCAGTCTGGGTGAACTGTCTGATAATCTACTGCTTCGTCTAGCTGGTGACTTATTCAAAGCAACCTTGAACATATATGTTATGATTACCGATGGATCGCGCAGATCAAGCATTGACCATTGCTATGTAACGAGCTCGAGCGCTTTTTTTTCCCAAGAGATGGCCTTTCTATTTTGTGTGGCTAGCTCGATGAAGTCCTCTCCAAATCTTCTGACTCTGCTCTCTACTCTCTATGAGCTTAGCAGAGTCGTCAAGGACCAATTACTCCGAGTAGGGTCACCAGTCAGAAGTATCCTTGCGACCTGCAGCGGCTCCTGGAGAAGATAGCTGCCGTTCCCGTCGCGCCCAAAGCTAAAGTAGGCTTGAGTCTGTTGGACGATGATCTAGGGGTTCTTGATAGATCACCCAGTTGGCAAGGAAATTGATGGGGGTGCTTGCGAAGCTATATCCATTCCAGAGCTCTGATATTACGGACATTATTATTGAACTAGCCCATGCAAGGGTGGGCTGACCCAAACGGTACGACTGGATAATCCGATACTGTTCACTATAGCTTAACGGTAATTTCCCGAAGCTGGTCAGTCTGAAGGGCTGGTAGACGCCTGGAATCCGATTGGCTAATCGATGACATCTTGACTGGAATGTGGCCTTCCTGCCATTCCGGCCATGGTGACATTCCACAAGTGTCCTTATCGAGCGTGAGCGGCCTTTTATGGGGAAAGAATGGTGGAGATGTTCTTACATATGATGATAGATTTATGCAAATCTTCGCGGTAGAGCTGTCGCTGCACCTCCGAGCCTGGTGCTCTTGCAGGATTCCTTCCAAAGACACACAACAAACGTTCATTATTTCCACGAACAAGACCAGCCGCTGCGTCCATTTTTTGGCATATTCTGGGACGGTAGATTGTGCTCTTAACCTCAGGTGACAGTGGTCATCTAGCCACTCATCATCGACGGAAGAATGATTACGGCTCTACGCCGCGGCTGTACATCTTTCGCTTCATTTGGCAAGAAGAAGATAGAAGAGAGGCCCACTCCCATGTCCTATTATTGTGTAACTATGCGTTGAAGATCACCACTCAACGACTTGACCATAGCTCATCGCAACACCAGTGTTCACCCGATTCCATTGGGAGCCTGTGGTCAGGGCAGTGCTTAATCGGTGGCAATAAGATACCCTGCCCTAGTCACCGTTATCCTATTGGCATGTTACTGTCTCATACGTGCATTAGGTTTACGGATGGGCGTCTCTGCATCACACCCCCTTCGACCTACCCCAGATTGCCACCAGCGATCAAGAACAATGCCCAATCATTGCCAGCACAAGCGAGGCGTAGCCGTCGTGAGAGGCCAGGGATATGCTGATAACCATGGTCGATGCCTACGAGTCAAACGCCACCAGCCTGAATCGTCGACGTCGATTCTTGTGCTACCTGGAAGCCCCTGTCGTGTGACTACCCCGCATCAAGATGGCGAGAAAAGAGTATATATAGGCTGCAGGATGCTCGTACTCCTTCTCAAAGTACAAGGTATCCCGTGTTTGCTAAACTCGTGACATCCTCCTACCAATACACCAATACGTACCTGCGAAGTGATCCCATTTATCCCAACCTATCAGCCAAAATGTCAGCTCCAATCATCCAGAACCTGTCCGCCCTGAGCTCCTCCGTCGCCAACTATTCCAGACAGCAACTTGGTACTCTACGAAACAGAATCTTTCAGAAAGGTATGTACTGAGCTTTCCTTTTCAACATAAAAAGCCTCTATGGGCAGACGACTAAAGGTGAACTTCACAGAGAGATCCAAGACAACAGCAGGTCTTGCGCAGACCTCCTTTGCACTGCACAGGCCGGTCTGGGTAGCAGGCGGGGGCGCCATGTACACAACCATGGGCGCCGTCTACCTCACACTGCGTTACATGAGCCGACTTAGATGATCGAGCGTTACTTCGACATGATCCGTACTCCTGGAGAGATGGAATTGTTGCATTCAAGATTACTTATTACGACCTGCAGCTAGACAGTGTCTTGCTTCTACTTTACGATCATTTCCTTTGTTTGGGTACCATGGCCTGGATGGCCTGATTATTGCGCCACCAGTTGGCAGGGATGGAGTTTCATGTATGTGACTTGTCGTCTTACATTATCTATCTATATAACGCATATTATTCGCCCGTCATGGAGGGGTTGAATGTCCAGCTGTTGCCTTGATTGATCTGCCATCGTAAGTTACGTGGTAGTCCACTGGTAAAAGTACAATGCGTCGTAGGATTCTTGAGGGAGGGGAAGAAAGGGGGAGCACTAGTAGTTTTCGGCAAGGAGGTGCAACTTACAGCAAGCCACATAATCATCAGACCACACAGACAGTACATAAAAGGTACAAGCCGAAGTTTTTCAGTTGTCCTTGCAATAATCATAGAATAATGTGGAATTCTAGACAGTATATTTGACTTATTCTATCGCTATCTACGGAGTACTAGTGAGCCCATACCTTCTCAGTCTCCAGCGGTCGAGGCGGGCCACAACCCCAGATCCACCATAGCTTCTACCGGATCTCCCGGACTTAGTGAGAGTCGTGACATGTACTTCTGAGTCCACTCAATTCCATGATGTGTTAATCTGTACCCAAATTACGGTAGGCCATGGCTATTGGCCGGTTCAATGCAACCCCGCCCGACAGCCAGCCAATAATACGCCTCTGTAGCATTCCCCAGATCCTTGGCCGACTAACCCCGCACTACGCTAACCAGTCAGATCCACTCGCCCCCCACCATTCTGTCGATTCTGAAACCTTTGCCAGAAACCTTGATGGCTGTGTCTTCCGCATTCGTTTTACTCGTAGTATTTTATCCCTTTACGGTCGGCATTCGAGGATAAGAGGCAGCGCTTCTAAGCCTGCTGGCTATCCGGTCCACTTTGCCGTTGCTCTCCACACAGTACTAAAAGTAGTCGCATTCTTTCTTTGACCCACTCTGTTCCACTTGGACATTTTCATTGCTTAGCTGCCACTGAGAGACCTATGATCTAAATAGCGATGAGGGCTATGGATGTGATTACATGATCAACAACACTTTGAGCAACAAGGGATGAATATGACGTTCTTTCGAATCCCAGTTTCTGCAGTGGCAGCGACAATGTTGCTCCTAATCAATATGACCAATGTCCCTAATCTTTAGAACTTTGATGCACCATGATCACAAATAAATGGCTCTCCAAAGAAATACTATCAATCGAATTGATTACCATTTGCTCAACTGACCTGTCTATTTCCTTCGACGGCTAATAATTGCAGACATGCACACTGATCTAATAAATCATTCCTGAACAGCAGACTCGTTAGAACCGTTTCTCAACCGAGAGGATTTGATCGGATTTGATCAACCCATTCTCATATCCAATGCCTGGCTCTGCGTGCGCGAGGCAGAACTCTGAATGACACTTGGATGCCACACTACCCACAACGCCATTGCAGTGATCATTGGTACCGAGTCAAATATGTACATGGTCCACTCGTGACCAAGCAAATAGCCGTCCTGCCCCCCAGCGTACTCGATCACCCTGAACACCGACCGAATCAATATCAAAGCACTGACGGCATCCAAAACATGCAAGTGAGTCTTCCACGGCACGTCGGCATCAAAGACATGCCCGCTCGGAGCGCGGTTCATTCGCCGTTCAAACTCAAACGACGTGACCATGAACAGTCCAAACATGAGCACTTGAAGCACAAGTCCCGCGATGATGATGTTGTTGCCCATGTCCCCACTCGACGCAGTCGCCATAAGACCCGCTCCTGAGCCCTGGACGAGGAAGGAGAGGACATCACTCGCGACGAATATCTTTGTGAGCCAGTTGACGCGAATAACCGAGTACTTCTCTGCTTGAATGCTGCGGATAAGGCGTCCGAGGACCATGTATACCGAAGCCGCGAAGAGGACTGGCCCAAGCAGAAGAAAGACGTTCTGAATGATGTAGGGGCCGAGCTGTCCGGTCTTGCCGTGCGAGTCGATCCGACCTATATAGCCGATGATTTCGACTGAGGTCGGGGGTCATTAGAGTCAATCTGCAGACGCACAGCAAAGGGATACACATCACTTACACAATCCTCCAATGGCAAAAGGCATGCAGAACCGCGCCCGCGTCTTCCATATCTTCCAGGAATGAAAGGCTGTCATGCATACGAACAGCAGGAGGAAGATGACAGCTGCTGGAATCGATGGAACATATTTCCAAAGGTAGTAGTCGCCCCTGTATGGCTCTAACTTTGCCATTGCAGGAAAACTGTTTCGGCGCAGCGGCTCGATATGACTTGGGATGATGAGTAGAAAGACATGGCGATGGTGGATATGAATCGTTTATAAATCGAACACAGTGGATACAATTGCAGTCGACTCAACTAGGCATCCTCTTTTGTAAGAATAGAATAGAGCCAACCGCCAAACTCTTCTATAGAACTTCTGTTGCTGCAGAGCTGAAGCTATACGCGTATAGAGCCGAAGGGGTGGATCGTTTTGGCGGCTAAAATTGCACATGGTCTGTGCATACGCGGGTTTGCGTTCTTCCGATTCGTCGCGCGTGGCCCACTGCGAGGCAGTGTCTGTCGGTTTCGTATTGGCGTATCCGTCGTTCGACTTTTCGGGCCAGGCACGACACACTTTTCTTCTTGAACTGCAGCGCTACTGCGGAATGCGTCTTGCTGGCCCCTGAGTGCGCTTTTGGGCTTCCGCGTATTTGGGGAGTTTGTCCGCCTTCCTGCGAGCCAGAGCCGAACCGAACAGGACGGTCGTCCCTCGAATGAGATTTCGTCATCTTGTTGGTCTTGATAGGCTTGAAGCACTGTACGTGACTTGTCATTCGCAATGCCACGCAGAGCTCATAAGAAGTCCCGGAATGGTTGTCTGGAGTGCAAGCGCCGCCATATCAAAGTATTCCATCCCGATTCCCCACGTGTCGCGATCCGAGCATGACTAATCCTGCTACAGTGCAATGAAAACCGTCCCATATGTTCCAATTGCACCGTCTCAGAGCGGGTGTGTGAGTACGGGATCAATGTGTTCAAGGTTACACGGCCTGTAGACTCGCCAAATTGCTCTGCGGCTTCTGCGTCTCTCTCACCAGCGACCAACCTGCCGTCGGGCCGCTCCAGTCTCAGCCCGAATCCGGGGACTTCCCAAGATGCACCAGTGAACATGCTTCACATGGAGCTTTTCTACCATTTACATACCGAGACATTTCCGGAGTTGGACCGCAGGAAATATGCCACTCATTTCCTCAGTATTATGCCGCAGCTCTTAAAAGCACCCTATGTGGTGAATGAGCTGCTCGCCTTCAGCGCCTTACACCTCAGCACCAAGCATCCAGAGCGACAGGAGTACTACCGGACTCATGCCGCCCAGCTCCAGACGCATGCGCTGACAAATTTCAAAGAAACAGACTTGGAAGTGAATCAAGAAACGTGCGTGCCAATGTTCCTCTTTTCGGGTATTCTTGGGCTTCACACGCTCTGCGATGTGCTCGTATACAGGGACAACGATTTCGACCAGTTTGTGGACAAGTTCGTGCACTGCTTTCGGCTCCATCGGGGTGTCAGAGCAATCTGTGGGAAATCCTGGGATATGCTACACCAGTCAGTCCTCAAGCCGTTGTTAACGGACGGTGCGTCTCTTTATCAATTCGATGGTCGGCTGGGAGCGGGGTGCGAGAAACTTCTCCACCTTGTTCAAGCGGCAAAGCTCGGAGCTACCTTGACAGACATCTACAAACAAGCCATAGAGCACCTACAGACCTCGACGAATGCGTTGATGGCTGCTGGATCTCTCGCCGGAAGTAGTCATGGCAGCATTGGATGGCCGGTACTTGTTTCCCCGGAATACATTGACCTACTACTGCAGCGGCGGCCAGAGGCGCTTGTGATCCTGGCTCATTATGGCATTTTACTTCATTCGTGCCGGGATTCGTGGATGTTTGGCGATGGGGGCAGATTTCTTATCGAGTCTATTCGTGATTTCCTGGGCCCGGATTGGACTGAGTGGCTGGAATGGCCGATCAAAGCTCTGGACAGTCCTACTGAGCCCTTATTACAGGTATTCGGGTGATGGCAACGACCTTGGCTGTTTATTGGAGCGAAACTATGCGTTCCTCACATTCTTGCTCATGCTATCAAATGTTGGTCCTGACAATGGCTATGGTACCTCTCCAGGAGATTACCATAGCCCGAAATCGAGAGGATCACGGAACCTCCGAATCCAGATCACCCTTCCAGTTGTTGGATCCATGACCGCTGAGAAATGCGTCATCTCGTTGGTTGTTGGATACGCCGCCGTCCACTGTATTATTTCTGCCGGCGTTGCAGCGACCCCATGGTTCTCAGATGATTCTGCACTCTGCTTACCCACGGCGGCAGATGTCGAACCGGCTGGGGGATCTGCCACTCGACTTCTAGAGGAGCGTGTGCGACGCAAAGGATCATGACGTGGTTTCACACCGTGGGCCGACCTTCCAGCTTGAGCCACCTTTTTGTCCCAGTGTGCTTGCATACAAGCTCTTCGCTCTTTACTATCTTGGATGAACTCGGTCATTGACATGGGCTCTCCACTGGTCAGCGCTGCGCCAAAAGTTATATCGGTGTCCCTGTCCTTCGAACCAGGCTCTGGACCGAGGCAATCGTTATTCGTGGCAACGATGAACGACGAACTGGAGTCCATCCTTGCAGTCCGATGATCCTTTTCAATCACAGCGGCTTCAACCCCGTCACACAAAACCAGGTACGCCGCTGTAGATGGTGTGCGCATCACCTCCTGGCAGATACTGCGCAGCGTCGGCTTCTCACCCCTCCGACGTCTCCTGACCAATACACCCAGCATGCGACCAAACCAAGTCCCCCCTGGGTCCTCCGCCGCAATGATATACTGCCTCAGCATCGACGAAATCGATCTCCTCAAGCCCAGCATAACAAGAAGATGACTCCCATAGAACCGCAAATCACCAAACCACCCTCCGAAATCATGATTCGGCCGGAAATTCAACGAAACACTCAACCCCTTCCGGACACCGGTCAACACACCCACAAACCCAATGTAGGTGATATTCGTCGCGACCACGGTATCGTAATCCGGGCCGCGGACATACTCAAACTGCACAAGCACGCGTCGCAACGCATCCATCCCCCAGTCTAGCGTTCGGAAATGGAGCATGCGAGACGTCGTATTTTGATCTTGTGCCCGAGCCGCGCCGCTCGTGCACCCCATCAGCACATCGAGGAGCACATTCAGCGAGACGATCAGATACATCTCGATTCCGGCTGCCTGGCTGATACCCCGGATCTCCTCCGTTTCCTCGTCGGAATATACGCGGCGCAAGAACAGGCGCGCGAGGCGTTTCACCCATTCTAGCGAGATATTGGGTGCGATGCTCTCGACCAGGGCGTCGAAGAGAGCGGTGAGAGATCTGAGCTCGTTGCGATACGTCTTTGCAACTTCAACGTATCGCTCTGCTGGGGGGCGGGAGAGATCGATCCTGTAGGTTGGAGGGACATCGCCCGGCTCTATGGTGGGCATTATGTTTGGTGGTCTTTCTGTAGCTGCATTGTATGATGGCTCTTACATACTATATTGTTTTATATTCTTTCCCACTGATATTGGAGCATTTGGTAAAGTCGAGCTCTGCAAGGGATGTTGATGCCTGGGAGTGGCTGAGCACCCCGCAAGGGTCACGTGTCCTCTGGCGACGAAACATGCGACATCTATAGGTAGAATGCAGATCCCAATAAGTCATCTTGTATAACAGCGAGATTTCATTCAGGATGACTGAAAAATAGAATACAGAACTCCATGAGGCACTCTGCTTTATATCACACGATCACGTAATCAGCCATGTTCATCACTCAAAGCCAAACTCTCAACCGAGACCAGCAAATCCTCCACCGACCGTAAGCTATTCTGCGGATCAAAGGCTGGATATCGACTCTGCAACGTGTCCAGCAGAGACTTCTTCCACACATTACGCGCAAAATATCGTAGGATACGTGTAACCTCGGGACAAAGATCCGTCTCCGCGAACCCCGCGGCAACAAGCGCATGCTGGATCGCGCGCAGCAGGTACCTGCACACGGGGAAGGAAAAGGAAATGTACCAGAGGCCGCTGATGCAAGTCTCCAGTGACTGGCGCCAGCGGGGATCGCCGTCCTTGGCGAAGGGCAAGGCGTTGAAGGCGCCGTAGGTGAGGGCGTGGTTGAGGAAGTTGGAGGCGGACTTCCAGCCGAAGGTTTGCTTGAAGAGGAAGATGATTTCGCGCGTGGCGAGCTTGGCTTTGTTGGCGATGTTGAGGACGGAGGGGTTGGGTTCGCCTCCTGAGGTGAGGATGGGCTTGCACAGGGCGACTACGCTGAGGTGGAATTGGAGGCTATAGTTGTAAGCTGCAATACAAGGATTGTGGCAAGGGGTTAATGTGACTTACTGCATGATGAAGATGTGTGGCGGTGCGTCTTTTGAAGGATGAAGCGCGGGACTTAGCTTGACAAACCAGTTGGCGAGTCTTTCGTGGACTAACATAAAAGCCTCGACAGTAGGAGCGACATGATGGGAATCCAAAATGAATTCGGTCACGTCATTGATAACCACGCTCAACCCAAACCTGGCTCTGACCGTTGAGAAGAGACGCGATGGGTAGAGGGGGCCGCTGAAAGGATAGGGGTGCCAGCATTGACTATGGTCGAGAAAATCGGCGTCTGAATATGGAATTTCATAAAAGGGCGGGTGCTCCAGATGGGGAGCATCATCAACTACACTTGCCGCAAGTCTGTTACAAGGTCAGATATGGTGTAGACAAACTTCAACAGGGGGCTGTTATTACGCTTGCCACTCAAAAAGGCCCCAGGCCGTAACTGCATGTGCTCTATTCCAGGCGGGTTCAACCAACCCTGCGCTGCGGACCCCAGACAACGGCTCATACAATTTGAGCTCATTTGCCATGTGGATCGCTGCCGCCAAGCAGGACCAGCCGATCTTGTCCTTACCCAGGCAGTTGTAGGTTAGGTTCATGACAACTAGTGCCTGGATTGAGGTCAAGGTAGGCTGGGGATGTGATACCCAGAGCTGCCGGGCTTCCGACAGGAAGCGGATACACATATCCATCTCCTTAAAACGATCCCACGGTCTTCGGAGACTATAGGAGTATAGCTGCGAATTCCGTCAGGAAAGCAGAGGTTGAGGGACAGAAAGGCTCATCTTACACAGGCGTGAGCTAATACAGCATTTACAAGGAGTGGTGAACAGAACCTCGACTGACCAGCTATCATATCAGCTAAGAACAAATGTTGATCAAACCACGTATAGCAGGGATGATCCCAGGTGAAATATAGAGAGAGTAGATGCGACACCAGTCGGTCACTGTCTGTGATGGTCGTCCATGGCTTTGCAGGAGCGAAAAGGATGGGCTCTTCGCACAGGGCCTGCAGCCTCGGTGAGCTTATCAGCTTGTACTCTGTTGCTAAGTTCGACAAGCCGACGTGGGCATCAGCGAGTCGGCCAAGGGAGACTTGGCGCAAATATTGCGCTGCTAGTGTCGGATCCGAGCTACTGCGGATGGCATTGGCCACCTTGAAGAGGTCTGCGGGTGCACAGTTGCAGACTCTCTCATATATAGCCCAGATGCTGTTCCAGTCTTCTGTCGACCGATCGGAAGAGCTATCTTTGAGCACAGAGACTGAATCAGTCCCGGTCTTCTTGACGATATCTGTCGAGGCAGTGCCTTGAGCATCACACGCGCGAGTCTCGCTAGATTCGTAGCTAATCACGGCCATCTCGCAGGCCTCCGCACGCGCCGTTGACACATCTGGCGGATGGCGACTTAACGACTGAGTCTCATCCTCCAGCGGTTGCACCTTTTTCTTCAAAGTCGAGTTCTTAATCTCTATTTCACCGCCTCGTCGTTTAGTACCGACTAAGCGGCGGTGACTGCTCTCCGAGTCAAGCAGACATTCTATGCCCAGCGACACACATGCCGCGCACGGACTTTTTCCGCTACACTGATGGCGGAAAGAAAGTCAACACCGCTAGCGAATGGGTACGTCTCGTTGAAACCTACTTTACGTTTCTTGGCACGACACTCTGCGCAAGCAGTCACAGCGATGTGACGGCGACGTTCGAAAGTTGATATCCCCACAGCTCGCGGTGTGCCAACGGAAGCAGGGGCAAGCACCGGCAACCTTGCTGCGTCCCCCATAGCGCCGATGCTGCACTGAACGCGGCGTGATATGGGCACTTGAGTATTCAATGTGGAGACCTCAAATGAGGACAAAGCGACTCCGCGCGTATTGTCTCCATCTGACCCAGTGTGCCTGCTGCGAAGATCTTGATCCACGGCCAAGTGGCGTAGGGTCCTCGCAGGAACTTTCGGTGTGAAGCAATTTGGATCGAACTGGAGATGGAGAGATCAAAGTTGTAGCCAAGCGAGCCGAAGGCACGTGCTTTTAAGCGTACGCTACCATTGGATCGCTTAGTAACGCCAAGGTACTGTCATTCGCGTGGATTTTAAAAAGCGATAATCCTCTGGTGTGATTCGCGAGACACCTCGGAGACTCGGATTTACTTTCCGATGGAGACAGGGTTCACCAACCTGGACTGAAGGTCTGGAGAGTCCAAGAACGAGTCTAAGGATGAGCAGAAGGTGCAGAGTTACTTGATGTTGGGACAATGGACACTGGAAGGAAGCGGCGAAGACGACGAGAGGTAGGGTCACGTGGCTCATCGTCTTGGCTAAGCCTGTAATATAAAGGTGAACGACCATATGACTGGAGGCATTATTGTGACAGTGATACCTCCTTGCGACTTGCATCGGCATCACTATGAGCCTGGAAGAGCTCTCAGCGGAAGGTTACGATCAGTGACAGCGCCCAAAGTGGAAGGCGAGGCTCGTCAGCAATATGACTCATGAAAGAAGACTAGCATATTATTTTGAGATATAATTTGGAAACAAAGTCATGCTCATACCTTGGAGATCAGTCATACGTCGTGGTTATACTCGATCGTCCACTGACCGTTTGGGTCCTATACCCGGCCCAACCGCATCGCTTCCCCCCTCACTATGCACAATTACTTCTGTTGTGCGCAGTATTCTCGAGGACGACAGACGCTGAAGACGCGGATGGGACGCCAAGTTCTCCTCACTTCCTCCCTCAGACGCTGACAAGGATGTTCGAACAGCATCGATATGCACATTGTACTTCTGCGCTTCATGCTCTAACCGGCTGCGTCTTATGGAGCCCAATGCATGGCTCGATGACTGTCCGTAGTAAGCGTTGTTTGTTCGCTTTCGTGAGCGGGAGTTGCTGGCCAAACTCCAAGTGCTTCCGATGACAGATTTGACGAGTGGTTTGATCGTGGGGAAACAGGCGGCTACGATGCCAACGTTGAGCTCAACGCTGTAGAACAAGTCAGTTCCATGCTGCGTGTCGAAGAAAAGAGGTAAACGTACCAGTTCCATATGAGGAATTTAGGGTCCCTGGGTCATGGGACTCGAGTTAGCTCTGCAAGAGACTGGAACGGAAACCGAGTAGTCAACCTACCGCCATGCATCTTGCTCCTCAAACACTCGACTTTGGTAAACTGTTTTGGCGATAGCTGCGGCGCATGCACTGACGTTCTATGAGTTTTCAATTGTAACTTTGGGCCAAAACAACTTACAAGTATCCAAGACTGAGAATTCCCATTAGGGAGGCCCTAGTGCGCTTGTTGACCTGGATATTATAGAACATGAAAACCGGCAGCGTTGCGAAAACAAAGTCAGTGGCGATATTGATAGCTGTTGAAGGCACTGTCAGTAAGTAACCCCATTCTTTTAGAACAGAAAGAGGAACTTACCACTGTTGAATTCGCCAATAGCTAGGTAGGTTTTGCTTGAATAACAGGTTGCTGTAGCCTTTTGGGTATAATCCCACGCTGCACTGACAGGTATACATTGGAATATCAGTGTTAGAATGCAGGCAATCGTGAAAAGTATAAGAAACACTTCGGACAGTCAGCAGTCAGTCAAGTATCTTTAGCATGCCATTTCGAACCTACCCAGCGCCCCGATGATGAACCTTTTGATCAACTTATTCTGTGACGCGAATCGCAGCAGAAAGAAAGCAAGCGATATCTTGACCGAGCTTATCCCCAACACAATGACAATTGCATGGAAAAATGTCCACTTGGACAATGGCCCCAAGTCCTCCAAGCCAATATCGCGGTTGTAATGGCCCAGTCCACGGTGTGTCTCTCCAATGAAACATGCAAGGACACCAAAAGCGCATGCCTGTCAGCAATGGATACGATTAGTACTGCCCGTCAAAAGACTGTCTGGAGACCACCACCTACCTGGGCTATAAGGATGATGCCATCCTCAATGTCATATCTTCGCAGAATGAACAGTCGCACGTAGTAGCGCAGCACAACCAACAAGGCCGATAGACCCGTCAAAAAGCCCACAATGGCGAGAATTCGAGGCGCATTGGTAGGGCCTCTTGTGTGGAGGGGGAATTCGAATGTAGGCGTCGATTGCCGGGGAACCAAGGCCTCGAACGTCTGGTGAATTGGACTCGTCATCTCGAGTCCGTCCGATCACGATCGGTCTCCTTTCAGTTCTTGGGTCTTGTCGATCTTCGTCGGGAGCCGTTCATGGCAACGGGGACGTGATCCACCTATATGCCGCGTCGGGAAGGCAATCGCGCGGAGATCAGTGCAACCGTGCAAGACAGTACGATGCGTTTTGGGGCTCAAGAGTCTGGGATACTTCTGCCCTCTTATGGATGAAATGAGATTTCGGTCGGTCTAGTCGAGATGCAGGAACAATCGACAGAAACATGGCTTGCCACCGGGATTAAAGCCTCGGAAGCTGCAAAGCGCACAGGAGATATCCGTTTAAAGTTTTGTGCTCCTGTAAGACCAACACAGTGACCCAGCGTTTGAAAATACAAGAGATTCTACTGGTAGCTTTCCAGTTGAATTACATATTCCGCCCCGTATTTCCAAAGAGACACGGTTGGATGTCGAACAGGGGCAAGGATACACTACACTAAGTGGGATTCAGATAGTCAGCCTACTCTCTTGAGAAGGGCGGTGCTTCCAGTCTCGCTAAGATAGCAGCGGAGTTCAATCCTTCATCTTCTCTTTCCCTGGAAATTCTACCAAGGAGGAAACAAAAAGAGCAGGGGTTGTCCGAATTCCCGGCTCAGGTGAATACACTGCTTCTTGGCATGTTGGCATTAATCAGACTAGTGTTATGGCTAATATACTGCGTACATGAGATCCAGACTAGACAGGGGACCAACTGCCAGCCGTGGTCTAGCTTCCTTCGAACAGGCAAGAAAATTTCTTGCTTGTGGTTCAATTGCGACCTCCAGAGGGAGGACATCTGGACGAGAGACAAGTGGTATCCCTCTGGAGCCCTTAATATGTTTCTGAATCCTCTCATTTCGACATAGGAATCGTTCCACAACTCAAGTCACTGTATCGAGGAATGCCAATTGTCACCATAAGAGTGCACTGACAAATGTACAGCATGTTTTGACCACTTCCATTACCGAGAAAAGTCGCTCTCTCAGGCAGATCAGCCCGCACGGGACAGAGTGATGAAGAGAGTAATCTCCTCCGCTGCAACTAGCTGAGACGAGCACATAATAATAATAATAATAATAACGGCATTGTGTCCGTACTCCGTCGTCTGGACCCGACTAGTTGCAGTAGCCCGGTTTGAGATAGAAGCATAGGCTGAATTCATTCAAACTCAGCAAGGGCGATTTTATCCAGGCTATACTAGATAATACCAATGGTAAGCCTGGGACCCGGGAGCCCTCGCTTTTCCCTAACTCCGCTGGAGTAATCGATGACCGGTTCGGGAAAATGCCGTAAAATCTTAACAAGTAGCGTCTCCATAGTCCATCCTCCAATACGAGATCGGAGCGAAGCGATGTCGGTTTCATTTCATATACTGTCCGTGGTTATTATAGGCCAGGTTCCACAAACCCTGTCGACTAGATGTCGACTTAAGTACTCGATCTGGAGATAGTACGGGGTATTTTCCACCAGCAGCGGGCGATTCACCTAAGAGGAGAATAGCGACGGTCGGAGATTGGTAAGTTATAAATGGCGCCGAGAAACCCCCACTTAGTGCCAATATAGCGTTCTGTCACTCAGGGTCCGTTGATCCATAGGCGAGGGCTAAAGATGCCCCAGGCAAATGGGCACTATGGAAATGTGCCACGCAATGCCGCTAGAGTAGTGCCGGACGCTAGTGTGCCGTCCCTCGCCTTCACCGGAGAAAGTAGAAAGAATTTACCTAGTTTACCTGGTTATCTACCTTGTGCGGCGCAGTGAGTTTAGCTCAAGTTGTATCTCAGCACCAATGAGTTGTCCTGTGCATATGGTGCCACTGTGAGATAGTGTCCTAACTATGAACTCTCATTGGCCGGGTCTATGCTCAAGAACGAGTCAGTGCAAGCACATAGTACGATTGCCTGAGACATTTTAGTAAAAGTCCGGAAGTGGAAGATGAACCCCCGTAAATTGTGGATTCCCCTGTCTTATTACAATCTGTCGCTGAACGTGGCAACCTGGCCGTAACCCTAATGGAACAGGGGAGTCCGTTCTTCAACCTCAGAAGTCGCAAATTATGTGCCTCGACTGCTGTCACTGCATGTGATCTTCTGGCATTGTATGGTCGGAAAATGGTTGGATATTAGATGCAATAATATAGACAGGTAATAATCAAGGCAGACTGTCAAGCCTTCTATGCATATCTAGCTCCACAGGACATAGCAGTTCAGTTTTCCAAGTTCACTGAATTACCATAAGCTAAATATGTGTGCTTGCCAATAGTTCTAGAGCTCTGTCTAGTCTTGGGCCCGTTCAATTTAATATTGTACTAATTTTGCCCTTAGCTTGCATCTAAGCGGACAGTTATTCATATGCTTCGGTGCCGAATAATCCACGTTATCCAGGCATTGTTTTCTCCTAGCGATATGTTTAAATAGCCGGAAATCAAGCGAAGCTTTTCATTTTCTCACTCCTTCCTGATCATCCTCTCAACTTTTTCGAAGTGTCCTTGTCGATCAGAGGAGCTTTCGGTATGCGGTTCACAATTCTCTCAACAATTGCTGCTTTGGCTGCAGTTGCGCCCACTGCAGCTTTTAGCATTGACCAGTGGGATGTCCTCGCTGGAAAAGCTCTTATCAATCAGGTTCTCTATCACTTCTCCAATCCGGATGCCAGCAAGTCATGCACCCCTCTTACCGCAACAGTTCGCCGAGAATGGTGAATCAGCCCCGTGTCGCAGTAGTTGGAGAGGACCCACTAACACTAGATTCGCAGGGGCTCTCTCTCGAAACAGGAGCGCAAAGAGTACACTGACGCAGTGCTGTGTCTCGCTTCTAAACCTTCGAAACTGGATCCGGCATTTGCTCCTGGCGCGCGCTCTCGCTTCGACGACTTTGTTGCTGTCCACATCAACCAGACATGGTTTATCCACGGCACTGTATGTTTCCAATGTCTAGAGTAAATGCTTTGAGCTAATGTCGACGTCAGGGCAACTTTCTGACATGGCATCGTTACTTCACCTGGGCCTACGAACAAGCCCTCCGCAACGAATGCGGTTACACTGGCTACCAGCCATACTGGGCCTGGAACAAGTACGCGGATGACCCGCGCAATTCTCCCATGTTCGATGGCTCTGACTACAGTATGTCCGGAGACGGGTCATTCATCCCGCACAATGGTTCCGAGGCTGCTCCCGGGATCGTTCTGACTCCTGGAAACGGAGGTGGCTGTGTCTTCTCCGGCCCCTTCAAGAAGTAAGTCGTGCAAATATCCAGTGACACAAGTGACTAGCTAACAGGGGTTGCAGCTTCACCGTCAACCTCGGCCCCGTCTTCCCCAGTCTCAAGGTTCCAGGAATCGTCGCACAGAACGGCACCGGAATGAACTACAACCCCCGCTGTCTCCGTCGTGATATCTCCAAGGACGCAGCGAGCTGGACAACAACCAAGCATGTGGTTGATCTGATCGATGGGCAGGACAACATCTTTGACTTTCAGAATAGGATGCAGGGTGATTACCCGAATGGCTACCTGGGTATCCACAGCGGTGGCCACTATACCGTTGGCGGTGATCCTGGTGGTGTACGTATTCTTCCTTCTTCCGTTAAGGTCTAACACAACAAGCTAATGGCGTATGCAACAGGATTTCTTCGTTTCCCCCGGTGACCCTGCTTTCTACCTCCACCATGCCGCCATCGACCGTGTCTTCTGGACGTGGCAGAATCAGGACCCCAAGGCGCGGACTTACGTTGTGGCAGGACAGACCGTCCTTCCTACTCTGGTGCCAGACGCGCCCAATGCTACTCTCGATGATATCGTCGATATCAGCAGTGCGCTGGCTCCGCCGCAGACTATCCGGCAGCTGTTGGATACGACTGGTGGGCCATTCTGCTATGTCTATCTGTGATTAACCTTGGGATGAGAATTAGATGAGAAAATTTATTGTAATAAGCGAGCTATATACTGTTTAAATAATATATCAATATTGTAATGCAGAAAAGAGTGCTTGTACTGGTGGTTGCCTGTGGTAGAATACGACTTGAGCATTCTTTGGTCATCTCGCGAAGAAGAAAGCGTGAATATCCTGCAGAGTATAACGTTGGTGTTCCTTTACTGCCTTGACAGAATCCTTTAAGCCGTGATTATTTAGCATGGTGTATCTTCTTTGACGTAGAAGACGGGACACTCCGCTGCGGTGATATATATGTTGAGGGTGTATATTGCACAACAGAGTTGAGTCCTGAGATAGCCACATGTTAAACAGATGAAAAACAGCGTCTGTTATAAGTAACATCCTAATAAACATTAATTCAGTTAGCATAAATTGAACTCTCTTTAAGATGATCGATTCCCAGATATCAGATATCAGGCGATGACGTGTGGATGCCCCACCCTTCAGGCCCCGTTGTGCGACCCGTGGATGGTCAAGGCTCGCTGGGGCCCCAGATCTTATCTGGACGTTGACGGTTACACTCACACATCCCTGCTTACAACACCCTCATCCCAGTATGTCCCAGATAGATATTCCAGGCGATTTCAGAGATGAAATAAGAGACGAAGATAGAAATGACGATAATCCACCTTCAAATTCAGGTCCAGCGGGCCCAGTCCTGAGGCTCGATGCTGGCAGGAATCGCCCCAAACCAGCGCCTAAAGCTACCGCCGACACTTTAACACAAGGACTATCAGATGAAGACCTGTGGATGCTCATCCGGCGATTCAACAAAGTAAGTCATCATTAACAGACTCCCCGACCGCGATGTTGACCCCGAAAGCAAATATACCATGTCAAGGCAGCAGCCAATACCGCCTCGGAGGATCTCGATCTGAACAGGGCGCAGGATGAGCAATTTCCACCGGAGAAGGTTCGGATCACGATCGAGCGTTTCTATACCTCGGTCGTGATTAGGGTAGTGGCTTTCTGCAGCCATATCGCCCGGCTACGGTCGTGGAAAGAGCCACGGCGGACGGCGATTTTCTGTGCAGTAAGCTTGATGCAGAATTTCCCACGATGGAATCAAATCTAACTCGTGCAGGGTTACTTTATTGCCTGGTTATTTGATGCCGTTATTTTTACTCTATCAGGGCTTTTGATTGCTTTGATTTTGTGTCCGCCACTCCGTCGGGCGCTTTTCCCTGGTCCATCTCCAGTGACTACTTTGGAGAATTCGGCAACTGGAGCTCACGGCAAGCAGGACAGTGTCATCGGGGCCTCAGAAAGACACAAAGGAGAGGCTGCTGAGCGAGAGGCTCATAATCTTGTCAACAGTGTTGCTACCATTGCCATGAAAAGTGCTACCAGTAAATACGGACAGGCTGTGTCTGAAGATGCTGAAAAGGTCGCCGAGCCGGAGAGTCTGGAAGATGTTGTCGATACGGCAGAAGGACTGGATGAAAGCGTTACCACAGAGACGCAGAAGCCGATGAAGAGGAAGGTAGCCAACGCTACCGACGAGATAATGCGGACGATGAATGAGGTTACCGATACTTATGAGAAATTCTGCAAGTATGTGTCCTTCATGAATGATATGGGACAGTACTGACAGTAGTGAACAGTCTCCTTTCACCGACACCTCCATTTGTCACATACGCCCCTCGTCTACGTTTGGTGGGAATCATGGCCTCCGTATGCCTGTTATCGCTCGTTGTCTCGAGCAATTTCATAATCAAGGCTGCTGCCTTTACACTTGGACTGGGGTTCTTCGGAGAACCCATCATCAATTACAGCATAGGTTACCTCAATCGCAAGATCCCGAACTGGAAGCAACACCTCGACCTGCAAAAGTATGTCCAATCTTCCTAGAAACGACTCCATACTAACGAATCATAGGACACTCCTCAAAGGCATCCCAACCAACGCACAATTGACACTAACCCTGCTACGTATCGGCGAGATCAACTCCTCTCCTCTCGCTCCCCCACCAGACACCGAAGACAAGGACTCCTCATCGCTCATCCGCCGCAAAGCACGCGCCGTCATCGCCTCCAACGCAGCCCCCACTAAACTAGAAGCAATCGATTCGACAGACTCACCTACAGACCCGCAGACCGACCCAGCGCCGAAACAGAGAAAGAAATGGTTCTTCAAAATCCTCCGAATCGTCCGCCGCACAATCGCGACCGCAATCAAAAGTCACGGCGCATTCGACCGCGCCATGCGCATCGCCAACTCGGCACACACGCGAACCCTCCTCGAACTCCTGGCCAAGAAAGATTGGTTTGCGGCGCCTACGGGCCCGCTCAAATTTGAAGCAAAGTTTCAGCGGAAGCGCGGGACGGCGGTGATTGACTCGACTCAGGAACCGCCTGTGATGTACTTTACGACTACGCAGTCTGCGTCGATCGATGATTTGAAGCTGGAGAGTCAGAAGAAGGGATCCGTTTTGTTTCAGATTCCTGTTAGTGATATTACGGAGCTCAAGAAGACGGAAGGGCTGGGATGGAAGGGCAAGTTGATAGTGGAGTTGACGGCAGGGAGCAAAGAGGCTGCGGATGGATTGGTTATTTCCGGCAGCGAAAGCGAGCAGGCGTATCATTTAACAGGGATGAAAGCGAGAGATCAGTTGTTTAATCGGTTGATTGCTATTGATGCGCAGTTTTGGGAGAGTCATTAAACTGACTTGACGTTATTCTCAATAATGAATGTTTTTATCCTGAGTCGATGATGCGCGGTGAGATTAGGCACCCGCAGGCCACCACCAACCAGGCTGCCATGGCCGTTCCCCACATATCCCGAAGCTTAAAAGCAACTGTCTAATCCTTGGATTTCTCGACCTGACCATAAAGTACCACCATCAAAATGACAGAACCAGATATCCACCCTCCTAACTTCACATCATGCCTAGACCAAAACCAAAGCCCGCTCTTCTCGATAATACCCCCAGAAATCCGCCGGGAAATCTTCGCCTACGCTCTTGCCGCCTTCGAGGACACCAACAACCCATACAGCAAAGACACATACTTCACACGGCCGGGCTATGACGCCCCTCACCGCACCCACATGGAGCTACTTCGGACGTGTAAACGCGTCTATCAGGAAGCCTGGTTCATGCCGTTCACATATGCAGAGCACGCCTTCTACCTAACATCTTACGACCGAGCACCAGCACAGGCACAGTTCTCGCCAAGAGCCTTCCAGCAATGCCTGGACTTGATCTATCAGATGCACGGCAAGGTCGAGGCCGGCAGGATTAGGATCTTCGCGCAGCTTTTCATGCTCGAAGAAGGACGCAGGATGAAGGTTCTGCTGGACATGACGCATTTCTATCCCCGGAGCATCACGCTGACGATCCGGTACACGGATTTCTGGATGTGGGAGGAGAATCAGCCTCTCTATATTGATGCGGAGTGGGTGAATATGATCTGTTTTCCGGAGAGTGTGACGCGGTTCAGCATGGATTTTGAGAGTATCGAGCGTCGCAGGGATGAGGTTGAGTATATTGCCAACGCGGCGGCTGAGAAGTGGTTCTTCCGGCGGAAGGACGGGAAGTTCCTGACGGCTGATAAGGCTGATATGTCGGTGTCGCGGTGGACAGGGAGTTCTATTCTAAATGGACAGCGATGGTTAAGGGATGAGGTTCGACCGGGTCAATTGGACTATTATGTTGTCACGGTCGTGTGGAAGGTTGCACCTGAATTAGCGGAGGCGTCGTTACCCACGCCGTGTCCGACGGTCGAAGTTCCGCAAGATTTCCACCAGCCGGCGCCTCCATTTACTGCAGCAGATTGTGTGAGTGTTGCGGAATTGGAGGACGCCAGTATAGCGCCGGATACACCGGCTGAGAAGACTTGGTTTCTGCTTGAGGCGCGTCGAAGAGCGATGGAGGAGGCATACGAAGACGCCGAGCTCCAAGATGAAGGCATGTGGAGTGACTAAAGTGGATCATGCAAGGAGGTGTCAAGTCATCTATGAGTGGACAAGCTACTATTGCTGTAATTTAGCCCTCGTTACATGATATGAAGTTGTTGAGCGATGATCCCCGATTTACTGAATTGTTAGAGCAAGGCAACAATGTCAGACGCGCCATGTGAGCCAACAAGGAGGATGTTGTCTCAGGAGCCAGGATCATAAAGCTTACCATAGACACCCGCCCTCCACAGGCAGTCATCTGACGAGTGCAAAGATATCAACCCAACAAGTAATCTTCAGTTCTTCCTTCTGTCTCGTCTAGAATAGTTCCCAACGCAAGCATCGAAGATAGTTCCTTCTCGGCTGTCGGGGTACACCTGCTAGCCTTCAAATCAAGCATGAAAAATGACCTGTCCTAGCTACCAGCATTGTCTGGTACACATTCCTCGCATCGACCCCACCGTCATTTCCAGGAAAGACACGGAGCCGACAAGAGCAAAGACCTTGCTATTTGCGCAAGCGATCGTCGATCCAACCTAATCTTGCATAGAGCCGAACCTACGCCACATCGATTTCCGTCTGTGCGAGATTGCTGTAGCCTATAGCCTACATGAATCTGCATCTTGGCTAGCGAACGCGTCATCCACGCCAAATCCGACTCGGCCTAGCAGGTCTTACGCAGGGAAACTGGTAGAACCGTAATTATTGTGGGTCATTCCTTCCCTTCTGACTCGGTTAGTATCAATAGTCTCGTCGCATTCCTTGCCTTTCTCAGGAGTTTCACTGTATTCCTTGCCTTTCAGCTCTCGAGAACTAGCCACGATTGTGTTTTGTGGCTTGGGTAGTTCAGCCACAATATGCTGCACAGCCACAATCTCCGTGGCATTCCAAATATGCAAGGAGGGATCAACGGTCCATCTGTCGCTAAATATGCGGCTATTTTGTTCCGGCGTAGAGAGGTACTCCGTGTGTGCGACCTTGGACGAAATGCGGCTGTGGTACTAGATAGTGGCTGACCAATAATACTCGCCGGCGTCGACTAGCCCCAAAGTCCCCGACCTCCCTGAGCGTGTAATCTATATCCGGCGCGAGGTGCAAGTGATGGGGAGCTATGATGATACCTAGCAGCCCCAAGTCTACCTGGTAGAAGAGCACGGAATCGTAGGTTTTTGAGCCAATCAGAAGGTTAGACATGGACAGGTAAGGTACTCGACCAGTCACATTGAGCATTAAACTGACGATGTAAAAGCGGATGGATAAGACATGCTACGCTTCACTCCGCAATAATGCATAGGTGAATTAGGGGGGCTGATTTGAATGAACTATCAGACCCCAAGCGAGCCCTTGGATTACCCGCTCATGCCTCGCAAATGTGAGATAGGGTTGGGATCTACGGCCATTCGAAAAGTATACCTAGTATTAGTCCACGGTTCCATTGGCGGATTATTTGTGGGTATCGCTCGATGAGCTTCCTGTGTATTTGGCAGGAGGTAAGCTCGATTTCTAGTATCATGTATCTATCCACCGGGCTGTGTTGTACGTATCTCATTCTCCAGATACGAACTATCTACTATGCATTAGTCTCGGATTTCTTTCCCGAAGACGACAGCGCTGCAAATGACGACAGTGGTCCATTCTTTGAATGAAATCCTGATTCCTGCTTGGGGTACAGAATGCGGTAACATCTTGAAACATGGATGGCTATACTCGTCAATACTCTCTGGCGGTCAATAGCGATATCCTCAAATCCACTAATAACGAGAATGCCAAACTACAGGTTCCTATCTAGAACAGCCTCGGCAACTTACTGCGGAGGAGGAACGGTCGAATGAGACACCCCTCTCGATACCTTAATATCGGGAAATCCTCTTGCTCCGAAGAATCCATCAAGATTCGTCAGGTATATTGGGTTGTACACACCAATACCATAATGGGGAAGAGGCGCGTGAAGGAAAATCCTGCGTGGACCATAGAGATCGGGTTAGAACTGACAAATTCCGAGATCGACATTCGCAAGTTCATCCAGCGCCCCAAATCATAATGCATCATCTTCCGCCTCATTATAGACCAGTCCGAACTCTCAGCTCGCTTGATCTTTCCAGTTATCAAGATAGGTCGAGCCGCATGACCTAGCATGGGTCGATTTGACTACCTGTTCAAAGTTGAGTAATGCTCTTTGTCTGTTTGCCGCTCTTGGCAGCATAGAATTCGGTATAGTTGCGCTGGTTGTACCTCTGGGACAATGTGAGTTCCTTGCTTAATAGATCCCTGTGCGGCTCGATTGACTGACCCAAAGGGGATCTGGGATAGAGTAGAGATGCACTAGAGGGTCGTTCCCCATTCAAGGGCCGAACTGACAGGATATAAACATAGTTCCTTATGTCTCACCAAATACTCCGTATACATGGTCCATTGCTCTCGCTTAAGCGCAATGTCTTGTAAACATACAGGCAATCACGCATCTGCAGCCGCCATTAGATAAAGCAGCTGCACCTGTAGAAGGATCAACGAGATACTGTTTTTGGCTGCAATTGCACCGGCGTCCATTGGCCCCTGTTTCAGTCGCCACCATACCGGTGTGACTGCAGCCAGACCATTTTTGAGAGAAGATACCGGACCGCTTAATGGGGAATTTCGGGAATACCCCCTATATTCACGTAGCCTTGCCTTGCACACTGCAAAATACCTTGGTGTGATCGTGCATGCTCCAGTTACGGAGTAGTGGCTGTTGACCAGATCCTCCCGCCGATCGTCCCGTTGACACGAGAAAGTACCAAGAGCGTCCCACTGACAGATGTCCTCTGTGCTCGAAGCCTTATTAACCATTGATTTTCCCCTTCGCCCCCAGGAGTTTCGTTTTTATTAAATTAGATTACGACCATGGAAATGACTCCGATGATGCTCCTGCCCAGCTTAAGGAAGTTCAAGTGCCCCTGGGCGCACTGTGGAAAGGTCAATATCACCCTCTCTCCAACTACGCAAGTTAAAACTCACAAAAGCCTCACAGTCCTTCAATCGCAAGTCCGACCTCTGCCGACATCACCGCATTCACACCAACGAGCGACCATACCACTGCACCGTCAAAGGCTGCAACAAGAGCTTCGTCCAGCGCAGCGCGCTAACCGTCCACTTCCGCACGCACACCGGCGAACGCCCACACGTCTGCAATTTTGCCGGTTGCGAGAAGGCCTTCTCGGACGTAGGTCCTAGTTCCTACTCTACCATATCACACCCACGCCCACGTACTAACGATTACCTCGCAGTCCTCAAGTTTAGCCCGCCACCGGCGCACCCACACCGGCACAAAACTGTACAATTGTCCCGAGAGAACGTGTCCCAAGAGGTACGACGCACCTCCCGTACGGCATAATGAAGAGTGAAGACTAAATGATACCTACTGGGGTTTGCGTTTAGCTTTTCCCGCAGAGAAACACTAGCGAACCATCTCCACCGCCATCATCCGGCCATCATAGGCCTCGCGCATCCGCAATCGCATACGCATGCCTGTGAAGACGCAGCTTTTACCGAATCGCCGTCTCCGTATCAGAGTATATTGCCTCTATCGGCGAGCGGGGCGTTTGGACCGGCGTTCTACATGCAGCATGACCTTCCCGTGAGCTACGCGCCAACGCAACAGTGTATACCGCTCCAATCGGCCTTCCCCGTGGCGATGCAGGAGATGCAGTATTCGCTCTCCAGCAATTCTCTACAGCAGTTTCAGGACTTCGGGATCGTGGGGCTCACAGATTATCGCGTTTTAGATTCTAGACAGGGGCTAAGCAATGGTTATGAGCTCTCTGGGTGAAGGTGGGCATATGGTGGCGCAAGTTATCTAGGATTGGGGCGTTATGGCGAGGATACCGGTCTTTTGGTGAGTAGGATGGCTTTACCTTGTACTGGATGTTTAACTGGACCATGCGCAGCAGGCACATAGAGGGTTGGGAAAAGTGGGATAACTGGAACATTTATCCAGGGAGTCAGAATTGTGGTGATTCGGTGCATTGGAGATTGGAGACTCCAGGCTCGATGTCGTACTCAGGACCAGACAATACTCAGCCCTTTTGAATAGTGGTTAAAGTCCAGATACTAATGCAGCTAAGTCGCTGAAACCCACGTTTCATTTCTCGTGGTCTAGATCATCCATTGTCTGAAAATCTTGTAATTTTGTAACCCATCTAACTCCAATCCGGTTGTATCGCTCTATATCATGAAAAAATTACTCCATTTCAATGGTGGCAGGAGGCTTGCTGGAAATGTCGTAGAGGACACGGGAGACTGCAGCTCGTCAGCACCCATCTGGACAGGTGACCTAGAAAACGGAACTTACCACCGTGGACCTCGTTGATGATCCGAGTAGCGCACTTGCTCAAGAACTCATTATCGAAGGGGAAGGCACGAGCGGTCATGACTGATATAACTTAGCACAAAAAGTCTCCATCGATCCCCAAAATCAACTTACAGTCGGTAGTCTCAACAGCGCGCAGAATGATGATCTCAGCGTAGACGCGCTTGTCACCCTGGAAGACGGGTTAGATTGGAAACAATTGAAGAACGCAACTAAACGCACCATGACACCAACGGCCTTGCTCGGATCCAGGGCAGCGTAAGCCTGAGAGATCTTGTCATACAGACCGGCTTCGCGGATCATGGAGATGAAGATGTGATCCGCCTTTCGGGCGATGTCGACGCGCTCGGGGGTAACCTCACCGAGGACCCTGCCGTTGCATTAGTTCCGGAGAATCTTCGTTGACTACTGAAACAACCTAGAAACCTACCGAATGGCAATACCAGGGCCGGGGAAAGGGTGCTTTGACACCGTCAGCAATTCGAAAACCATACACATGGCGGAGAACTCACTCTCATAACAAGCTCGTGGGCGATGCCCAGCTCTCTTCCAAGCTGGCGAACCTCGTCCTTGAAGAGCTCGCGGAGGGGCTCGATGAGCTTCATTCCTTGTCCCTCGATCATACGCTCTGTAACAAATTAGTAAATGATACCGTAACGATTAAAATGGTAGTAGAACTTACTAGGCAGTGCACCGACATTGTGATGTGTCTAGAAAAATGTATTAGTACCAGACTCCCGGTATAAACGGGGCGAGCAAACCTTGATGGTGGCGGAAGGACCCTTGAATGAGATACTCTCAATCACATCGGGGTACAGAGTACCCTGGAGGAACCACTTGACCTTGGCACCAGAGTTTTCGGCCAAGGCCTCAATCTTCTCTGCCTCCTCCTCAAAGACATCAATGAAGGTGGCACCGATGAACATGCGCTTCTTTTCAGGATCAGTGACACCCTTGAGGCCATCCAAAAAGCGCTTGCAGGCATCAACGACAGTCAGGTTGATACCAAGGTGCTTGTTCAGGGTCTCAGCCACGGTCTCGCACTCGTTCAAACGCATGCATCCGTTGTTGACAAGAACGGCGTGGAAACGGTCACCGATAGCCTCCTTCATGAGCTTGGCGGCAACGGTGGAGTCGACACCACCGCTAACGGCACCGAGAACGTGATCGGTCTCACCGACCAGCTTCCGAATGCGAAGAATTTCCTGGTCGACGAACTTGGACATGGTCCAGTTGGGGTTGGCACCACAGATGTCGACGGCGAAGTTGCGGAGGAGCTTGGCTCCATCTGGTGTGTGCTGCGCTTTGTTAGACATTCATTCACCTTGGCGACTATCGAGCGAAAGGATCATACTGTGACTTCGGGGTGGAACTGAATGCCTATGACTTCGTTAATAACTTGTTGAAGGGCTGCGCGCTGATAGGGAAATTACCATAAACAGGCTTTGTCTCGTGTGCGATACCGGCATACTCGGAGTTTGCAGTAGTCGCGATGGTGTGGAAGCCCTCGGGCAATTTGACAAGCTTGTCACCGTGACTCATCCAGACCTTGACGTGGTCCTCCAGACCAGCGAACAGCTTGTCGACATGTCCCTGGCTGTCGAGTCTCTTGGCGTTCAGGTCAGCATGGCCGTATTCGCGAGCAGTACCGGCAACAACATTGTCCTTTCCGAGTCGGTAGGCAATTTCCTGAAGACCGTAGCAAATTCCAAGAACGGGAACACCGAGTTCGAAGACCGCAGGGTCAGCGTGGGGGGCACCTAATGGTCGTTAAGTCAAATTCGTCATGTAGTCCGCATTGTGTCGCATACCGTCCTCGTATACACTGTAGGGGCCGCCAGAAAGGATCTTGAAAAGCTTTTGTTAGTGACCGTCTATCTCGCGCAGCGGACCGAAGTATGACTCACAATTCCCTTGGGCTTGAATGGAAGGTCGGCCAGCTTCTGAGTGCATGGCAGCATCTCACTGTACACTCCGATCTCACGCAGTCTTCTGGTAATGAGATGGGTCTAATCTATTAGCATAAGTCTCATGTATGGTGCAACTCGGAGCTCACATATTGCGATCCGAAATCCAGGGTAAGGATCGTGTCGAACGTGGCCGACGGAATCTGTTCTTCAGCCATTGTGACGGGGTTTGACGAAATGGTACCGGTTGAGACGGTCACTATTGAATGCTGATGAGACGTGGGATGCAAGAGAAAGTTGAATTGACTAGTCTCTTAGATCAATTGCCCGGAGCACAGCTGATGACTGCTGGTACCCAGCAGCGAGAAGGTTGCAACGCGGTGACTCGAGGGGAAATTTTTCTCTATGCGGGGCGGTGAAACACGCGGGGTTGAGCAATATTCGGCAGAAAATTCTTTCTATTTTGGGTTATCAGTAATGAGCCAATCATCATCCTCAGATAAGGCAACGGGCACTAACCTTAAGTGGTATACCTCAGGTGTCACTTTGTCATGTCATTTTCGGAGTATGGAGGACACGCTTCCTGAACCAGAGTCCGAGTCCAGATTCATGGCTTGTATGGGGCTTCCAAGATACGTCAACTACTGGAACTGTGAGCCAAAAATATCTGATCCATGCAGAAGACTTACATATCTCGAATGTCTAGGATTATGCGCAATCATCGCCTTCAGCAGAGTGCGCGTCTAACACATGGTCTGTCGTCTGCGGGGTCTGATTGGACTCCAACATATGTTTCCCTGACAGCTTCAAGCTCATACCAACGCTGAACTGAAGCCAAATCAGTCTCCTATCTGGAAACCTGACATGTTCAATAGTGTTCCCACTAGAACCTCACCTTATGAAGATGGCTTCACCTGGGCTAATTATATCGATGGAAGGTATACTTCGTCGGAGGTACGATCTGAAGGGTGAGAATTCAACCTCGTCAGACAAACGTATTAGGACAGAACATCAAAGGAAATACTCCATCTAGCCCTTGAACATCTCTCTTTTTAATGCTATCGGCCATGATCTTGCATTGACTGCCGACACCGACCGGATTAACCGGCATCGACGCATCGGACAAACCCCGCCCATATTGGGGGCAAGGTGTGCACAAGCTTGGATAATAAATTGTGGGCATTTTAATCCTGACAAGGCTTGACCTTGGACCAATGACTTTGTGTAGATTGGATACAAAGGCAAGTACTAAGTAGTGCCTCTCATCGAGGTGGGTGTCGGCTGATTTCGCGCTGGGAAAAAGGCGGAGGAGAGGATGGTCAACAATGGGGAAAGATTCGCAGTCCTTGTCATGAGATTGTATGTTTGTCTTGGCTTCTGTGCTCAATTCATTCTACACTGGATAATTCCTATCGTGGGGACCGGATTGGAGGGATTCGGCATGCTGACGTCCCTCCTGTCTATCCAGACGTATCTAGCTGATGCATTAAGCGAGCATGCAGCTTCTGAGGCGGCTTCTCTGACGGTGGCCTGATTGTTGATATGGGCGTTTTTGCCGCTGGCGGGCCGGCGATATATGCGAGGCTAGGGCTGGGATGGGGGAATTCGCTGCTAGGGTTTATTGCGTTGTCGATGCTGCCGCTCCCTGTGGTGTTTTACTACTATGGCAAGAGGATTCAGACGTATCCGATGTTCAAAGTGACTTTCTGGACTTTATTTGTCTCGAGCAAGTGGCCTGCGGCGGTGCATGTAACGCTTATTAGAGCAATAAGACTTCCAGCATTATCAAATGACAACCAAGCTATATAAAACTAGATTTTGATGCACTGTGCTTGGGAGAGGATAGTGGATGTCAGAGCGCACATACCAGTCTGTAGCTGAGCCATGCGGTGGTATAGTTACGAGGGAGCGTAAGACCAGCGTCCAGCAGTAAAAATAAGTATATCTGGGATAAAATAGTCATCACAAATGTATTCTATTCAACGCAGTCTTGACTTAAACTGCAGCTAGTAGTAACAATCATGGCCGTAACCCCAAAGGTTCAAAGTTCAAAATACATTATCATGTCACATAAACCCCTCACTGAGAGTAAGCCTTGATAGCATCAGCAAACAATCCCTGAGCCCACTTCTCTCCACCGTCAATCTCCTCCGCATCCTTGGCATCCACGATCTTCTCAAGAGCATTAGGAAGCTCGGAGGTGAGACCACTCAGACTCTTGAGAATGCGCAGCATATCGCCGCTCTTGCCAATCTCTTTGATCTGAGGTTCCTATTCAAACATCAGTCTCATCCAGCCATGCGTATCATAAAGATCTTCTAAAGCTGTGATCACCTTAGCGACGATATCAGCAAGCAGATCACCCATGAACGTGGGGTAAGGCTTCGCAAGGGCCTCCATCACAAAGTTGCTGTCTTCGTCGGAAAGAGGAGCGGTGGCGTGAGCGGCGTCGATGGCGCGATGAAGAGATGCTTCAACGGCAGCCTCTTTCTTGGTGATGACGGTGTACTGGGCAGGGTGTCCATCGAAGGCCTTGACTGCGTTGTCCAGGTTGGTGTACTTGTTTGCGGCCGCGTTGAGGTTGTGCACAACGTCTTTGACGGTGTTAGGGACTGGAAGGGCACTTGTGCTGCTGATGAGGGCGGTGGCCACGAGGGCGCTGAAGAGACTCTTGATAGCAACCATCTTGGTGGTTGTTGTGGACCAGGCTTGTTGTTTGGGAAGTAAAGGATGTGGATTGGCTTAGAGAAGCTTGTCAGAGAAAAATGCAGGTATATGGATGGAAGAGAAGAACAGAGAAGGGTGAGGTGAGAAGGAAGTATTTATAAATCGTGCATGTGAGGCAGATGAGGCTAAATGCTCGCTTAGAGAGCAAGGTGAATATGGAAGACAAGGATGAGGTGATGGTGTCAATAGTGGATCCATGATATGCATGGAATATTCCTGGATGGTGGAGTAAGACAATTCGTGGCATTTTTATGACCTTTAATATCAAGATCAAAAGATAGTGGATCACTTTATGATATTCACGCAAGACTCCGGATTATATTAAACTGTTACTCCTAGATGACAGCCCCGCCATGACGATACAGTCAAGTAGGACTTAAATATCAAGGCTCCCCTTCCACTCGCTCTCTCTACCAAAAGTGAATAATTACAATGGATACTGATACGAATATTGACCCTTTGAATGGTCAAGCCGGTTATAGATATCCATGATCAGGCCACGTTAAACATCTTCCTCTTTCGCTGTCGTGCCTTCTCCCACTCGCGGCTCGGAACGGCCGATTGTTCGAGATACCTGAGCTTCAACAGTCGGGACCGGTTGGTCTTGCTGCTTGGATCCACATTTCTGGAAATAACTGCAGGCTGAGAGCACTGCAACGAGGAGATGCTACGCAAACAAGGCGAGGCATGGGCTGTCGCTCTTCGAGAGATCTAGAGCCTTCTTCCCTCTACGCATGGCACTATACCTTGCTGATGTGAGTACAGAATATAAGTCCCAAGCATAAGGTCTTGGGATTCATGTTCGAGGATATCACCGATATGGGTAATGAGGTAAGAGATTCCATCTTCTGCCAGCGGTATGACGAGCAAGAGTTGACTTTGGCCAGGCTGTATACTTCCAGTGCCGTATCTTTGCATCTAGAGACACGTGAACTGCATTGTCCGCGGCACGATGCACGATTGCGCACTGGCAATTTGGCAAATACCTGTTTCCATCTACTCGGAAAATAAATCTGCGATTGGATTGCGCATTTACCGATTAGAGGCATTGCCACTATAATCCACACTATACATGGGTGTTGGTTGGCTCAGCAATATATCGCAGCGGGTCACCTTGACCGAATGTAATTCAGTCAGCCTTGGCATGCGCCTTTCATGCATTACTCGATGCAAATGGGAAAGTCCCCGGTGCCAATTGCGACACCCTGGGACAAAGGCGGCCGCCTTTTTCGGCTCGAGCTATGCATCCTGAGAAATGTTTTCTCATCGCAGTGAGAGTGAGACAGACACGCCTTGTTGTGTATGATACCATTAGGCCCTTGCGAACACCCAGTCTGCTGAAGCTCCGCGCGCATTGAATCACTTAGCGATCGAGGGGCTGCGATCAAGTATCAAGCCAGTTCTGGTACGTTCACTTGAAGCTGACTGGATTCTAGATCTGTCCTCGACGGAATTTAATCTGTACCGAAAGGTGTGGTGCAGTGGAGTGAGACATCCTTACTTGGCATGGACGGGAGGGGCCCGGGGACTGTAACGGCGGCCGGATTGCTGTCTAGGTGGGGAAGCCCAAATCGGAAAATGAAGAAAAGAGAAGGTAAGATAGCATCCATACCGGAGAAGAATACGAGGCGGATATGCATTGCATTGTTCAAGAGGCGCAGTCCAAGCAACCGTGCGGCTGTGCCATTGCCAGACGAGCAACTTCGATTGCCTTGCTACCGTCGAACTAGAGCCCTCGATTTGAGGTATCAATTGACCCCTGAGCCCTGCGCTACAACATGGTCGTCAATATGCAACGGTGTCATTTGCACCACTCAGTGATGGTCATCAAGCACGCACCGTTATTCGTGCTTAAGATGGCCAAAGGAAGCATAAGCCTGGTGGTGGAGAGTAACGCAACTGGTGATATACAGCAAAGTATTCAACGCCTTCTACCAAATTCTTTCATTTATGTTCGGATCAGTGGGGAAGTTCAAATAGCATTATAAGAAAGACAACTGACACATGATGCATACCACTCAGAGTACTGACAGCTTCATTTTATATTCCGTACCACGCCATACATCCCATCTTGCATTCTACCTTTCATGGCTGCGCCAAGGAGCCATTTGCGCATTCCCTCGTCCACAGATTCACCCTCAACAATCATCCCTGGGGTTATCAGCGCGGTTTCGGTTGGAGAATTGGATGAGATTTTTGCTACGCCAGGCCAATAGATATCGACTGCTCCACGAAAACGAGCTCGTGGCAAAGTCCACTTGCTCGGTTTATCGACCACTGGAGAGACAGCGAGGCCCTATCCGAGATCTCCCCTTAAAGCTTCCACTCGCTACTCATTCAATTAGTTTTCGGCAACTGGCTATCGACAGCGAAGAAACGACCCGGTCCAAAGTTCCGCGGTCGTCATCAGGCTGCCGACGCAGAAGGGCAGACGTCCAGAGTACTAGCATGACAAAACCCCCCGATGACGAAGACAGCAGCGGTCAAACTGATAGACTTCCTGCAGGGTTTGACAGTGTCGATTGCGAGCCTGTCAACGGAGTGTGCCTCATACGATAGCCTCTATCTCAGACAGTCAGACATGGCGGTGTTGGCACCATGGAAAACCCCCTATTTCCTTCCGTCAACCACATCTTGATGTAGGGCCGTTTACGTACTTCGGCGACGAGCCCTACTCATTTATCCGGTCCCTACCTGAGAAACTCTGGAAGGTTCTTCAAGGCTACCATTTACATAGGCAACAACTCGTAAACATTCCAGGCTCCGAAGAACTCAATGGTGACGCCAGTACAGGTCGGTAGGGTCACTAATTCTGGAATTATACAACGGAATACCGTGACTATTGTATAAAGATTGAGCCTCCCAGCTTGCGTACAATTGCGAACAGAATATACGAAGTCGTGGACAACTGAGGTGGCACGCTGAAATACGAGCATGTTGGTTTCGACCCTGAATACGCCACTGAATAATAGAGATTACAGTGTGCCGTCGATATGAACAACTGAGTTGGTAAGATGACTGACTCCAATGATAGATTATTTCGTATTCATTTACAATCATTGTCCTTCAGGTCCCTCCTCTGGATTTTCCCTCCTGAATCTTGTCATCCCTGTAACGCAGACAGACGATATCTCAGCGTCTGCAGATCGGACCAACGCCCACCAATCGGCCACTGACGGTGTACTCTATTTTACGAGCCTCGCAGTGGCGCAGTCAGTTCTTCATGGGGATAAAAAAAAGGCTAAGCGACAGGGAATCCTCGTTTCTAGCATGCTAGATATTGAAGCCAGACGTGACAAGTGAGGGAAAAGTCCAATCGATATGGGAGATCGTGCCGGACCGCAAGGTTACACAATGTGCTGTCATCAGGGATTGCCCCTCTCATTGCAAGGCAGAACAATTTCTGATATCTCACATCTCACATATAAGATGAACGCATTGCGCAGCAGAGTTTGGCATTCATTCCTGCCTGCCCCAGAAATTCCGCGACAAACTGCTCCATCAATCCCCCCAGGATGCACTCTGCTTTTATCCTCCTCGCAGCTCTGGCTGCCGTTGTTTCCGTGGAGACAACCGATGTCCAAGTGTTCCAACCTGGCCCCACGACCCTTCCGCTGCACGCCGTCGAGGCCAGCGTCGTCGATGCCAATGCTGGCGCCACCACTCTCGCCATCAAGTGCGAGGGAAACATCTACCCCCCCGGTGATCACTTCGCCCTCTGCAGCCCTTTCACCATTACCCAGGGCCCATCCACCTACAGCGTCAGCGCAGTCTACTCAGCCTCGGCGGGTGGAGTCGAGGAAACCCACACTGTAGTACAAGACTGCGACATCACCTCATCCACCGAGTTGGCCACATGCACACTGTCCGCCAAAGTGGAAGTCTCCGCACTCGGAAGAAAAACTGTCACCTCGTCCTCGGCGACGGTTACCCTTCACTCTGGCGATATTTGGTATACGCCTGTTCTGGTGACCGCTGGCGCGGAGAAGTTGACGGCGTCGAGAGCGACGCAGACAGTGTCTGACACAACGCGGACAGGGTCTACAGCGACGCAGACGGCTGGAAATGATGGTGCTGTTGTTGTGAATGCCGCTCCGGGAAATATGGGGCTCGGTCAGGCTGCTGTTGTGGCTGTCGCTGCCGCTGCAATTGGGTTTTTGTAGGTATTTTGAGGGGTTAAGCCACATACAAAAGCGTGGAGTACACGTTGGTTAATGTTGATTTCTGACTTTCGCTCGCTCTGTCGAGCCGTTATGTTGATAGCATCCAGTCATAACTTTCTTAGTGAAGTTCTTAACATTATCTTAATAACATTATCTTCATAACGGCAAGATATTTCTTTGTATTCTGCTCCACTCTTTTCGTATGCTCAGGAGCCTTCTGGTTAGATGAAATTGCCTCAAGCAGATTGTCTGACAGAATAGTCAGTCCACATCCATAGCAGCGTTGCCAACGCAACAAAGAAGCAGCCGATGTTCCATGCCGTTGCCCAGTCCCCAAAAATAAGTTTGGCAACGACGACCAGGAGGAAAAGCAAGGTAACGGCTAAAGGTAAGACAATGTGCTGTGAACTAAATTGCCAATTTTCCCGAATTCTTATACCACGGAATCGGAGCTCGCTTAAATCAGGGCAATGCCATTCGTCAAATCTCCTCAAGATATCACTGTGTTCTCTTAATTAGGCTTCTGGTAATTGTAGAGCGCAGTTTACCACTTACAGGTGGCTATACACTAGCCGTTCTCTGTTAAGGACACCGTTTAAAGCAGCAAGACCGGGGTCCGAAAAGAACATTGTCAATAAGGACCGCGTATCGAGACGCGAGAGTTCCCGTTGCGCGTCATAATACTCCTTCTCAGGGCATTCTGCGTCGTCGATTATGTACGAGACACAGTCCAGGAAACAATCTACTCTGCCTGTCGATAGATTGTATTGGCATGGGGGGTCCTGTGGTCGGTAACTCGCAATGATCTGTTCCAATCGTCTCCTTTCGCCATCCAAATCCTCTGTTGTATACATTCCCATATAAATTTGCTTCATTTTGCCTCCTGACTTCAGCCCAGCAATCGAGATCTTGAATGATATGTCAGTACCGCTAGGGATAAACTACACGGTCTACTGCGACACGACAAACCTTAACAATCTCCACCTGCCTAACGCCAAAGAAAGGCAAATATCTCCTCCAGTGCCCTCTATAAGTGTACCATGCTCGGTGGATTTCCCGCCAGACAGCCACCTCATCGGTTGAATCTGCGATATTCACTGGGATAATGTGACAACGATGCTTTTCACCCCAGCAGAGAAGGACTGAAGCACTTATGCCATCTCCTAGCATCGGCTCCAGAGCTTTTCCCAGGCCAGTTTTGCGATCCTCGTGTGACTCTTTTGTAGGGGCGGATGGCTGAGAACTTGCACCTATTCGCTCGACGTTTTCAAGATCGGTAAGTCCCCTATTTCTGTTACCCGTGGACGCTGTTGAGGTATTACGACCGCTTGAATGGCTGTCCACTCCTGACGCGGTCAGAAGGTTCGGCGAAATCCCCGCGTATGGAGAACTTTGTATATAACTCGCGTTGGAGACGGGTAATGTGGGGAATTCTGGTGCGAAGAAGACCGATAACACTCTACTCATCCACAATCTATCAAGGTAATTATGATGCAAACGTTCAACGCGCGTATGTCGATTGGTGCCATCTCTCGAACCGTTCTGTTCATCCGCGTCAACACGCCCAGGCCCTAGCAAAGCCCGTGGTGGGGGATGGATACTAGCCATTTTGCTCGACTTAGAGAAGGACGTCTGGTATCTAACGGCAGGAAGGGTTTAAATTTAGGGAACGGTGTCAATATATACTTCTGACCAAGTGAACCACGCCATGCCAAACTGAACCACACCTGTCTAGTTAACATTTGAGATGGAGGGCGTACTTTCAAGGATTACAGACTCTAACGCTCCCTTATTGGATGCTAAATAATCCATTTATGCAGCCTCCCACAAGTAGGAGCGTCAGCCTTGTTAGATGTCGGTGTGGGCGGCTAATCATGCTTTATTACTCCAAGGCTGGGGACATTTGTATGCATGTAGTGTGACCTTAGTGAGGGCTATCTCATTCCAACATCTGTCAGCCTTGTCATAGGCCCTCCGTGGAACTCAGACAAAGACCAATCCGCTTGGTCGATTTAAGAGTACAGCCTTGTCCCCGTCCCATCCATGTTCACAGTCGTAACAAAACCGCTCTTTAGGGAGACATCTCACAGGTTTTAAGAAACTTTAATCTCCATGTCGAAGCCAGATATAGAGGCATGAAAATGGTTATGAGTGATTTGTAGTGATTATATATAGCACGGCCGAATCAGAACAACCTGGAATAGGTGATCAGAAAAACACAACCTTTTAGAATCCTAGATGGTCGAACCTATTCAAGTATAAGCCGTCAGGAAGGATGGCGCTTAGTCCTATAACAGCTAACTGTTCTTTTCTTTCATTGCGGGCTACTAAGTTCTTCACGCCTGATACAGCCCTTCTAGAGTCTCATCGTCAGGTCCTCGGCTACATCACTAACACTCATGCTAGAAGCATCACAAGATTATTTTGGAGGCAAAGCTACTGTTCAAGAATTTACTGCTTTTCCTATAAGGCTTAAATCCGGCTGAGCGCAGTGGAAGATCTGTTTTCTGCAACCTGTGGTACTATATGAGGATCTGATGATCCAATATTTTTTGTAGTAACAGTCCGCCTTGCGAGGCATCCAAGCACAGCCTCCCCCTTATCTAAAAGCTTAAGCATCCATATCAGCCTTCTGCAATCCGCAGATTTTAGAATAACATTTCTTCCATCCTCCATTACACAATCTGCATCATTCTCGCCATGTCGGTTCCCCTTGGCTTTGATAATATTCTCTTCATCCTGAGGAGCTGTCGTTCATTATACCGATGTCTAGCATCCCCGTTCAGACGAAATCGACAAAACGAACAAGAGCGAACTTAAGAATGCACCTGCGCTTAGTCTGTTCTGCCTCCCTCATTATCGCGTATGTTCCCTAGAAGTCAGAGCTTGTCAGTGGAATCCCTGGAGAAGCCTATAGAGACTTGGCTCCTTCTGACAATGCCAAAGACTCTAGGCCGGTTTTTAGTCAGATCGCTAAGAAATCAGAGGCGGCAATGTAATCGGCTACTCAAACACTAGCAACCAACAGAGTGGGAGAATACACAACAGGAGGAGACATGAGTCGACTGACTAGATGTGTTTCTTCTTTGACATCGTAGACCGCGGCCCCACAAGCTCAGGTACCTATCAGGTGTTAATTTTTATGTCATTCATGGTTCCGAAGCCTGGCGCAACAATTGCGGACAAGGAGCACTGTCTATGTCGATTATGTGGGCTTTACATGTTTCTGGGGAAGCTAATCTAGTCATGGGCAATACTTTGGAGAACAGGGAGAAGGTGGACTAGAAGTAGGGGTTTAAGAATAGCAGCAATGGCAAGAGAGAGCAGGCAGAGAAAGCTATAGCTCTTTGGAGTCGCACTCACCACTGCACTTCGTTCCGAAGATCCTCGCGAGAAAGCACCTGAACCAGACCTGGTCCAGGATCACATAGGCTTTTCACATGATGTCCAGAGAAACTCTTTTAGCATGCTAGATCTCATTTCATGTACCACTCTGCTGTGAAACACCAGTTGTCTGCTGGCTTGGTTCTGTGCCGTAAGAAGGATAATCACTAAAACAAGCAGTTGCCACTGCTAGCTTAAATATTACTCAATGATCAAGCAGGTGATCTCTTGAGATATCTTCCAGAGTAACACTAGATTTTGATTGTCGTTGACGGCATATTGTGTAATTTATTACGTTGATCCGTATCGAGTGTAGCACAATGTTGAGTCGTGTGGGAGTCTTCCGACGGAAGGACCTTGCAAGTAGTCGTTTGCTCCATAACTATGTGATAGTAGCAATACAAGTCAGGCTTTAAATAGAGTTAATGCCCTTCAGCTAATAGTTAGCTACAACTATATCTATAATATACCAAACTGCAACCCATAAAAGAATCTTGGTGCAGAACTTCAACAAGCCCACCAAAAACATACGTCATGCCCGCTCAGCAGACTACCATCGATGCCTCCAGGGCTAGTTTCTTCCAGGGATTAAAGGGAGCTGTCGGTGCAGAAGTACTCAAGACCCTTGACCCAAATATCGTCGACGCTTTCAAACCAGCAAACATGCAACCCACGCCGAGCTCACCAACCACACCCACGAAATACACATGCTCCACGCAGAAACCCCTGCCAGCAGCTTTCAAATCCAGTGCTCACAAAGCAGCACTCCAAGTCGGGCTTGGAAAGGTTATACCCCGCTGGAAGACCGGCCCTTCCAAAACCGTCAACTTCGCAGTCTTCCAGAACGGCTACCCAAAGCCCGAATGGGCATTCCTCGCAGCCGCCGCCTTAAACGAAGCAGCCGAAGACTGGAACGCGCTTGACCTCGGCGTGCAGCTCAAATGGGTATCTAATCTCGAAGACGCCGTATTCGTCCTTTCCTTCGCAGGCGACCAGGGCGGAGTCCTCGCCGACGCATTCTTCCCCAACGAGGTTGATCTGAATGTGCTCAACGTTTACAACGGCGCATTCCGGCCTGGGACCCTGCCGTTCCTGAAGAATATCTTTTTGCATGAGTTGGGCCACGTCCTTGGTCTCCGGCATGAGTTTGCACCGGAGACAGAGGACGAAGGAGACGAGTACACGGTGCAGATTGGTCCTCGGAATCCGCTCTCGGTGATGGGGTATGAATTTCCTCCCCAGATGCAGCCTTCTGATGTTGAGAATGCGAAGGCTTTTTATAAGTTTCCCGGGACATCTCTGGGATGGAAAGAAGCGCATACTGGAAGTTCGCGAAAGGCTATGTTGCATATTAAGGATTATGATGCGAATAACTAGGTCAGAAATGCTGTCCGAGCAGTACGTGAATGATTATTTCACAGGTACAATTTCAGGTGTTTGGCTTTATGCTTGGTGTTATTAATAGTAAGAGATGCTCCGGGATAGTAGTAATTAATATCAGAGATTTCCAATTTCCCAAATCCCTTGGTAAGGATTTTCGTGATCCTGAAATTGGAAAAATGGATCACGCGTAACGTCCATGAAGGACACATCGCCTGGGAACCCCAAACCCGACCACCCCAACGCTTCCCGCGGCAGTGGCCCTTGGCTTGGGCCACCCTCAGCCGCAATAGAATTCGTACCGCTCCAAGGCCCGGACTGGGAGTTTTCAGACGCACCGCGGTGGTGCACTGTACTCGAGAAGGGCGGCAGCGCCTGCCCTCCATCGGACGTATCTACCGTCCTGGCGGAACGATGGAAGATTTCGGTCTCGACTGTCGTCTGGTCTGGATGCTTCTGCCCGGGGGGCTGCAAGAACGATGCATCGAAGAGACCGTCTCCCGGTGAAGCGAACGGGGACTTGGTAGAATTATAGCAAAGAATGTCCCACATCAATGACGTATCAATTGATAGCGTCCTGCGTGGTTGACGATGATCAGCCGAGTGTGGACTGACGGCAAATGCCGATTGGATGAGGCCCTCAATTTTGTGATGCTACGTTTATGTTAGAAGATCGGCTGAGCGGGTTGATGAGGACTCACAATTGCCTGGATTCTTGGCCATTTGGTGGCCAAGTCACTTAGAAATCTGGTGCAAGTCTCCAGCTTTCGTTGAGCGGACTCCCTCACAGTGGGATCTGCGGCACGGCAGTAGTAAATTAGAATCGTGGCCGCGATAGCCACTACATGGCCGAGGAAGGGATCAGACAGTTGATATTCCTTCTCGGTGATCATGTCAATGAGGCGAGCTGTCCACGTTGTGTGGATGAGTGCCAGCTCTGATGATGTTTTCCAGAACGTGTTTGGTACCGCAAGCTGGGCAGACTGCTGAGGTCGCCAAGAGTAAAGGAAAGGGTGATTAAGAACGCTGTGTACTGCATGGTAGGTGAACTGGAGGTACAGCCAGGGACTCCAGTACTCGCGGGCACGATTTAACTCTTCTGGTGACCGCTCCTGAAACCTTACAGAATCGTATCGATGGGAGGTGGGAAACTTGGTTTCAATGTCCATCAGGTGAGCCCCGATGATACAATATCCAGAGTCCACCGACCAGGGAGGCGTGGTATCTCCACTGGCGCAGTGCGAGACATAATGCTGCACTTCGCTCCAAAGAGTGGAAAGCTGCACCATGTAAACCCAGATACCTCCTAATGCACCATTTTCCTGAGGGGTCTGAGGTGGCTTCATCCCCATTTCCCGAGGAGAGTCAACGTTGACAGCCATGTACTTCGGGTTCTGAATGTCGCGCAGCATGTTCAACTGCATGCTGTGAGGAGCGTATTGCTGGTTAAGAAGATGGATGCTCCAGAATACCCTTCGTCGTTCCTCCAATGCAGGCGTAGATTCGCCTTTGTGCTGCTCAATGTCAAGTCCTGCGCATTTGGCGAGGTTTGTGGCAAGACCAATGTGTAGCCAAGCCAGATGGGTGTCATTAGCTGAGGAGATGTTAGTGAGGTGTCCCTTTTGTCGGGCCAGGATGAATCTCACCAATGTACTCAGCTAGTGCAATCAAACAGAGACATTGCAAGGTTGAGAGGTCCACAGTCCCCTGGACAATTCGAAACATGACATAGCTGCGAGCGGCCTCGGCATATTGTCGACACATCCGGTCTGTTCGTCCGTCCAGAAACGGATTGTTCGAGTAACGAAGCGCAAGACTGAGTATGCCAAATAACACCTCGCTGCGACATCGTTCTGGAATGGAAAGACTATCCGGAAGGAAAAGCCATAGAGGTTGCTTGTGGCAGTATTGGAAATAAAGAGCAATACCCTCCGCAACGATCTCTTTTGGTGGCATCGCAAAGGGCAAAATATCTGCATTGTCAAGACTTGACTCATCGCTAGGATTCCCTGGTGTCAAGGACATTTCCCGCGTCTTGCTTGATTCCGATGTACTCCCACGACTTTGGAGCCCGCGAGAGTACGCCTTGGGGGTTTCAACATGTCGACTGGGTCTGCAGCAATCAGCACACACTTCTACCAAAAGCAAAGCCAGCCGCACATTGATCCTTCCAATATTGATTCCATCTTCTCTTCAAGCTGTTGCAACCGGTTTTCCTACTTCGAATTAGCCTGCTCACGCCTCCCTTCGCAGGCAAGCCAGCCGTACCAAGACCCCGTCGCTGCCTGGGGACCTTTGCAGCGAGTCATAACGCCTGCTATACTGGCATGTTTGTTGGAGCCGCGTGCAGCTCGAACATGCCGGTCTCTCGCCCGGACATCTTGTCTTCTTCCGCCTACTGACAGTCGGCAATCGACGTTCCTTACAAATACCGGTTTTTTCTGCTTCAAACTCACCTACAGTTCTCACAGGCTTGATGCGACCTCTTGCTAACACGATTATTCATCAGGAGCACCTGCAGAAGGGCAAAGAAACGGGAGATATAAAACACGGTGATAAGGTATGTTATGGCGTAAGGGTGCTTTAAAGCCGAGGGGCGCGGGGTATCGGTTTCTGCATGATGACACGCGGAGTCCAGCCGATCGCCAGTTGGCGTCTGTGACCCACCCAGGGAAACAATACCCTGAAGTGGAAAAGGTTATCATCACTCTGGATCCTCATTTCTTGTTTCCTCTTTCTTATTTGTTTCTCTATTTTTAGATCAGACTAATGTACATGAAAGAAAAGCCTTGTCCTTCAGAACTGTATCAGCTGAGTAAACGTACCCGTGGCCATCAAACGGAGTTCAGGATATAGCATTTATAGCAATGAATGTATTCCATCAAAGGTAGTTATCAAGCCTATTGGATCAGATCACATTATACAAATCGAAGCTACCATTCCAATTTAGCAGATCCATCCACTGAGCATGCTAACCCTGAACAAAAAGCGATATCCTCTGCAGTTGCCTGACCCGCTGAATGCTGCCGCGCTGGCCAGATCTCTCTTTTCATCTTTCTCTCCTCGTCTCGGTGACTTCGGAGTAGAGTTCGGACAGTATTTTGGAAGAACAACGGTGCACTCTCCAGGTCAGGATGAAGCTGACCATTGACAAACACCCCTGCATTCAGGTTCTTCTGGGCAGCATTACAAAGGTGCTTGTCCTCGTCCAGGACTCTCTTGAAGAACGAGTCGATGTATTCAAAGTCCTCATCCGAAGCGTTTATGTGCCGGTAGACTTCGTATTCCATGGAGCAAGTTGCTGCCGACGTCGGGACGCATCGCATCATGTAGAAGAAATGAGGCCTAGGTGAGTTGATGTCAGTGAATGAGGTCATTGATAATCTAAAAGTAAAAAGAAAAACGCAACTCACGAGACTGTCATGCAGGCATTGGGAAAGTAGTAAGTGCTCGCATTCTGTATATCCTCATCCACCTTATCCGGCTTCGGTCGGGAGAAATGCTGAATATGCCCCGGCGTGGAAACGGTATAGTAATATGAGAGATCAGCCAGCTTCGCCACGTCAGGATGCGCAACAGTGCAGTGGTAGCATTCATTGTAGTTATCCGCCAGAGTTTTCCAGTTATAGTCGCCGGCCATCTGCCATGTATGGTCAAACTTGTACTGGGTGAAGTCGAACCTCTGAAATCGTTCTTGCCGGTCGACACCATTGAAATCTTCTTCCCAGGGGACTGGATTTGGAGAAGAGTCGAGATTGACCCAGATAAAACCCAGTGCGTCCGTATGTACATGCACAGGGAACAAGCTCTGATCCTCTTTCTGAAACCCCGGGACGTCTTCAAACTTGGGGGCTTTGGCTAGTTTTCCATTGAGACCGTACGACCATCCATGATATTTACAAGAGAGAATCCTCGCGTTGCCCTCGTCTTCGGAGATGAGGGGAAATGCACGATGGCGGCAAATATTGTGAAATCCGTTAAAGTTACCTTCTCGATCAAGGCACAACACAAAGGAGAATCCAGCTTCTTCAAACCGAAGAAAGTCGCCGGGTTTCGTGAAGCGCAACTTGTGGGTAACCAAGATCCATTTCTTTGAGAAGATAGCTCTTCGCTCCAACTGATATATCTCTGGGGAGTAGTACCAGGAAGCTGGAAGGGCTTTGGGTAGCTCATCTGGGAGTTTTTGGTCTCTAGGAGCGGAGGGTGTATACCCAAACCAAGACGCAACTGTAGCAGCCATGATGATAGTCTGATGGTTTGCAGACAATTCGACACTAAAGGCTCTACTCATACTCTGTCATGACATAATATATATGTCTTCCACATGTCGTCCCTGAATCCATTCAAAGTCCCCGGTCACGCGACCACATAATGGATTTGGAATGGCAGCCATGACTTGGGATTAAGCCACCGCCGAGTTGCGCCGTGTTCGCAAGTTCAGACTATCCATTAACAGGACATTGCATTCGACGGGACTACAGACTGGTAGTGGTCATGGGTCAGCCGGTCCGTCGGCGTTGATACACCGGTCACGGGATCGGGGCTTAGGAGTTAGGCTTCCCTACATATCTTCTAAGAGAGAAGGTTAAGAATTAGTCCGGATAAACGGTATGATGCATTGAGACCACTCTGCAGCGCTCAGTGGCCTTCAAAGTTGCCACCTTAGATAACGGGGGATATCTCGGGTCCAGATCGTTTACATTCCTGGAGCACACTTCTCTATCCAGACTCCTCTTGAGCTCCAATCGAGCTACGTAATTAGCTCTTGACTTTTTAAAAAGGCCTGTGCGGGTCCATCAGCTGCCAACCTTCCCCTCGGCTGGCGCAAAAGTTCAAAAAGTTTGGAGGTACGGGGTCGTGCAGTCCTGGATCTATGTACAGCTAGCGGATTCTGTCTCGGAGAGTAACTCTGCGGAGAGCTCTGCTCGGGACTTGCTACGGCTCAGGCCTTCAGCTATTGAGCCTGCTAATCACCGTATGGACACGGAGCCCTCCGATCAGGTGTACCTAAAAGGTAGTGTGTCACTTAAGCAGTTAAAGTACTCGAAGCTACACGGCAGACTTTCCTTCAACAAAGCCCCTACTGTCGTGTCCTGTTCATAGTCCACTACACCATGGGATCCATCAACGCGTCGGAGAATCCCTCAAAATTTATTCTGACAGCAGAGGCTCTGAACAATGCTCTGCCTGATATGCACATGGCCACCAGAGCCATTCATGCCGATGACTTCGTCAGTCCTCATCGTGCCATTGCACCTGGCATGCATACCGCGGTGAACTTCCGCTATGCACGCGATCCAGATGAACTGGTGCCAGAGGAAAATAAGGATGTAAGAGCCCTGACTTGATTCTTCACTGTCGTCCCCCTCCCTAACGAGACGCAACAGCCGAATGCGCCTTTCGATTCCCACATATATTCCCGCTACACAGCACCTAATTCCAACCGTCTGGAGATCCTGCTGCGCAGCCTCATGGGCGGCGAAGTGATCACGTACTCGACTGGACTCTCAGCTTTTCACGCGATGCTTATCCTCCTCAACTCCAAGCGCATCTTCATCGGAGATGGATATCATGGATGCCATAGCGTTGTGGACATCATCAACAGACTGACCGGCATCCAAAAGCTGGATCTGACGCAGATCGACCAAGCCGGGCCTGGGGATATCATCCACGTGGAAACGCCACTCAACCCTACCGGCGAGGCGCGCAATCTGGCCTACTACCGCGCCAAAGCAAGCGAACAGGGAGCCTACCTGACCGTGGACTCGACCTTTGCTCCGCCCCCGCTGCAGAACCCCTTGGACTTTGGGGCTGACATCGTGATGCACAGTGGAACAAAGTACGTGGGCGGCCATTCCGATATGCTTTGTGGGATCTTGGTTATCCATCCCAATCGAGTTAAGGAGGGATGGTTGAAAACGCTGCGTACGGATCGCCAATACATCGGTAGTGTCATGGGGAGCTTCGAGGGCTGGTTGGGAATCCGGTCCGCTCGCACCATGCAGCTCCGCGTGACGAGACAGGCTCAGACGGCGGAAAAGCTCGCTAAATGGCTACAGGAGCAGATGAAAGACGCAACGTCTCCAGTTGCAAAGGTTCTGAGCCATGTCCAACACGCCTCGCTTCAGGAGGATGACTTGAAGGAAGGGTGGCTCCAGAAGCAGATGCCGGGAGGCTTTGGGCCAGTTTTTGCTGTTTGGATGAAGACCCCAGAGCATGCGCGCCGACTGCCCAGCAGGATGTTTATCTTCCAGCACGCAACTAGTCTTGGAGGTGTAGAAAGTTTGATGGAGTGGCGGGCGATGAGTGATGCGCGCTGTGACCATAGGTTGTTGCGGATCAGTTGCGGTATTGAAGAGTTTGGTGATTTAAAGGCTGATATCATGCAAGGACTGGAGTCGCTGTTACGGGATTCTCCTTGACGTAAATTATTTCTATATATGAATTAATCTAGTTATTGTTATACGAACTATACTGCTCAGTCTGCTCAGAAACAAAACAGACAAGCCGAGACCTACTCGGTTCTTACGATGTCAGTATCATATATCCCAGACACCAGTAATAAAAAGCAGTGAACTCCAAACACCATGCCCTTTGGCTCTCTTATCGGAAGCCAGTTTGATATCCGATCAAGTGATCGGTGAGAGAGCGGGGAGCGGACAAATGCCCGATCACCTGAGCGTATCTATGACGGGGAACGGATTCAACGCCGACTGCAAATGACCACGATCCGTGCCCATTCACTTCCGCTGTACATCTGACTTGTCCATCCTTATCATCGATTATTTCACCTAGTAATCAAAACGAAATTTAATCCATCTCTGCAGTAGCTGAGTCACGTGGACGGGCCGATATGCTGGCACCTGGGGTAAAGAGGGGATCATGTAACCCATAAAGTCTGGGGCAAGTCATGATGCACAGGTATTCATTACTTATCTTCGTGGCAGATACAAAGAAAATGGAACATTTCGACGTCGCAGTTGTCGGACTCGGCGTCCTTGGAAGCGGAGCAGCGTACTATGCTGCCAAAAAGGGCGCCAAAGTGATTGCATTCGAGCAGTTCGAGCTCGGCCATGTGCGTGGCGCCTCCCATGATACTTCGCGTATTGTGCGCACTTCGAATTTTGCCCCCGAATATGTCGCCCTGGCCAAATCAGCCTACAAGGACTGGGCCGAGCTGGAAAAGGTTACGGGCTACGAGATGCTGACGACCACCGGCGGCGTCGTCTTTTTCGCTCCGGATTCACCAACATCAGCGAGCGACTTCGCGAGAAGCCTGGACACTCACAGCGTTCCCTATGAGCTCCTCGACGCCCAGGAGGTGAAGAGGCGATGGCCTCAGTTCAACATCCCCGACAGCGTGTCTACAGTGTACACAGCCGACTCGGGTATCGCGCACGCTGCGAAGACCGTCCGCATCCTGCAGACTCTGGCGCGCTCCCACGGCGCCATTTTAAAGGACAACACCCCAGTGGAACGCGTTACCCCCCAGGCCTCCGGTGGCGCCATAATCGAGACTCCCAAGGGCCGATACCACGCAGCCAAAGTGATCCTCGCGACAGACGCGTGGATCAATAAACTTCTCGCGCCCCTATCGGTCCACATCCCTGTGACCGTGATGCAGGAGCAAGTAACATACTTCAAGCCTACCAACTCCACCGCATTTGAGCCCAACCGATTCCCCGTCTGGATCTGGCACGGTGCCAACTGCTTCTACGGATTCCCATGCTACGGCGAGCCGACCATCAAGGCCGGGCGGGATTATTCCAACAATCTCATGACGCCGGAGCAACGCACGTTTGTGCACTCGCCTCAACTGCTTGAGGAGCTGACCTGTTTTATGAATGGCTTCATCCCGGACAAGGATCGCCAACCGCTTCGCACGATTACTTGTCAGTATACGATCACGCCTGATCGACGCTTCATCATTAGCCCGTTGGAGAACTACCCCGATATCATTGTTGGCTTGGGGGCAGCCCATGCGTTCAAGTTCGCCCCTGCTTTTGGTCGTGTGCTGGCGGAGCTGGCAGTCGATGGCCGGACGGATGAGGATATTTCGCAGTGGGGGGTTCCGAAAGGCGCTACTCAAAACAGCAAGCTTTGATGGAATCGCGGGTATCGGGAGGAGTCAGCTGTGCTGGAGCTCGGTATTGCATTTCATTGTTTTAAACAGGTGGTCTTGGGAGGCCTCATCATTCCAAGGTTGAATCCGCCTAGCTTGTTAGGTTGGCGCTGTTAGCTCAGCGGTACGGTTCGCTTAGGAAACAACTAGCTGTATATATGAACAGCAGAATATTGGCACTATGCCTCAGGAAATGATATCCGTCAATGAAGAATTCACTTCCAAGCGTCATGTACGTTACTAAAGCACATCCGAGATGTCCTTGACTGATCACTAGCAATTCTATGATTTTATCCTTGTGCATGTTTATACAACAGTAGTAACCATGAGCATTCTCTTCCGCAAACCAAGGGACATAACCTATCCTAATGAAGACCAGCAAGGCATGTTAGGCGAGCGTGTTGGAAGGGGCTCCATGCGGGAAGAGCGCCTCATCCTGCGATTTGATTATCCTGAAGAATGGCCACCTCTCTTTGGAAGCCCACTGGAAGCGTACAGCGTGCGAGTTTTCTGAGGTCGATTCTGGCATCAATTGACAACACCTACATACATGTATTATGCACGACTTGTTTCTCGGCGGTTGATGGGAATTTAGCCGGGCTCAAGCTTGAAAAAGACAATAATTGCGTAGCTCATATTCACAATATCTGGTTTGTCACAGGCATTGGTTGGATGGTCATTGGGAGACGGGCCACTATTCCGAGACATCCTATTCTTTGAGCTGTGTTTCCTTGCTGCCGCGGGAGAGACTGCGATATCTAAGATGAAAGTGTCAAGCGTCTTCAGAGGGATCTTTTCACCGCTGGCGCGAACAGTTGCGGGCATGGCATGGGTTTCCGTTTTCTTTTCTGCATATCTCCAATGTGGATCTACCCTAAGGTTTACCACGTTTTGTTAAACCCAGAACGATGAGTCCAGTGTTGAGGTGAGGCTGCAAAGTTGTATATTCTCACTCGCAAGTCCTTTCTTAGATCAATGGATCAAGCCAATACACCGACATAACATGACAGCGAGCTCCCGAAGGCGTGTGGAATCCTGTAGGACGATGACAACCCATCCCATGACGGGTACGTAACCCCGAACAAACCAAGAACCTGGCTGCGGGCCAAGTAATTCTGGCCGTCAGGATACAGTAACGTATCGTCGATGAGGTTATTGTCCCGCTTCGTCAGGTTGAGCTGGCTATAGTATATTGAAATCAGCGTACTCCAAGAAGGCAATGACTTGCACGTTACATACGTCAAATCCGGATTGCTCTGCTCTTTGTACATCACCAGAAGCACCCTATGAATTATTGGGAACGCGCTACCAGGTAATTAACATACAGGCATGTCGCCTATTGCAACATTTCGATGGTGGTTGGAGATGAATAAGACGTCTCCCGGGACGAATGCGGGAGCCATAGACTCAGTAGTGACTATCATCACCGGGTACGGCATACCGGCCCAAATTGAAAGGGCCTTCCAAGCCATGAAGCAGGCGGCGACGACCTGCGCTATGGCGAGTATCCCGTTCAGGACAGACCGCATGACTATGTGTATTTTGACGCGCACATCAAGGAAAGCGTTGGCTGAAGCCAGCTGCAACAGCTCCGGGGCTCTTTAAATTTTTACGATGAATGATCTGTCATCACTACGTACTAGGTTAATGGTGATATTAGACTGCCAGGTATTTGGATTACATCCTAATAATAATCCGATTCCCTGGGCCTGGCGGCTGGGGACGTCTGGGCCAAGGATCGGGGCGTCCTGGGGGGCGGCACAACCTTGACTTGCATCCACTTGGCGTTGGCCCCGGCTGCTTGGCGAGCGCCCGGGCCCTGGGGCTCACAGCCACACCCGCCGAACACCAGCTCCACTCAAAGCTGAGACTCGATATTTCCGGCTTGGCCTATCTACTCATGTCTCGCAGCCTCAGAGAATCCTCACACGGGTGAGAAAAATACAAGAGAAAAAGAAAGAGAAAGACAAAAGGGAAAAATGTCTCATACAATTTACTCTCATACCCATAGACTGTCAAGGCAGGTGAGCCTGACATTACCCATGGCTGTGATGATAACGGACCAGGTACGGGGGCCTAAAACAACCGCTGATGTGACTAAAGTTATCGAGGTAACCGGGTGGAGTCCCGGGGGTCCCATTCCCAACCACGGGCGGTCTATCCCCCGTCCACTCTATGAGTCTCAGACAACTTGACACCTGCCACTTACTATTCTCTACATCTATTGCTGAACATACATTGCACATTCACAGTCGGATAATTACACACTGGATTGCTAGCGATGGATTCGGACTCCCAATCATACAAAAAACCAGGCGGGAAACTCGTTGAGCCCGCCGTCCTCTGTTTAGTTGGTCAATCTGTCCTCACTGAGGCTGCAACTCCAACCCCACTTTACCAAGTCAACAGCGACATCACGTCAATCTCAAACAAAGGCTCGTCCGTGACGCTTGAAAGAGTCGAGCACGATGTACCTGAGATCGAGAGCGTCACTGCTGGCACGCCGCAAAAGCGGCATCTTTTCTATCTCGCACACCCTGCGAATGCTCAATACCGAACCGACATACCTGCTAAGTATTACATCACTTCTGCAGTACCCGACATGGTGGGCAATATTCGCCTCGAAACTTCCGAGGCACGGCTCCAAAGGACATCCTTCAAAGCGATGTTAAGCCCGAAGAAAACGGCCTCGGATAAGCCATTGTTCGACGAGGGCACACAACAAGTCCTATTGTTTGATATCCACTCAGATTGGAAAGTCGGTCGCAATTGCTATAAGTGGAGCGATTGCAATGGCAGACAGGTCGCTATTGAAGAAAAGGAGAATGACAGATATCGTTTATCCATTACGAAGAGTATGCCGCAGGAGTTGAGGGATGTACTGGTTGCTACATGGCTGTTACGGCTGTGGTATGACACGGCCGAGAGTAAACAAGCTAGAAGGCACTGTGAGTTATATCGAATCTCCGTGACTGTTAGTGTGGCCTTGTCTTTTGGCTAACTTCTTTTCCAGTCTTTGAGAGCATGACATCGCCAGAAGCATATCAAGAGAGCATGAAGCCATATATTCCAAGGCAGTGCATAATCATGTGAGATTAGTTGGGTAGTAACTGTGCCTGCGATTACATGCTCAGCTTCTTTAGAAGCTTGGAACTACTACAGCAGCTCATCTGTCCTTGACGGGAAACGCCTGCTTGTGTATGGACTTGCTGCTATCTCGCGCATTCAATGTATAGCTACGTCAATAGTTGTGTTATAGTCTGAGAATTATTAATTTGTCCCGTACTATTTGCCTTTTTTTCTCTTTGAGCAGGAAGACCTCGGGCTGCTCTTAGACCGTGTGGCGTGCCAGCTGGTTATTGATCGGGTCTCAAATCGGGCATCAGATACCCAGTGTACAGAGCCACCACTCACACAGACAATGTCTAAATCTGCAGTGCAGACATTCCTAGTTTCCACACCGGCGCCCGGTTTATGCTGTCCGCCGGAATTAGGGCTTTTCCTGTTTGGACTGGATTAGCCTTACTCCAGTATCAATAGATTTTGCGTCCTCATCGGCTTCCCAAAGGATTGACATGGTCGAATATCTCGTCGTCAGCTACTGGATCGCGGTTGGGTCCCACGATTTATTCCTTTCGGACATCAAGAATTTGTCAGAGTAGCCACAGCGGATGGTGCTACGGTCGACCTTGACATCAAAGAATGATCGCCGCATGGTTGGTTACAATCCGATGATGCTCAAGACGCCAAGCGTTAATTGGATAGTCTTCCGTCGAAGGACGTCGCCTTGATCATGCCTGGGGGCCACCTGCTTGCGATACAGTTGTATAACTTTTGCATTGAGAAATGAAGACAATGCCAGATTCCTGATTGTGTATCTACCAGGTGCAATGCGGACCCATTTATGACTCTGCCTGTATCATTTGGACCAGATTCGGTGGATGGCTTTAAATGAAACGAGTATGAAAGCCGTAATTGCCCTCGCCGCAAAATGCATGACAACCTAGGGTAGGGGCCTGAAACAAGACTATCAGCCTGATCTTCCTAAAGGTATTTATTTATAAGCACTCGCATTTCTGAGCCGTGAACCAAATCTCATCAAGCCAGGCGGTGATAATCGTGGGGTTGTAGAAAGGAAAAATAAAGATAAAAAATAAAAAATACAAAAAATGGACTCGCGGGGAATCGAACCCCGGACCACCCCCATGCTAAGGGGGTATTATACCACTAAACCACAAGCCCAGTTGTTGAAATACGAGGAGCATTCTTTGCTATATAATCCAAAGGGACACGTAAGTCATCCATTTCGTTGTTTCACCAAATGTTCGCCTTATAGGCTCTGTACAAAATAGAAAGAGATGATGGGGAAAGTCGGCAACGTATTTAAAGGGAGTTATTCTGCCAACAGGCCATGTCAGAAATGTACCACCAGACCAAACGAAGCTGACAGTGCGCTACTCACGGACTGCCATCAAAATATATCTATCCTAGTTGTGGATATTGCTTGAGAAACTTTCCTGCCCTTTAATATACTATTGTCTTATGCAGCAAAAAAGATCACAACTAATAATCATTCTCTCCACTGGCCCCATGAATGGTTCAATTGATTCTCAACACACAAGCGTTGTGCATCAAGAGCAAGTTAGTGAGCTCGGGGTTTTTCGAGTTCATGGCGATTCGCAGTGCTGTAGCACCATCAAACCCAGCAGCATCCGCACCATAATCAAGAAGAAGACGAGTCATAGCCACCAATTCATCCATAACGACTTGCGGATATGGAACCACTAGGTGACTGGGATTTCGAGGTCTTAGGGACCGCCCAGTGCTCTTTCCCACCCAGATGGCTTCACTTGGCTTCGCAGCCCGCGAAAGAGGTCCTATGCCATCGCAATCTACCATCTTTGGATTGGCACCAGCTTGAAGGAGAATTTTGGCAGTGGAGTAATGACCGCTGAACACAGCGCTATCTAGCGAGGTTGTGCCATCCCACCGGAAATTCACATCAGCACCTTCCGCCAACAGCAAGTGAATTAGCTCGTCGTTACCATGGTGTGCAGCGACCCAGAGTGCGTGTCCGAGCTCTTGAAGCCGCTGAGCAGCGTCAAGAAGTTGTCGACGTTCGGCGTCCCTCAGCAGGAGCGTAATAATCTCTGGATAGCCCCGACGCACCGCGGCAACTAGAGCTGGATCCATTTTACGGGTCTTCCAGGGGTTCACCCCTTTCTGCAGAAAAAATTGCAATATCGGGATATGACCGTACCATATGGCTCGATTCAGCGGCAACTCGTAATCTTCCTCCTTTAACTTCTCGCTCATGCCACCTCGGTTCAAAAGGAGCTCGACAATATGCAAGTGACCATACCATATGGCAGTTATGAGCGGATGATGAGTAAGTGTGTGTGTTTGCTCTGGCCACCATCCCGGCGGTGCATAAAGATCCACACCTGCGTCTAGTAGGCTGATGAGGGTAGATGCATACCCTCCCTGAGCTGCCCAGTGCAGAGCGGGAACTTTCGGCTGCTCATGGTATCTGTATAAAAAAGGATTGAGCAGGGAGTAGAGATGACGGCTGGTTCGAGACAAGGCATTGATCGCATCCTCTGAATGTAGTTCCTTGGCGATTGCAAGAATGATCTCGTCGGGAAAATCAGAGAGTGAGAATGGCATGATGTTGTTCAAGAGGTTGAACCACCTAGTAAAGGGTGTGACTATGCCTGACTTGAAGAACTCAGCGCTAGGGGCTGAGTGACTGAAAGAACGGACCTTGTCCCAGTTCATATTAGCTACTAAGGTACCTAGTACTTTGTATCTAATGCCCCAGCCCCCACGGTCCCCACCAGCCGATAACAGAGTCCGCCTGACGATATCCATGCGCCTCCCACCTGTAAGCCTTGAATAATTCCACGGCAATAGGGACTTAGCTCATCTCCACGTCCCCGATTAGGGACAATATCTTTTAAAGGGGTGCGTTGCATGGTTCCATGGTAGTAAAAGATGCTAGGTTCAGAAACGCGCGCGCGGAAAATGCGTTGTGGTACGGAAACTAGTGGGGGCCGACTGTATTTCCCACTACAACATCTACCCTGCCATTGTCAACTTCCTCCATCCCGGGAACCAAATTTGCCTGGTAATCAGCCTCGCCCTCGCCTTTCCCACTAGCCTTGAAGATTCTTCGTCTGCCCCAGACCGAATTGTGGTTTGGACTGTCCTTAGTGATGTATTCCTCAGCCATCGCTAGCTATTGAAGCACATCTATCCTACTATTGCTGGGGCCGCATTGATCCACTGTTAAATGATAGACTACCGGATCCCTTACTCAAAGACATCACAGAATGTTACAAATCCAAAACCGGACTGTACCATGCAGGTAGCCCTTCCATGAACTCGTCTAAATCAGAGCAACCGCACCAATCGCCGCCCCAGCAACAGCTATCAGCGAGCCATCCAGCATATGCCTCTTATTATTAGTCGAGCTTGACAGCGCGACAGTGCCGCTTATGCTAGACGTGCCGTTGCCATGAGTCTTGGAGTTCGGCGATTGACTCGGAGGAAAGGTGGTTGAAGGCATGATGCTGCTTCCGGTAGCGACTTGTGTCGCTGTACTCGTGGTTGTCGGGGAAGTAGGGGTGCTCTTGCCCGTTGCGACGGTGTCCGTTGTCGACTCGGCAGAGGTCACGGTGACAGGAGTTGAGGTCGCAGAAGCAGGCGGCGTCCAGCAGGAGAGATATGAAATCGTGGTAACATATGTGCCTGGGTAGCTGGCGCATGCAAGGACGTTGGTCTTGGGAGGAGCTCGACCACCTCCGCAGTCGAGTGGGTCACAGATTTCGCCTGTATTCGGGTCGAACCAGTAGAAGATACCATCGTCGCAGGTGGTGAGGCTGTGGGTGGAAAAGTCGGCGAAGACGATCTTTGCCAACACCAGCAGCGTGCTACAGTGGAAAGGAATCCCTTGATCATTTTGATTTGGTACTGTGTAGCCCGTATAGAGCAGGATACAGACAACCTCCAAAGCGATTGATATTTTGATCGTGGAAAACCAGGCAAGGGGAGTCACAGACACTCCACAACTTATATGCATAAAAAAAAAACCCTTGCAACGTTAGGTGAGTCAATACAAGACCACGGCGATGAGGGGAATTTGCAGGGTAGTAATAACAGAAAATTGGGCGGTCTTACTGCAACCGCAGTCAGGGGCTAGCCAATAGCGCGGCCATAGCTGGTTATAAATAGTTGAACTAGCTCAAAGTACGGGTACATAAGGTTTGCGGCGCGATAGCATAGCCCTGTCAAGCCTTTGGGATTTGAGCAACAAGCCCATGCGGCCACCTGCTCACTCGCTGAGACAAATGCGCCCTGAGATATGTTTGGCCAAGGGTAAGATTGAATATATTCCCCAAACCACTGTGGATTGCTACCCCAATGAATAGCATGGTGGTAAAAAGACCTCCAAATTATGGGCCAAAATTTCTCTCCATGGCAGGATGATGAGCGTATGTGCTTTCAGGCCCTAAATTCGACCCGGTATGGATGGTTATACTTTTTGACAACTAATCCTATGCAGGAGGCCTTAAATCTGATCCCTGCAAGTTGCGACAAGACCTACGAGACTGGACAGGAGTCTGTCAGTTAGCCGATGGCGATCATCGCCATGTTCACTTACATACCACGGCTGATTTCGCCGCAACTGTATATGCCGCCATTGCATCTATGTACAGCAGTGATAGAGAACATCGTGCATCCTCTGGGCCATCCTGTCCGCTCATATCTAGTTCTCAAATATAGGCTCCCTGTGTATTATACAGTATACTACCTGATGCTCTAGACTGGACCCGCGTATGCACTGACCAAGTGTGGACCTACGAGTAGACCTGCCAACTATCGATCATCGGGTCAATGGTTATTGCACAGCCTAGCCTGATGGAGATGGGTAAGACGTATTACAGATTTCTAGAATATCCTCCCGCCCAAGAGAGTCTAGGTCCATTTTTGAATGGCCTGGCTAGACCTCAGAAAAGCAGATCCACCTACGGAGTACCTTACCACGAATTTCATACATTAATGACATTAAACTATCAGTTTTTGAAATCTTTGCAGCCTTTTAGGCATTTCGTCCCTTTTAATGTACCTCTATATTTTCATCTTCGTAGATCAGGGTGCAAGCCTACTTATGGCAATCGACGCAGTAAGTAAGCATATATTGATCAAGGCAGCAACGCCTGAATAATTTCACAAAATTACTATCTACGACTATTTGAAACCCCACAGACCAGGGCCAGCCTGCACCGGTTGAGGAGATCAACATCGAAGAAAAGGCTAGAAAACGACAGAGGAAATCAGGGCTTCGGATCCATGTCACAAAGACCGACGCTGTCCAGAGACTGTAGGGAAGTGCTAATGTCTCCGGGATAATTGTACGCAAACACGACCATCACAATCCACATCAGGACTGCATCAAACACATACAAAGTCCACTCGTGTTTCAATAGGTAACCATCATTGCCCATAACAAATTCGGCCACGCGGAACACTGACCGAATCATGATGAGGAGACCCACAACGTGTAGAGTACGCAAGTGGGACTTCCAGGGAATGTCAACAGAGGTAGACAGACCTCTTGGGTGCCGCCGCATCCGACTCTGGAAGACAATCGCCGTGATAAGGAAAAGACCGAACATGACGACCTGGATGAGGAGGCCGCCGACGACAATCTTGTTCCCTAGATCGGCCAGGGAGCTTTGGACCATCATCCCAGAAGCTCCTCCTTGGACCACGAAAGACAACACATCCCCGGTAACAAACACCTTTGTGAGCCAGTTGATGCGGATAAGCGAGTATTGTTCTCCTCTGACGGCGCGGATGATACGACCTAGGACCATGTAGATTGTAGCGGCAAAAAGCGCAGGTCCCAGTAAGATGAATACGCTTTGGATGCAGTACGGCATCATTCGGCCGGTCTTGTCGTGGGCAGATGCTCGCGCGCAGTAACCAACGAATTCAACTGAAAGAGTTAGATTACGATCGAGCTACTGTGATAACACAAGCTTAACTGATAGTACTTACAGAATCCTCCGAGAGCGAAACATGTGCAGAAGTAGGTCTTCATTCGCCATATCTTCCAGACGTGGTAGAGAGTAGCGGCCAAGAAGAGAAGGGCGAATATTACTGCAGCGGCCTTAGAGGGAACGTAGTGCCAAAGATAGTAGCCTTTGTATGATTGCAGTTCGGTCATTGTATCTCTCTGAACTGGGTTCTTGAAGGGTGGGTAATGCTGCTTCGGAGGCTATACACTAGTGAAATGTATAGGGAATCGATGAGAAACCAGTCAAGAAGTGTGTAACTTTATAAAGATGGCTGGCAAAGACTTTATACTAGGTTTAATTCTGAAGAGTAAGTCGTTGTGTCGTGGGGGATAATTTCATCCATGTTGTACTAGCTCCGTGATATGCCCGCTTATACGCGTATTCTTTCCTAAGGTAGGCAGCAGTGGAGCTCTGGCGACCTCACTTAGAATACGAGTAATGAGTCCTTCTTGACGCTGCATGTGGAGACCGTCGTCTAGTATTTACCGTCTGCGGAACTAGCTTATTGTTCTCAGGCACTCTTCAATCATATATGGAGTTGAAGTAACTCGATTCTAACAGCAAATCAAATCATGTACCGCACACCGAGTGAGTTACTGAAACATGACTTGGGCCTTAGTTGAAGGATTGTATTTCACACTAATGCAATTGAATCCAAGCAGTATCCATACATACATCATAACTTAGTTGTGCGCTAGGACAGCTGGTTCTCATATGCTTATTTGATGGCAGTTATGGCCATGTTGTGCGTGCTCATTATCTTATTGTTGACGTATAAATAGCCTTTGTGCCTGGAAAAGGCTTCAATGATACACACCTATGCTTAACGTCTCCTTTTCCTTTTACCATACTTAATGGGAGCCAGAATCAGGCACGCCACGGTAATTAGCAGCTAGAGGTCCTCCTCCCTTGGGTGAGCAAAGCTTGTGCCAGAATCCTTACATTAATTAAAGCATATGAAGACAGTTCGAGGATGCTTAAGCTGTTCTACTATTCTAGCTAACCCCTAGTCTCAACCCAGATATCAAACATGATACTGCGCAGGGAGTATTTTGGCTTTGTCGTTGGGATTGGTCGAAAAAAGGTCACTATTCAGACCATGGATAGCATACCCATATATTATTTAACTGACGAATCAGGTACCACTACCGTAGGCTACGTATGGAAAGAGTTTGCCATTGATTGTCGTCAAGGAGGCTAGGCCTTAACAAATTACCTTATGACAGAGTAAGCCCACTAAATCCCCCCAAGTCGTTTCAAATCTGGAATAGGCAGTCCACCCCTAGAGTTGGACAGTTAGTCACGCCAGAAAAGAAACACAACAAGGTAGATTGACGCTACCTTTCTGGGTTTTACTTCTTTATTCGTTGCTGAAAGGTTAGGGACGGATATAATCACTCCATTCTTACAAGTATTGCCAGGGACTTCTTGAAATTTCGGAGTCCACTGTGGTCATTGGTCAGTGATGATCTGTTCCATATCTGAGGTATTACACGTCAGTAGGAGTGGAGTTGAGATTCCTTGACGCCGCAGCGAAGCCGAAACCGCTTGAGGCATCCTGTTGTTCAGGTGGCTTTTAGCAAGAGCTTCCAAATAACACTCCTGTCCAAATGGGCATCTTGGGTTATGTTTCTTCTTTGCTGAGCATCTTTCATAATCCCACATTTGGGGATTGAAATTTCTCCTTCCTTCACTCAGTTTTCTACCAGCTGTGGGATCAGCAGCAACTTACCATTTTCTCCCATCCAGTGTCCAGGATAAGATTCCTCCTCCGCCCCACGAATACCAAACATGCGAGTGCTATGGACTGCAATACTGGCCCTCTTGGACCAACTTGCATGGACGCATCAATTTGCAAGGGGCTCAGAGGTATGTTGATCATCCGGGGCTCAGCGGCACTTGTAAAAGGCGTTGGCCATAGATTTCACTTGTCGCCTTTTGTACCCATTATGGTTTCTAAAGTAGGACAATCCTCCATTGAGTAAGTCACAAGTCTCACTCACTGATTGGCACCAGGGATTCCGCGCTGAAATGTTAACTCTTCGTTGACAGCCCTCTTGGTGATTCCCTAGACCACCCAACTGGCACCGCTTCCTCCACAACAGGAACTGGAGCCGCAGGTGTCAATCCTGCTGGGACCAATGTTATGGACAAAAGCAGTCCCAACTGTACCCCATGGTCTATAAGTCTTGACATAATCTCCTTTCGTGCTAATTACTAAGGGCGTATGGATTCTAGCTTCGAAATGCCACAAGGACTCGTGACCCTGGCTACATATACACCCCTCCGCCACTGCTACCATCTGCCTCAGGCGCAATTCCAGGATGCTACCTGTACGAAAACCCCGGCAAGTATACCAAGCTCTGCCGTTATTTCGCCAACCAATACGGGATCTCGACCGACCAACTGTTTGCCTGGAATCCGAGCCTCGACACAAACATCAGCACTTGTACTCTGTCATCGAGCAACAGTTATTGTGTTATGCAGTACGAGAATAGTACAGGTGAGTCTTAAACAAAGGAGACTGGATTGCGAAACCCCGAGTCTAATAGAAGAAGCACTCTCAGACGGCATCACGACCTACTGTTACCCAGAAATGAACGCCACAGACGCCGGAACAGCCTCGAGCTGCAACTGTTTCAGCTGCGTCATGTTGGATGACGCCTATATTTGTATGATACCCCTCACACTACTTGATCTTGTTGACCTGCCAAGCATATATATATACTACATTGGGCTTCGTAGCTCATGCCTTCTGAACAGAATACGGATGTGATGATTTTGCCTCAGACTACGAGATTACTATGTCCGAGCTCCTTGCATGGAACTCCCTTGATACAGCGCTTTATGCCAGTCTAGAGGAAAGTGCAACTCGCGCTGTTTGCATCGGGACGAGCACCGCGAGCCCTGCACCAACCACCCAGCCTAAAACCAGAGCTCACACTACAGCCTATCGAGCCAAATTTGATTGAGTTTGAATATATGTGGGGCTTGAACCGCTCTGTTTGGGAACTTTTCCCAGAAGATTCGATAATGCCAATATGATAGTGCGCTTGAACAATCCCAGTGCCATACTGCTTGAGACGCAGCATACTCGCATTTCAGAGAGTTACTGCGGAAAGTAACCCGGACCTCAATACTCTCAGATCGGCCTCACTTCACAGAATCACCAGCTTCGTATTATTTGTACCATCCCGTCTTTCTCACTTTCGTAGCCCTAACCAGCATTGAAGAATACCAGATCTATACCGTTCTTATCCACCCTCTGTCGTAGTCACCGTAGGGGAATGGGACATTGCCCATCAATCGACAATCTCGTCACTGAGACACGGTCCTCCGACTCATCTGGTTCAGCACACGAATATGTTCCTCCTTCAGCGCCTTAAACTCAGCATCTAGTTGATTGTGCCACGGATATAGAACGAAGACTTGGAACGCGAGCGCCGAGGACGCGACGGCAAAGTTGACAAGGGAGATTCCGCGTGTGACGATCATGTTTTGCTAACTGGTGATCAGACTTGAGTCGAATAAATGCGAGTATACCCGATATGGATGAGATACTTACAGCAGACCAAGGTCAGAGAAACCGGTAATCTTCATGATTGTGCGTAAGGGTCGATGAACCAGACGAGGAAGGAAGAGTTTATAATCCGGGTGAATGGGGCATTTGGGTCCGCCCCTTTCACATGTGGACGTCACATCCCCACTGTTTGTGGATAAGCTTGGTAGCTCTGAAAATGCCTGCCCCAGCCCAACGGCTAGTACGTATCCGAGGCGAAGAAGCAGGCCGGCTTTTCGTGGCTATACTTGAGAGTTAGGCGTGGTAAACAGCCTACTGCTGTTTTGCCCTTCGGTTCTTGGACTTGCTTTCAAAGACGTAACGTCGGCCACGCTCCTCACCCGTATACACGATGTAAATAGCGCATTATATTTACTGCCCGCTCTGTTAGATCCAAAGTAGCTACCCAGGGATGTTGCGGAAGCCTTCAATATGGTGGAGCCCGGAGATGGTTCGTATCTGTCGGATCCGACAGCTGAAGGTCTATGATTGGTCAACCGGTAGCGTCTTCTGTAAGGTAGGTACTGCCTGCCAGGTCGGAGAAGCGAAAATGCGCCGTTCCCCAATAGTTTTGTTTATTTGAGATATTTGATTGTTGAACTTTCCGGCCGTAGGGAGAGTGTCTTTGATTTAAGGCCTTGCTAACTATCAAAACGTGCGGTGTCTGGATTTAGGTAAGGATGCCATTCTATCCTGTTGTCCGCGTATTAAAGAAATATACATCCCTGACAAAGCAATAATGACCGCCGAAGCTCATTGATATATATTTCCGAAACTCCTTCGTCCAACCCTGAAGATATCCTCTTTGCTTTGATATTATAAGGGTTAGAAGACCTCCCAATCAGTTATGCCTTGAAACATGTTAACGGAGCACTGACACTAGAAGTTGACTGATGATAGCTTAAATCGCTACAATACGGCCCTTCGAGGGCAACTAGCTTATCAAACAGTCAACCATCGAGCGCTAACTAGTCATCTTTCGGATATTTTTTTCTCTAGAACACTTACGCTCGTATCGTGGGAAAATGAGAGCAGTATAGATGAAGGCCGATTGAATCTTGACTTCCTGGATGAGGCAACTGTCTGAAAGTCCTCATTACATAAGGATTCAAAAGCTGAAGACCCCGAACGATGTTGAGCAAGGATTTGGGGGAATTTCATCTTTCAACGCGCATTTCGGACTTGAACTTGCCTGCTTATGCTATGCAAAGCCGTAATGGACCCATTGCGCTAGTACGCAGCTGAAGAAAAAGTAAACCCCAGTTTTTCTTCAAGCGTCTCCAGTGATGGTCGCCTTCCCTCTAAGCAGGAAGGACGGGACATTGTTGACATCTCAACTGCATAATAAACATAGAGATAGAATGCCACGGTTACTTCTCTGTTTGATTAGGAGTGGGATACGCAAGATGTCAATGTCATCACATTGCTTCATATTCAGAAATGTAACTGAAAAAGGTCCAAGCATTCATTAATCTTTACCCTAATGCATGGGAAAAGTATGTCAAGTGAACAACCACGATCATCCCTGCATGTGTAAATAAAGCATCCATGTGAATCAAGCCTGGATCAAATACTGTTTCTAAGATCCTGGACATGAAGTGGTGCAGCCTTACATTGACCAGTTGTATTCAAAACTGGACCGCATATATCACCATTTTGCAGGAGGCATTGTCCATAGTTTACAACTAATAGTTAGTCAATGAGCTCTGTCTCTTCAGAACAGCGTATTCGGACGTGACTTTGAGAGAGACGCACTTCGGATCACATACCTCTCGTACATCTTCATTGAAGTTGAGGAGAAATGGCCGCATCGTGGCTTGCGTGGATAGAAATTGTAATGTAGAGTTTGAGTTTTGGACAACAGATACTGAATCTAGATTACTTTACATGCAGCGAGTCCTTTTACGAGCCTCGATTGTAATAGCCTCCACCTATCTACTCGTTGTTCAAGAGTTAGTCTACTCAGCATCTAGTCGACAAATCAACATTCAGAAGACACATTCATCTTGTCAGGAAATAATCAGAACTCATTCGCTCGCTGATGACTGGATCTGGGTTCAGCGTCGTCTACATGCAGACTGCTGAGGAACAGCCATGTGTCACATGTGCAGGCAGCCAAATCCCGTCGTCGTGTGGTTCAGTCTTCTGCAAACGCCTCGAGAACATTCAGCCAAAGATCGAGCATTCTACCATTTCGGCCAACTTCCGAGCTATTTACTACTTATTTATTTAGATAACTACTCTTGGGACGAACAACCTACAGCCACCACTTGATATGGTGGCTGGCCAGAGAATCAAAGACTAGCAGCACAAACAAAGAACTGGGAGGTATTTCATCGCAATAGGTAAGAGCAAGGAACGCAGGGGCAGGTTTTCTAGAATAATAGAAAATTATTGACAAGCAAGGGAGATTGGTCGGCTTGATCGTCCGTTAAGAAATCGAGCATGACCTGTCAAATTTGACCTTCCTTAGCATGTAAGTCTTAATCTCAGGCAATTTGGCAAGAAAGAACTTGCTAAGACAGTCAGCTTTTTGAGTGTCTGAGATTTGTCGATTAACTGAACAGACAAAGGAATTCCATCTGAGTTTAGCAAACATTGACAGAGCAAGCTGGGCTGTATCCGAATAGATAAGTGGACGGAATAAGATGGGAAGTATGATGTATCACATTCGACAAATGATTGATCCACCGACGGCATTTGAACCTTGCCTCAACCTTATCGAGGAAGGCTCAGGCCTTCTTGAATTGTTCAGACAAGGCTGTGGAGGTCCAGCAAGGGCAAGCTGGTAAAAAGAAGTAAATTGCTCAGGTTGACAGGGATTTCGATCCACATTCGGGCAAACACACCAACACTTGCGTCATTTAGTACCTGTCAACCATGACACGCATCGATAAAGAACTGCTCTATTTATGCTTTGCGCTCAGTCGTTCGATTCTCGTAGTGATCAGCATCAGATCATTTTCCCCAAGTTATTGCCAGAATTCCTAACCCCTCCAGATTGCGAAAACGGCGCAATTCTGGTGCCAGATCGGCCTCCCGCAAACTCGGCGGTCAGGTCTATGGGACAAACATGATGCTAGCGTGTCAATAATGTGATGTGTGAGTGACCGATATTGAAACTTTCGGGCCCTGCAAAGCTTGATGGAGAAAGACGAAGAATGTGACCGGTCTGGCAGCGATGACTGCCGAGTATCTATCTCTCCAGGGAAACATTTAATATGCAGCACCGTTGCCATCGTCGAGATGGCTCTGGTGATTTCAAATAATTGCAGCCGCCTTGCTCGTTCTTCAACGGTCGATTCAATCTAACCCTCGTTTCTTTCCTTAACGTTCTTGCAGAACATTCGGACAGACTGCCCGCCATGTCACTCGATCAGGTGTCCGGCAATGGCACTCAAGGTGACTTTGAGCATCCGAATCAGAATCTGCGTCGCGGTATTATCATTGCGCTGTACTTCGCCTTCATCCTATCCACAGCGGCCGTTGTCTTGCGCCTGGTGGCAAGAAAGATCAATGGAACGAGGTTGTACCTCGATGATTATCTGATTATCGTGGCCTTGGTATGATCGATCGATCGTATTTGGAAGATTTGCCACCAGAAAGCTAATTATCGCCAAGTTGTTCAAATATGGGTGCTCAATAGGAGTGACCATTCGTGAGTTGTCCGCGCTGTCTGCGAGTTCGATTGCTGACCAAAGGCAGTCCTGTTCAATGGCTTAGGATCGCATATAGACATGATTCCTGAGAAGAACCTGGAAGTTTACTTTCAAGTAAGTACGCGATTTGAATTTTGCACGACGACGAGCTCTGACATGACCGGGCAGATCGGATGGTCCAACTCCTTCGTGTACACCGCATGTATCCTCTTCATCAAGCTCTCGATTCTCGCCTTATACAAACGGCTCTTTTCCGTTCCTCGCATGATTATCGTCGCCAATGCTATCGCGGCGTTTGTCATCCTCTGGGCTCTAGGTATATTCCTGGTCGGTGCCTTGATGTGCTTGCCGGTCCAGAAGTTCTGGAAGCCTTCGATCGAGGGATCGTGCATCGACTCAGCCAGTTTCTATTACGGACAGCAGATTCCTAATATTTTGACGGACTTGGTTATTCTCATTATGCCATTGAAGATTGTTTGGGCTCTACCAATCTCAAAGACGCAGAGACTTTTGCTTTCCGGAGTCTTTATGGTTGGAGGACTGTAAGTTGCATGTCCATGTCCAGACGTCTTGTTCCTCGGTAACTAACCGCCCATCAGGACACTGATCTTCGATATTGTGCGATTGGTCGCTATGATTGAGTTCACGAAGGCTGGGCCCGATTTTACCTGTGAGTAATAATCTGTCCGTTGTCTTGCTCTTACATCTAACCATTCATCTCCGCAGACAACCAAATTCCTGTCGTTGTCTGGACATGCATCGAAGCAGCGGTAGGCATCACAGCGGCGTGTCTTCCCAACCTGAAGCCTCTATTCAAAATCGCCCACCGTCAATTTTGGTCTCGGATCGGATCGCAGTCCAAGGAGGAGAATTCCAGAAGATCCCACGGGCTGTCGGATGCTACTACCCTTTACGCTTATGCCACTCAGACTCAGTACAGTCATCACACTGAATGCACTAAAGCATAATCTTTAGCCTTTCTATCTTCGTCCTTTTCGTCTTTCCCTTGCGGTTTATTCATTGCCGAGAAAAGCCGTACTCGCCTTTCGTTGACTTCCCTTCTCTTCATTGATATATACTTTTTCAATCATCATGTACAAACTATACCGACTGGCTATTTGATAAATACATTTGAATTTCAAATACTAGACATGTAAAAACAAAGGAATCCCCATCCAGCCCAAGGGTAGCAGTCCAAAGCGACGCAGAGCAGGCCGGCCGCAGGATACTCCGGCATGCCGATACCAGCTCCGTCTACAAACCAAACTCAGTCTTATACCTAACAAGGTACCCGAGGACCCTCCGTTACACTCTTAATATGAACAAGTTGTGCTAATATAACTCTATCACCTTCGTCATATTATGACCTATTCATGAAAACATGCATATCAGTCCTATCCATGTTCCAAGGCCTACGTCATCCCGATGTCACCTCCGGTCCTTCCTATATATGCCAGAGGACAACAGCAATTTTGACCTTCCTCCCTCTCTATCAACATTACGCTCAATCACCTCCACAATCAGATCACCATGACCGGAAAAAAGATCCTCGTCATCCTCACCGACGCCAAATCCTTCCCGCTGAAGAAAACCTCCGGTCCCGATGCCGGCAAAACAGTCGAACACCCATCAGGCTTCTTCCTCATGGAGCTCGCCAAACCTCTCGAGAAAATCCTCGCCGCCGGCTACGAAGTGACCTTCGCCTCGCCCAAGGGCCACGAGCCCGCCCCGGACCCGCTCAGCGAGTCCCTCCTCGCCTTCGCAGGCAACTTCTACGAACGCCAACGCGAGAACGAGCTCATCGATCGCATGAAGCGCGAGAATGGGTTTAGTCGGCCCAGACCGCTCGGCACCATTAGCGACGCAGAGCTGGATTCCTTCGCGGGGGTGTTCATTCCCGGAGGCCATGCGCCGCTCTCGGATCTAGGCGGCGATAAGGAGGTGGGTCGCGTGCTGCGGCATTTCCACGCGAAGAAGAAGCCCACCGCGTCGCTCTGTCATGGTCCGATTGCGTTTCTGAGTACGAAGCAGGCGGGGGATGGGTCGTTTATCTATAAAGGGTATAAGATCACGTGCTGGAGCGATGCGGAGGAGAAGGTCATGGAGACGATGTTGGGTGGGGAGATTAAGAAGGTGGAGTCGTCACTGCGCAATGAGGGGGCTGAGATGGTTGAAGGGCCCGGGGAGAAGGTTGGGAGTATCACTGTTGACCGTGAATTGGTAACGGGGGGCAATCCTCAGGCGGCGAACGCGTTGGGGGATCAGTTTTTGAAGATGCTTAGTGTTCATTGAGTGTGTGTACGTGTACGTCCCGATTGGGAGCCGAGTCTTTCAATTCGATGCCGAAACCGTGCTAGCCCCTAGCGTTGAATATCTTGGAAGCAGACATGCATCGGAATGTGGCCATCCCTGTTTCTATTTTGGTCTCTTTCTTATCTTATCCATGCGTTATCATATCATCTGCTTATCGATAAGCCATTTTCGGATGCCAATCATGTTTCTTCTTCTGGCGTTACAATCAATGATTTTTACATGCTAGAGTCAGTTCTGCATGACTAGACATCGTATAATTACTGAATCAGCTGTTAACTTAAAGTTAAAATAATAACTACAATTTGAAGATGCGCTGTACCTGCTTTCAATCATGAAGGCTGTATATCTCTGTGCTTGGCTGACGGACGGAACGAATGCGGAAGAATGCTGCTGTTGACTTGGCAGATCATGCAGATATCGCACTCAACCACTTCAATATCGAGCTCTTAAAGTACATTTAAACATGGATTTTCCAATTTTTGAGAGAGGGGAGGAAGTATGCAACCTGCTGTTCGATTTCCTGAAGACCAAGTTTGGTATCGAAGAAAGTCACAATGCATTTCTCGACAAGCAGTGTACTTCTATACCTGATCGCCTCGGCATCATGTACAGCAGCGTCTCCTCTGTTTATTCAGCATTCAAGAAGGAAGCCTCTAAGCACAAGCACCTGGACACCATCAGCATTCACAAAACCAACCACAAACGAGGTTGCAAGTACACCATCGCATGTCCTTGAACTTACCAAGATCAACAACAAAGGCAACGCCCGCAGCGCAGTCGAGCTCAACAGCCAAGTTAGAACCGGGTCTGCAAATCTAGTCTCCTTCGCCGAAGTAGGCGGGTTCGCAACATCGATCACAATCGGCAACCAGACATTCGAAGTCGTCATCGACACAGGGTCCAGCGATTTATGGGTCGTGCGAGACGGGTTCACATGCATCAACCCTGAAAGCAGGAGGGAGGTCGCACAGTCAGAGTGCGGGTTCGGGCTGGCATACGCACCTAATACCACCTTCCATGAAGTCAGCGGCGAGTTTCTGGACATCAAGTACGCAGACGGGGAGATTCTCTCCGGCGTCATTGGGACTGAGAACGTAACATTAGCCGGCATCACGGTCAACCAGACTATTGGGGTTATAGATTACGCGGGTTGGTATGGCGACGGTGTTACGTCGGGCTTGATGGGTCTTGCGTATTCTTCTCTGTGGGTTAACCGGTCTCATTGCTATGATTCTGTCTACTGATGGTGTGAATAGCGCGAAGGCCTACACGACAGATTATAAGCAGCCAAGTCTCTATAACCCCATTTTCGCGACCATGTACGAGCAGGGCCTCATCAATCCTGTCTTCAGCATGGTTATAAACCGCAATGCTTCCAATGGCACAGCAGCTGGGTATCTGACACTCGGTGGATTGCCGCCTAACGACGTCAAACGGGATTTCAGTACCACGCCTATCCTGATCACGAACATCAAAGGCTATCCGAAGGATTATGATTTTTACACCGTCAATATTGATGGAGTGGCGGTAGGCAACAGGAGCTTGCCAGAGGCTGGTGGCAACATTCAATATCTCGTAAGGATGTGCCGTTCGTGGACTCGGGCCCGACTAACAATCACAGGTCGACTCAGGCACCACGCTCAACTACTACCCAAACTCCATCGCGGATGCTATCAACGCCGCATTTATTCCTCCAGCGGTGTACAATGATTACGATGGGGCATATGTGGTGGATTGTAACGCAACAGCGCCAGTTCACGGTGTCACAATTGGGGGTTCGACTTTCTATATTAATTCAACGGATATGATATTACCAGGCGGGACAGATAACTCGGGAAACAGAACCTGCATTAGCGGGATCAATGCTGGGGGAGATGTCGGGCAAGGTATATTTGTCCTGGGAGGAACGTTTTTGAGAAATGTGGTGGCAGTGTTCGATGTCGGGGCTGCAGAGATGCGGTTTGCGGCGAGTGCATAATCTTGGAAAGAACTGCATATAGAACTATAGATATAGACTGTTTATAATTTGTTTAGTGTGATATATTGTTCAACATAATGCATTGTTCAACAGGGTCCTATGTATTGTCTGATGAGACTTCCGTTATAGCTATCCTTTCATGTGGTCTGGCGCAATCAGAGATACATGGATCTGGTAATCATCCCACATGCTGGACGGTAGCCGAACCAATCTTAATCTCGTCCCCCGTCGCCTGCCTCTGCTTGATCTGTCGTTGTAATTCCTCGTCCTCATGCTGGATATACTTCAGTGGCCGGCCCGTTGAGATTGCATCCGCGTCTCCCGTTACGATCAGCGACGGGTTTGAACGGTAGTATGCGTCGAGGTCCTCCAGAGTCCGGTTTGCTAGAGATCGTCAGCATCTTGCGGATGGGTGACTTAGAATTACACTCACCGGTCTCCGGGTACAGATAATATATGATCGGAAGAGAAACCGCGTTGGTGATTGTCCACACAATCCAGAATTTCCACCCGATGTTCTGTATCCCGATAGGTGTGATTTCGACAATGACAAAATTCGTGATCCTGCATATTGTCAGTACGAGGCAGAATCGCGAAAAAGAGGACAATGGCATACCAGTTCGTTGCGGACGAGACAGCCGCACCTTTCGTCCTCATAGGAAGCGAATTGATCTCTGTCGGATACAGCCAAGGAACACCCAGCATGCCAATTCCAAATGCAATGTAATACAGAAAGAAGAATGCGACTGATGCGGTACCATACTTTGGGTCGTTCTCGGCGAATCGAAGGAGGATAGTGATGATCAGGAAACATGCAAACTGGCCAAAGGTCGACATCAGCATTAGGCCCCTTCGACCAAACCGCTCCACCATGATGACTGCCACACAGGCGAACACAAAGTAGGATGTCGCGTTGCAGGCGCTGAGGAGGCGCGACATGCTGTTTGACAGGCCGACAGAGTTAATGAGCACCAGGGGTAGGTAGTAGGACATGATATTAATCCCTGTACATATTAGCCAGTCTTCAGCATCTTGGAAGGAAACTCATACCCTGAAATTGCTGTAGAGCCTGCGTTCCCGCACCAAGAAGTATCCGTCGCAATGTTTTGGTATCATTTGTTTTTTGACGGCGTAGTAATAAATCAGTCCAGGAGACGGCATTTTCGCGTTCGTAGTTGATACTGTATTCGATTTCGTTGTACTGGGTGATGATGTACGGATCATCGGCTGCCTTGGCCTCGATGCGGGAGATGACATCTAGTGCTTGCTCATTGTGTCCGTGCGAGAGAAGCCATCTAAAGCGTATTAGCAGCCGATCGTCGGGTTGAATTTGCAACAGCCAACCTTGGGGACTCAGGAAGCCATGGTACAGTCGCGTAGAGGATGAAGATGAAGAAGAATTGCAGTGCGATGGGCAGCCTCCATGCGAGCGCACCACCTTTGAAAGAAAGCCCGTAGTTGATCCAATTGACAAGCGCAAAGCCAGAGACATTTAGTGCCATTTCCAGAATGACCAGCTTTCCTCGCCATTTGACGGTGGCAGTTTCGGTTTGCCATACGGGGGCCGTGGAGGTGTTGATTCCGTTGCCAATACTGCAGATGTCAGCGCTGTGCCATTATACGAAGGTCGAGTATAGTCTTCTCACCCCAGGATCACCCGGCCGACGAACATCTGCGCCAAGCTGTAGGAACTGGCTTGGAGGATGGTACCGACTGCCATTATGGAGGTTCCCAGGAGAATGGACTTCTTCCGACCGAGCCTTTCGGACACGATGAAAGCTAGAATCGAGCCGAGAAAGCAGCCGACGTCGTAGATGGCTGTAACGGTCGATAAGGTTTTCGTCTTGGTCGGCCCGACAAGATCATGGACGACTAGAAAGTCCTCCGTGACGACGACTCCGCCTAAGGAGACTAATTAGCTCATTCGTAGTATGAACTGGCTCGTGAACATACTAAACACTCCCTGGTCATAGCCGAACAATGTCATGTCCGTAGCACAGGCAATCTGCTCAAGTCTTAGTATTGAATTGATTTCGATTTCTGGGTACTCACTGTGATCCAGAGGGTGAGCCATCCTCCGGTGAGCCCAAAGTAGGGCTTCTTTTCGTGCTTCGGAGTTACCATATTTCGCTGCATTGAGCTGCGGGAGAGAATACTTCGTAACCTCGATGATCCTGTCGACAAATGGATATGGCACTCTTATATACCACCACAGAAAGGACAAAGAGAAGCGATCTGCACGACCAAGACCCACAGTGCAGGTTTCGCAGTGTGGATTTGGGGTAACATCCTGTGTCAGCATCTTTAGCCGAACATGGACATGGTAACATGGTGTCCGAAGCCTCTGTCAATAAGAGAAATGTTTTGAAATGATATGATTTATGAGATAATATTGTAGGACATTGCAATTTACAGGGAACTGCAAGTAGATAGTCTGTACACCAATCTCAAGTCGTCCATAGTGGAAGAACAAAATGTAATAGTCTATGAGTGATCTTCTTGCCTCTACCCGGATTGCGGAACAATTATTGTTATGACTTGCGGGGGTGACACTCCCGGCGCTGGTCAAGCCTTTTGATAAGGATTCAACCACCCTTTGGTTGCCATTAACTCTAACTCAAATACCGTGAGCTAGGCCAGTATGATCACTCATAGATAGCCTCTCAATCAAGTGAATGTCCCATTTCTGGCCTTCGGAGTAAGCCCGGCCTGCGGGGTACCCCAGAATGCCCTTCTCCAGGTTTCCCCCGCCAGGGATCGCCCTGGTGTTGCCGGATCCGGCAGGTGAAACGACAGATCCGGAGCACACTTTAGCCTGAATTCCATACCCAACGGAGTACAGTCCTGCGTATGAGTCGGAATAACTCCAACGGTCTGCTGAAAGCATGGTGTCATGTTAGTTGTGTGATTTACTGATATCCCAGCTAGCGTACGCGGGTAGATTGATAATACTCCTTGGAAGTCTTCTGGGCGACGAACATGTTATGAACTGGTTGAACCTCGTACGGTACAAGCAATGACATCAGAAATATAACCATTATATAGCACCAGGATATCACATACCAGCCATCTCGCCTGTAAATACGCTCGCTCTGAACCCCCGGGTTTACTCAAATCCGGACACCATCCCATCAAACCTACCCAACTCCCAGCCAAGCATCACAGCTCCGACAAAATCCGTAACCCCCAGCGCGAAAAACTCCCAGAACCCCCCCTCGCTCATGCGCCGCCCGCGCAAGAGAAGATTCACACCTAAAGCAGTGGAGACAAACAGTCGAATCGGCACAGTGACGTGCAGCCACTGATTTTCTTCAATCGGCATGTACGAGCTCAGGAAATACGGTAGCTGCAAGGCACATGCTACGACACCGAGGAGGGCGTTGGTGTCTGCGATCCGAGGGGTAGAAGGGGCTGGCACAAATACTTCGCGTCCAGTGAGGTGTTTCAAGGGCGACTTGCGAAACAGCGAGACGTAGAGGCCCAGCCCTAGGACGGTGGTGCTCGTAAGTAGCACATGGTGTGGGAGGTTGATTGGGCGGAGAGTGAACATTGATGATGGTGGTTGCAAAAACGGCTACAGTTATCAGAATATCTGCGCAAGATGGTCGTTGGAGTTGTTGGGGGAAGGTGTCGTGTATATATGATGATTTTCATCAGGTGAGTCAGATTCGAATACGAGGATCGGGATAAGTAGGCTGACTTCGTCAACAGGTGCCTCCGCAACGTCCCGAACGGACCCAGCTGTACATCTCACCAATATACGACTGACAAGGGGGTTTCTATTGAAATACGTACCAAGAATCAAGATCCAAATACGGGACGAGGCCTATTTGGTGATCCTGTCGATTCAAGGTACGGCACACTCGGCGAAGGGACGATGCTAACGAGGAGAGATAGGCGTATGGCGCTCTGATCACGACTATGACGATATACTTGTGCTCTCTCTCAGGAACTAATCAGGTATACTTAATCCGATCTGCACAGATGCAAGCCTTCCATGTTGAAGACGCCAGGAATGGCAATGCCGCATAGTACCGCCATAGCGCCAAGACCTTCCCGATTAGGAAGCCAGTCTCCTATTGGTTGGATTGCCAATTTGAGGATACTGAGGTAGGTCATGTCAATTCAACAAGACAATCAACTCGGATTTAGATCAAAACTCCGTTCGTAGCAGTGTTGTTGAGTCCGTAAACGCCGATGATATGGTCCCAGATAACTCAGGGACAGAGCTATATAATCCAGCCGTTGCCTTATCCACAGAGAGATGGGAGCAAACAACAACTTCATTTACATTCTGACCATCATCACTTATCAATACCCGATCTAAACGTCATGGCTTATGCGGCAGCTCAAACCCAACGCCGGAATCTCCCGCTTCTAGCTACCGCTGAAATCTGCTCTGGTGGTACCTACATTGTGACCGGCGCTAACACCGGCCTAGGCTTTGAGGCTGCCAAGCACCTGGTCAGGCTCAAAGCTGCAAAGGTTATCCTCGCCGTACGTAACATCAGCGCGGGTGAGAAGGCTAAGAAGGATATCGAAGAGTCAACTGGGAAAACAGGTGTTGCTGAGGTCTGGCCGCTCGACCTGGCAAGCTATGACTCTGTCAAGGCATTTGCACGGAAGGCGACTGCAGAGCTTGATAGGATTGATGCTGTGATTGAAAATGCCGCTGTTGCAGTCTCAGAGCGCATCCTCGCTGAAGGTCACAGCCTGTCTGTCACTGTCAATGTGCTCAGCACGTTCCTTCTTGCGGTGCTTATCTTGCCCAAGATGCGGGAAAGTGCGGAGCGATATGGAATTGTACCCCATCTGACACTCGTGACCAGTCGGGTTGGATTTGATGCTAAAGATCTCTGGGATAAGATCAAGGATGATCCGGTGAACAAGATGGATGGAGATGGGATTCCGCCGATGCGCACGTAAGTTTTCAGCAGACGCATATAGAATTCTTTAGCCGGTGCTGAAGTCAAGAAATAGCTACCCACTTTCCAAAGTCTTGACAACCATGGCATCACGTTATCTTGCAACTCTGATACCGGTGGATCGCACCGGAGTTGTGTTGAATCTGGTCTGTCCGGGACTTTGCAAGACTGACTTGAGCCGTAACGCACCAGCACAATTTCGGGAGGACCTCGCCAAGCGGCACGCAGAATATGGACGGACTGCTGAGGACGGCAGCCGCACGCTTCTTCATGGGGCTGTGGCAGGAAAAGAGAGCCATGGGTGCTTGCTCCATTCCTGTGAACTTGGAGAGTAAGTCGAGTATTCCCTCATGACCTGGGATGGCCGGTGCTGATAAAGATCTGTGTTCAGGAATGTAGTGCCAAGTTGGGTGACAGACGACGAAGGAAAGAAATGGCAACAACACAGCTGGGAAGCTATTGCCGAAGTGCTGGAATCCATTGAGCCTGGATGTGTAGAAAGGATCATGATGAGCACCAAAGCTTAAGCCCTCTTCCATAGATTTGAAAACTCAGATGAAGGGCAACTGTTATGATCAATTGACTGTCTTCACCGGAGAATATAGAGTAAAACAGCAAGGTTTTCAATATCTTTCATTGTCATTGCTGGACACAGTAGTATTTCGATATTCGTCTCAGTGTACCTATGCGGACAAAGATTACCCCATCTCACAACTTTCAGCCTAGCGAGATTGCTTCTCTTCATCCTAGGAGCAGATGAACCGTTTGCAGGCTGAGCCCGGCACAGAGTAGTGTTCGCCGGCGATGGTTTCAGGGGTCTCATCGATGGGAACTCGCATGCAATGTGGCGGTGCTGAAATTTGAAGTTCAGTTTTTCGGCAATGAGTTTACGCGAGATTGATGCCAGAGAGTCTTCCCAGCAGTATCGTGAACTGCGTTGACCCACGGGTATTTCGCAAGCACGTCCTGGACTTGTTCCCATGTTCTCAATTTCAGAGTATCGATAGTCTCCTTTGATTTCGAAATCCACGTAGGATGAGTCCCCAGCTGGGACGATGACGCTGCTCCAATATAAAGCATCCAGAGTAATATTTCCCGAATATCTAGTCCGTCATCTGCAAGATCCTGAGCGACACTGAGAAGTAAGTTAGAGAGAAGAGCGTTATGAGCAATACGATGATCTAGTCCCGGCAAGAATGTAATCAGAAACGCAGTGAGACCTAGATGGATTGCGTTCTCAATCGGGCACTTGGGACGACACCCACCGAGGGTGTACATATTCCCCAAACGATAGCCAAGGACGAGCAGATCACTGTGAAAAGCGCAGGACTTCAGCTTCGGACCCACTCCGTTAGTTGCGTCATTGAGCATTGAAGCAAGGGATGTCACTTCAATGAAGATATCTTGAATATCGCGGCGCAGACTTCCTATCAAAGGAGACTGATAGGAGTTGCTGGAACCCGCATGTTTGTGCCGGTTGTCTCCGTATAGTTCATTTATTATCCTGTTTTCACTGATGGCGTCCTCCAGGCTAAATAGTGTCGATGAACCCAGCTGCAGAGCATACTCAAGATCAACACTACAATGGTCAGCATGGTCGGCAGATGTGCAGTGCCGCTGAAGGGCATACCGCAGCATTTTTTGAACAAGTATATGATGGCTCTTCGAAACCTGCAACAGCCCGCCTTGTAGTTGGACCATTCTTCGTAAAGCTTGAACGTGGACAAATCCTCGTCGATATTGGTTCTGATGGCGCTCGTACTGAGCCATGCTTACTATAACCGCCATGGTCGTATCGCTGATCTCTTCCTGGAGGGAAAGTCGTTGATTGAGCAAACGAAATGTGTGGGATATGTGACTCATGGCTTGCAGGATACCGTCTGGCCTGGTGACCAGGTTGTTGAGGCACAGTATGGAGGTTGCAACGGCGCAATGAAAGCCTGCCGTGGAGAAGTCAGTCTGAACTATTACCATGTGGCGTCATTGGACTTCTGGACCCACAAGCTTGATCGATAAATATATACCGCACAAACATCGAAGAGGCCTGACCAGCAGAGTCAAGGGCTTTGCTCAGTTGAGGCACGTATCGTGTGGCGCACAGGAATCCAACGACTGCATGTTGGACCAGGTCAGTAGCACAGTCTATACAGCATTAAGCGAAGGAGATGATCATACCTCTTTTCACAAGCGCCTTTGATTCCCCAAACAGTGGCACTGGAAAGACCAGCCCATCGTCTATCGGCCGTTCAATCTGAGAACTTTCTTTCGCCGGATCAGGCCCCTTCCTTATTATGCCAGGTAGACCAAACGAAGATATAGTCGTCGTTGACGCGTGTTTTCTCGATGATCGCACGATTATTTTGCCTTTATTCTTTCCCTTGGCTGCATGGCGACGAATCTGCTTTCGAGCGGCTTGATCGATGCTGAGTTTGTTGTCAATAAACTCAAAGGACATCCTGATTGTCTAGGATACAATATAGCAATACAGTGTACTTCAACAATAAAGAAGGGAGTGGTAAGAGAACGAATGATGATTTGGTGATTTTCTGTCCTGGTGAGATTGAGCTGTCGGAGTTAACGGAGCTAATCACTAGAGGCGTATCCTTTAAAGCTTACACACGACTCCTGAAATTTCGTTTGTTTTGTCGTCCAGAAAGTCACAGGGCTGGTCTTAAGTTGACGCTGCCTCAGAGAAAACTGAAGTGAGGACGACTGTCTGGGTCTGGGAGTACACCTCGCCATATATAACTATGGCTTCCTTGTTGCCTTGAGCGCTGAGTAGCCTCGGTGACATGGTTACAACTAACCATCTACCAAGTCCCCAGTTGGTCTCTTTGGATTTATATTCGAGATTCGTGAAGAGTGAGTTGAGTCCATGTCATGCTGTATCCGCCAACATAGTAATGTCCGATCGCCAGCTAGGATAATCGGACCTCGTATAGCCTGTCTCTAATGCAACCTCGTTCCGACCTTATGACTCATACGAAGTATATAGTTAGTTAAGTTATAAACACCTCATTATTGAATGAAGCAAAAGTCCTGCTATTCGGAGCCCCTCGCAAAAATGAGTAACATCGCCCTTATCCCCCAGACGTTTCCCACATCAGAAGAACGGGGTAAAATCGTCCACCTGTACAAACGCCTCCGCTTAGCAGGCCTCAATCAAGACCCAAAGGCCTTTTCAGCAAGCTATGAGACTGAAGTGGAGTTTCCCTACGAAAAGTGGCTGGCCCGGATTCAAAACCCGCAGGCACGTACCTTTATCGCCTTGGACGAGGGTGAAACCGTTCCTTCATCGGGCGATGCATTGACCGCCCTTTTGTCGAGGGAATGGCTGGGGACGGTGACCATTGTAGGACCGAAATTCGCGTTTAGCAATGAAATTGATCTCAACGCGCCGTGGAGGATATTTACGGAAGGTGATCGGTATACGGCACCACAAGCGGATGATAGAGACGTCGTCGCCGTGTATATGATTGCTGGCATGTTTGTGCTTCCAGCGTCGAGAGGGAGGGGAAATGGTCGTCGACTTGTTGAAGCCGCCGCCAGACATACCCGAGGCGCTTCACCAGCTACAGAGCGAACTCTACTAGTCCTACTGGTCGAGGCCGACAACAAAGCTGCAAGGAAACTATACGAAAGATGCGGGTTCCAGAAGAGCAACGAGGAAGTGGCATTGGGTGGACAACAGACGGTCGGGATGGTCCTCAACACTGGAAAGTAATGCAATCGAGTGCGAATCGAGCCAACGTTCGAAACGTGCGCCATGATTACAAGGGGCGTATGTTTATCTCATTGGTCAATTGCTTGGAGTAAAGCATTTCCGTTATCGCTGGATCATGTTTGTGAGCACGTTTGGCCCAGTCCTGAAATGGACGGTGCCTATGGAAGCTCGCCAGCTATAGGCGCATCTGATTCTTGCAAGCTTCAATCATTTTTAACAACCTATTTCTATTCAATTTGCATTAGAGCAATAACGACATTACTGAACAACATTCCTACCGCAAAAGCGATCGGAAGATGCTTGTTCTCAACGCGACTGAGATGGCGCAGGAGATTGAGAGGAAAGAGAGGAAAGGGAGACTGCATCAGATCGTTTTGCGACACATGGTGGTCCATTTATTTTGCTACCCTTGCCTACTAATTCTACATTAACTGCGGTCATCATTTGGTTCCGGTGCCTGACCCGCTCTCGTCCCATGTAAGCCCTAGTGTATTATTGTGGTTGCCTGTCCACCGCCCCTCCTTCGCTTTTCTCTGTGTTTGTGTCTCTCTCTCTCGCCTTCATGACGTTCGTTTCTTTTATCTTCCTGTACAACAATTTCCCTAAATTCTATCGGCGGCCGAGATGTCTTCGAGTGGCTCAGAGACCCCTTTCTGGGGCCCGGTTACTGCAAACTCCAAGTGAGTACTCAGCCTCCTGTGCTGACAGCTTCCTTGCAAGTATTGTCAGCTAACTAGTATCGAACAGCTTTTGTGAGGAGGTAGCTATAAATCACAGCACTTGTATATCAATATCCATCGCACAGCTGATTATTTGCTTGATGGTTTAGGACTACATGGTTACCAGATACGCTGCGGAATTCATCAACACCTTGACCAACGTAGTATACAGTAAGCGCTTTCTTCTGTTTTGGGTGAACTGAGAATTCCACTGAAAAGCACGTCCAGTAATCTACGCCATTTATGGGCTGTATCAGCTGCGGCAGAAACCCAATGCTGGTTTCCTTCGCACCGTCCCCTACTTGGGTTTAATGGCAGTGGGCATTTGTTCCGGTCTATTCCACATCAGCCTCAAGTACCACACCCAGATGTGTAGGTTTCCACTATCGATCCCTTGTTCTACTCTGACTACCTTTCCCTGCTCACTCTATTCTCAGTGGACGACCTCTCCATGATGTTTACAACAACACCCGTGCTCCACCGCGTCATGACCGCCAATGCCAGCCCAAGGGTCACAACCATCGTGGGCATGATCCTGGGGTCAACCCTTCTCGCCCTAGTAATTTACCACGTAAAGACTGATGAACTGCTTCTGCACTCTCTGTTCTTTGTTGGCTCCGTAACCGCCATCGGAATTTCTACCATGCGAATGATCAACACTCGCACACGGGCGGGCTCAGAGGCTCGAAGGCAGATCTGGGGGATGGTACGGTTTGGCGCTGGTAATATACTCACCTCACTCCGATATTGAATCTCCTGCTAAGTTTATCGCAAAGTTATATTCAATCTGGGTTACTGGCTCTGGCTGGTTGATGGGTGGATGTGCTCCTACTTGAAAAGCCTCAGGCAGACGGTGGGTCTTCCCTGGGGTTTTTTGTTGGAGCTTCATGGGTGGTATGCACCAGTTCCCTAGATATTTCTAACTCCGTTTCATTCTTCAATAATAATACTGACACCAAATTGGCAGGTGGCACATCTGCACTGGAATTGGTGCCTACATCTTCATCGCGGTGATCGATCATCTTGTATCAGGGGACGATCACAGTGATATCCCCGGATCCCTGGCCTGGCCTGCTCCGTGGGCTGCTCAGTCGGTCTTTGCAGGAAGAGGATCAGACAAGAAACAAGCATGAGCCTATAACTATAGAACACTTGCCATGGCGGCTTAGGGTATTTTCCTTGGCTCTCTGTTCCCCGCCAGGCTATGTGCATTGATCATTGTTGGGACAGCTTAATGCTATATTTAGAAACATGCCAGGATCAACTTTCAAGAGAAATATACCTCAAGAAGTATCTAGTCAATTAGCGCTGAGACCGTTCCTTTAGTTTAGCCTCCATTCCATGTTCATGATAGGCCAGCCGCGTTGGTTGATATTGCTATCTTGTTTTGGAGTGTCATGGAGCTATGGAGGCAAGTGTAGGTGGCATGAACGTAGCCAACAAGGCGACAAAGAATGGATCAGTTGTTGAATTCTCCACAGCCATTAACATGCACCAAATACTGCCACTATCTGCTAGTCTAGTATCCTGTACTACCAACTGAAACTTATATTGCTTACACGATGGATATGGGGCGTGAGATGAAGCACCTAAGAATAATGCCGAATTGAGTTCCTGCATAAAGGATACACACCAAGCGCCTTGGCTGAGGCCGAGACTGAGCCAATATCACAGTGGCATTATCGGTTAGACCGATCAGGTCTAGATACTGGTAAGCTTACAAGCCACCTGTCTAGTGGTGTATTATCCCATCTGGCCATTGACTTGCTATTTCCAATGGACCAATTTCCATCCTCTATGAGTACGGATACCATGATCTCCATCGGCACCCATCGCCTCTACCTCTCCATCGGCGGCCCACCCCGCCGCAACTCCCCAGATCCTATCGTAGTATTCATCGCCGGCGCAGGGGACGTCGCATCGTCGTACTGCGCCGTTCAACGCCTTGTCGCGTCCTTCTCCCCGCTTGTTCTTTACGATCGCTCCGGCCTCGGCCGCAGCGAAATTGATCCAAACACAGCAAACCCCACGGCCACGTCAGCAGCCGCAGAGTTACACACCTTACTCACCACCGCAAACATCCCTCCGCCACTTATCCTGGCCGCTCACTCCTATGGCGCGATTATCGCTAGGGAATACCTCCATTTCTACTCGAGCGATGTCGCGGGGATGGTTCTCATGGACGCCGCAACGGAACGAAATATCGAGTTATTCCAGAACCCGGATTTAGATCTTAATGCCGTGGTTGGTAATCTGAAGTTTGCTGAGGTCACGGGTCTGCGTGCTGCCGCTCAGCTCTCGCGGGGGGAATGGAGGGTCAGAGCGATGGACATTGCGCGGGGAATGGCTACTTCGCAGGCTGAAGCGATGATGCGGGAGGAGGTTTGTCGTGCGCTTGCCGAGAAAGAGCAGTTGAAGAAGCAGGCGCTGGGGGATCGGCCTTTGAGCGTGATTCGGTGTAATGGGTTGAGGGACTACCAGAGACTCTATGAGAAGGCTGTCGAGGCTGGGAATGGGACGGAGGCTCAGCGAGCGGCGTTCCGTGAGCTACTGGAGAAATGGGATGGGATGGATGATGAGATGCAGGGAGAGCAGTTGAGATTGTCTAGACGGAGTCGGATGGTTCATTTACCGGACTGTGGGCATAATGTGCATTTGATTCGACCGGACGTTGTTGCGGAGGAGATTCGATGGGTAAGAGAGCAGATCTTAGGTCCAAAGATAGACTCTTCACTTTGATCTTATGTATCGTTGCTGGAACGCATCATCCCCTGCTTTTAGGCGTACTCTCTTCACATATTGCAATCAAGAGCCGCAAAATCTTTGATTTTCTTGAGTGTCCCCTCGAATTCGGAGGAATCCCGGCCTCCTATATTGATTGCAGCTTGACTGAGTGGTGTCCACACGGCGCGTGCCCAACCACTGATTACCAAGCTGCCCTTCAGGAGTTCGTCCGAGAAAGCCGCCTCATAAGCGACCCTAGAATTAAGGAAACTGGCCTGCAAAAAAGGTTACCTCCAGCAGGCCGCGCCGAAGAAAGTTTTCCGCGAGCGGCGCTTAGTGGTAACTGCCAGTGACACGGGCGTTGAGGTCGACGATGTACTGATCTCCACACCATCTGTCATTATAGCTACCCCTACTGGGCCATAATAGCCTTCTGATGCAGGAAAGCGGCGATCCTCTCCGATATGTCGCGATAGGTTTCTTTGAGCTCTGGCTGCCGCTTGTAGGAGATTGGACAACCAATCCAGTACCCATGCTCGTCTAATTGCTGATCAGATTGCTGGTGCGAGGAGAAACCTGAAATCTGATTCAGTGACATGTTGATATAGCCAGCTTACACATACTCATACTCATCAGCTACTCTGATAATTGCGTTTTTATTTTCCCATCTGGGAGGCTCCAGGTGGAAGGCGAGCAAGTGTGCTACATCATCGAGATACATTCGTATGTCTTCACCGCGAGCAGGAATCTCAAGTAGCGTGCTTCTTTTATTCAATTCGCTCTCTATAAATCAATATGATGTGACTTTACAAAGAGTTTTGTATTAGTTCCCTCCCTGTATCCGGAACAATTGTCTGGTGCTGTCCAAGGGAGTTGTGTGCGAGCTCCGCATTCCAGCGTATCAGAAACAATGAAGGTTCTCGAATATCCGGCGATAACAGAAAATGGAACAGTCAAGATCTGTTCATACTGAGGACTGGTCTCTTTGACTTTGTGATATTTCTAAAGGCCCACCACAGGTTCTGGAACAAAAGGATGGATCAACAGCCAAAGAGGTACAGCAGGAACCGCATAAATCTACGCGCGTCACCCTATGTCCGTCTTCGTCAACCCATACAGCATATGTATCTCTGCCTTTACCGAAGGCCCTCCAAAAATGATGATAGTCGCGTGCTTGACCCACATCATCGCCGAGAGGGTGATGCATGGGAAACAGCTAACGCCACCAGTCCTGACACGGCGTTGTCCTTGTTCGAGGGTGTCTTCTTTTTTATATAAGTTCCTTCTAGGACTTTAAGGCTCCTTTAGGTCTCAATAAACTCAAACTGTCTATCGACTGTCGTTCCATGTGTGGCCGGCTAGTTTGGACACGTACTTAGCGCCGTCTGAAGTGCGATTGTTATCCCCTTGCCTGATTTCCTGTGGTAAAATGGTCTTGTGTTTCTTGGCTTATGACAGGAATGTCATTATGAATGCTCATCAAGCATTCCTAAAAAAATGAACTCTTTGTGTTGTATGCATTCCGGTCTTACCACGGTGGATCGTAGGATCCCAAGTCATTTGGGAAGCTAGACTACACCAGCATACTATGTAGTGTTCATTTTTGACAGCACTTTCCGTGCAAAGTTTAGCTTCACATCACCAACAATGCACTGGTGAAGCTTCAGCTAGGAATATGGTTGGAAAGTTCTGGCCGACATAAATATATTGCTCGATTTAACCTAGCTGATTGAATTCGGGCTTAACTCCCTCTTCGCTAATTCCCGATATCAGGGTGGGTATATATAAAGAAGGCCTAGTAAAATAATCTATGACTAGTAGGAAATATTCTATCCAACAGAAACTAGCTTACGACCCAGGAGATAGGAGCCGGTCCATCTTTGAACCACTCTCATAACCATGCGGTGCAGCGCACCCTCCATGTCCTTTATCTTACCTCCAAGAGAACACCGCCGTCGGAAATTCCAGCCGAGGATGTAGCCGAGAGAGAATCTCTACATTGTCTGGCTCGTTTTCTGTGGTCAAAATTCTGCAGCGTATGATGTCGATCAAAACCATCGAAGTATTCCGCTTAAATCTCCGTTGCTTCACTGCATCTATAACGTCATTGACTATTCACAGGCGGAAGTCCTCCACTCCATAATCGCCAGACTTCGGATCGTACCTACATCTAGCAAAAGCTCGTAGGTATATTCAAGCTCAGGCTGCAGGAGCCCAGTCTCTCCACCGGACTTCAGTCCTCTGATACGGAAATAGGTGACAGCCTGCAGGTGTAAGTGAGTATGACGAGCAATAGAGGGGCGCAGGGAGCTATACACTGATCTTCTTGTTGGAAATTGTCGTTGATACCTGCTGCTCTCCACCGGCGTGACATTCCACTCCGCCTGATATCATGTCCGCCATATTCTTGATGAACTCGTCGCACGAAAAGCAGATCTCTATGGTACTAGAGGGCTATCAGTTCATTTAATAAGAACCAACCATTCTTACTCAAAACTCCATCCTAAAAATATAGTGCAAAGCCACTCCTAGACTCCCGACAGTCAACGTTCCCATAGTCAGTCCAAGCCTCTCAACCAAACTATGGGGCGCCAGAACTGTGTTGTAGACAGGCAACCGCATAATCGGAAACGCACACCAGGGGGCAGTCACATATAATCCTGCGAACAAGACCCAGCAATAGCCGATCAACCTGCAAAATGTCTCATTTCCCAACACGTAACATAACAACCCATTTCCTTCACGAACATATCGCCCTACATAAGACCGTATCGCGTCTTCAAGCATGATAATAAACGGATTGACAGTCATGATGAGCAAGAATCCTGTATGAACAGGAAAGTCGCTCCATATGGCGCTCATATAATGGAACCCTGCGGAGAGAGTGAACATGAGGACTAACTCAGTGTAGCGCTTTACTGCACTATTTGCAGGAAGCCCAAGGAGATTCATAGATATCCCTCGACAGATACTGCACAGCGGCCAGCGCAGATATTGGTGCCAGAGTTGTCTAACAAAGCCTCAATAGGTTGTACTAATTCGTTATCATAGTGATAACTTACCCCCAGAAATTTCGAAGCGTGTATGCATTCATTATACTGCCAAAGAGCGGCGGCCAATCCTCCGGAGGCGTCAACCTGATACCCACCGATATAACGGAGAAGCATCGATAAGCCCAATCTAATAATAGTCTTAAAGTCAATATAAACACGATGGCGATAGCAAGACGCGCGCCTTGTTGTATTGCTGTGGGACTGTAGTAGCCCAAGAACTCCGTGCCTGGAGCATGTGTGAGAGATTGAATCTCGGAAAAACGAGCGAAGTAGCCAAAGTAGAGGAGATCCAGAGCCAGATACTGCCACATCGAGATAGCGGTTTGACGGATCAGAAACCTCATCCGATTAACGCTACAACCGTCTGCCGAAGTGACCCACGCTGGAAATGGCGGGATATTCTTTACTTGCCATTTGGTTCCCACTCCGCGGGTACTTGTAGCAAGTCTGAGAGCGAGGCGAAGCCGAGAGGAAATGTCACAGCGTTTCCCAGCGTTGTTCTTGATCGTGTAAGATTTATCGTCCAGGTCAACGAAGCATAAGAGGTTTATCAGATGGGCGGTCCTGATTGCGGAAAAGAACGTGTGCGGCATGCGTAGGACTGGACTGCTGTACAAGCTCGGCAGACTGGTGATTTCAATGTACAACAGGAGGCACAAGAAAAGCACACCAAAGACTTGATAAAGTGAGTATCTGGCCCTGGTGCCTGCCAGCATGGTTGTAGTAAGTCCACATTGGGCTACTATGCAGTATAATGGTAAAAGCATTTGGATAGATATCCCACAAAGGATTTCTCCTTTGGAACTTTGAGTAGTTAGACTGCAGCCTCTGCCCATCAAATGAGTAGTATACTACGTTCTTATACTGAAGTTAAACGTCTTTCAACTGAGTATTAATAACCCTAGTTTACATTCTCCATAAGCAAGGGTTCATTGGCTGAACTGTACAGGAATGCAACCTGTTGCCCATGCGCTCCGCCCCATCTGTGAGAGGGATGGAATCTCATGTCCCGCGTACTGTACATCTGTACCTATTATTCATGATCTGAACCAATGTTGATTGGCCTTGCGCTAACCTCCTTACCCCTCCTTACCCCTGGGAAAGCATATGCCGAAGACAGGAACAAATTTCTTGTAGTATACCAAACTGAAAACAATTTTCACAATCTGCGCTGTCATCTTGTGTATGCGTGAGCCAACTGTTATATACTCGCCGGGACATTACATTCCTGAACCGACATGATGTCGATTCTAATCTAAGTACGCGACTGCATATCTCCGCTTACCTGCTACATTCTCGCCTAAAACTTGGAAACAGTCTCTAAACATTGTCAGTGTTGGGTATGTATACCTATTACGATGTAACCGAGCAAGCACAGGATAATCATTTCATGGCCGCTAGTTCTACAGCCCATTATCAGAGCCATGTAGATGGATCGATGAGAGGTCTTGTTTGGCCATTTTTCCATCATGTGACTAAGGGAATATATATTCCGCTGTTTTGTGATGTGTTCATAAGACCACTTTTCAGTATGTTCAGAGTCCAGGTCATTTTATGCATCAACTCGTGCACACGTAATTTGGTTAGACCATAAGATAGATTGGCAATTGTCACACAGCCAACTCACCTCAGCTTACGACATTTTACATGGATCCCTTGTCCATCTTAGAATGGCAATGAATGATTGTAAAATCGGTCCCGAAACCAAATACTAAGCTACTCCTCGAAAGTACATTACCTCCTTATATCATCCCAAGAATCCGCCAGGTGGACAACTAGTGGTTTGTGGGTGGTGCTTAATAATTCCTTCGCCCTCCAGTGTTGACCCAAACAAGATACGCCGGTTGTGTTTCTAAATACGCACTGACCTGAAGAATTCATGAACCAGCCGATATGTGACACAGGTCAGCCCCCAGCTGCACCTCTTGCGAGATAAGGTTAGGCGGCCCTGAAGGATCAGCTAAGATCCTTGTGCGGTTTCTAAGCATTAGTAATTAATAATAGAAAACTTGGCGGACATCCTTTGCGATTACTCAGAACAAGATAGGGGTATTAATACAAGGTCAGATCACCAACCAGAAATCAGTGAACTACCAAGAATATCACATAGAGACTTTACCACCATGACATCAACCAAAACAACTGTTGTGATAATTGGTGCTTCCTTTGCCGGGGCACCAATTGCGCATTCTCTCCTCAAAGATGTCTCAACGGTGAAGGTTATTCTGATCAATCCCTCTCCGACATTCTACTTTTCCATTGCCGGCCCCCGAATCATGGCGAAACCCACAGCCTTCCGACCAGAGCAATACTTGATCCCAATTGAGTCGGCATTCAAAAAGTATCCTTCAGAATCTTTTGAGTTCGTTCAGGGACGGGTAACAGCCATTAATCCGGAAGATAAATCCGTCATGGTTGACGGTCAAACGAGCATCCAATTTGACTATCTCGTCATTGCCGCGGGGAGTACCACCCCATCAACGACTCGCAGTGACGTCCCCATCCCCTTCAAGCAGTCCAACGCCGATAATATGGTAACGCTCATCCAGAACGCGCAACAGGCTATCTCATCAGCATCGCAGATTGTCATAGCCGGTGCAGGCCCCATCGGTGTTGAACTCGCCGGGGAAATCGCCGAAGCCGCGCAAGAACAGGGGAAATCAGTAAAGATTACTCTCGTCTCTGCTTCGGACCGCGTATTACCGATGCTCAAGACGTCAGGCAGTAAAGCTGCGGAAAGCCTGCTTACCCAGAAAAATGTGACGATCATCACGTCGCAAGCAGTCACAGACGCGGTTCTGTCCACCAACGGGACGTGGAACTTATTTCTCAGTAACGGACAGCAGCTCACCGCCGATTTGTACATCCCCACAACGGGTGTCCTACCCAACAGCAGCTTTATCCCTCAGCAATGGCTGGACACTGACGGCTGGGTGAAAGTGGACCATGAGCTTCGCGTACAAGGCGGACAGAATGCACCCTTGCCCGTCTACGCGGCAGGCGATATAACCAACAATTCGATGCGCCTCTCCTTCAAGGCCGCTGAGCAGGCTGTGGTTGTTGCTGCGAATATAAAGAACGACATTCTTGGCTCAAAGTACAAGAGGCGGGTGTATGATCAAGGAGATAGCATCATGATGATTGTCCCCGTCGGGGCGTCGGGTGGAACGGGGCAGCTGTTCGGTATGACACCGTGGAGTTTCGTGGTCAAGGCGATCAAGGGGAAGGACTTTTTTGTCTCCAAGGCCCCTTCGATTATTGGGGCAAGTTAATGGCAGGCATGTTGACATTAGCCTCATGTTGTTGATCTATCTATTCGTAACTGAATCCTCTGTCCCTTCAAAGAGCAGATTGATTGTCCGATGGAAGATTAAGGACTCAAGATTCCATTGCTCGAGAATGAGGCGGTCTTTGCTTTGATCTAAATTAATAATTATCAAATGAATAACTAGGCCCGGTAAACTTCTCCGTACTCCGATAGTCATTGTTAACGCAAATTATATAGAATAGCCAGTTTGGAGTCTGCGGTTGAAATTATTCGTAATGAACCTTCCCGTTTACCCTGACAATGGTTCATCAAGCCGATATGCCCAAAATGGGTACCACCAACTCCAATCCAACTCGATCGCGTCAAATAATCTCACAGTGACAACGTTGGTGCCTATGTATGTCAGTATTTCTAACAATGCTTGGTATTGACAGGCGTAAGACTGCGTATCAACTGCTCCCTTCCCTCATCCTGTCTCCGTGACTGAGTGGGTTGAGGACAGAACCACGAGACCACCCTTTGTTGGTAGCTGACAAGATCAGTCTTGAAGCGGACCTGTTACCAGCACGATGTTTTCCCCGCTCCCAGAACCCTTTGGTACTCCTGAAGCTGTCCATTGTGATGGGCAAGTTGGTCGATACAGTGATATATATCAGCGCTCTCCGATTTCAGAAAACTAAGACAGACGATCAGCGTAGTACAGGAAGATATCAAGCAGGAGTAAGAATTAGTGTAGTGCTCAGAATGACGCGCGAGTTCAAATACCTGGACGGGCTTGGGAGCGGAGATTGTTGGTGCCGGTGGGCTGTAAGGTACCCTGCAGTGGACTTGGCAAGACGGACCAAGTTTGGTAGCTACCTTGTCTTACCTAGGCACCTTAGCTTGTACGATGGCACACTCATTATTCCAAACAAATGAGGGAGCGGCGTACTTTATCCCATCATGCCCCGGCTTAGCCCGCCTCCCGCTCAAGGCCGACTAGATAGTAGGTCCTGTAAGTCATCAGATGGTGGAACGCGAGCAGTCCTTCTGCGAATATCTAGAATACAGGTCAAGAGATCTGTAAATGGCCAAGTTTAGTACCAGATCTTCTGATTACAGCTCATTCACATCCCAACGAATTCGCCCCAGATTCTCAGACTCTAGCATTCAATTATTTGGAATCTGTCTCTCATGACCATTCACTTTCTACTCTTAATTCCAGTATCCTTCTTCCGTTATAACCGATTGTTTCTACTATCCTCAGTTCTTCTAACATGGCGACCAGCTTGAACGAAAAAGAAGAGGGTCTCAACCCTGACTTCGAGACTGCTACCAACAATTTCGCCAAACAAGGCCGCCTTAAGCAAAGCAACACACATAAATCTGGTGAATTGAAGTCAGGATCTCAGGTAAGCAGCAGTCTTTGCTAACATCGAACCAAGGAACACTCTAAAAGAAGCTCCAGGAAGCACCACAGTGCCCCAACGAAAGGCAAGAGATATCGACAGAGAGGCGTAGAGACACACCAAAGAATCACTTCCGATGACTCTAGTGGGTCAGATGAGGCACGCTTGCCACTTCCACCCACACAAGATTGTACCACAGGCCATGGTACGAGATGACAGTGGACGTCTACCTCGACCTGCTGATACAGGAGCTCATTTCGTTGGTGGGTGTATTGTCAGCTACCGTGTGCATCATCAGCCATGTCCGGTTTACGCCTACCTTCAGCGAGGTCTCATACACTGCTATAACCGACTGGGTCGTAAAGTCCAGGTCTGAAAAGCCGATTGAGGCAGTTCTGGAAGTTAAGCGCAATTTCAGGTATGCAAAGGGGCAAGAGAAGATCCGCATGCAAGAGACGGCAGAGGTGGCCCGCCCGAAAGAATAGGAGGTAAGTGCTCTAGATACTGCTACATTGGATGGATGAATGCTAATGAGCTAGCTTCTCTTAATATTCCAGGATAATGACGAAGTGTACTTGGAACTTGCGGCAAGTCCCCTCAGCTATAATATCGCGACTACCTGGAGGATACAGCCGCGCCCCCGTCAGTTACACCCCCATGCTAGATGAGACAGTGGTAAACCTGCACTTAGTCCTGTTAATACAGGAACTAATCAACGTAAAGAGGTGATCCGGCCTCCAGTGCACGGTTACACGTGTACGATGTGTGCCCCAATTCGGGACACAATCGTACACGGCCATTGTTGATGGCGTGGTGCGGACAAGAAGGACAGACCAAGTTCTGTCAATCTTGGAGGTCCAACCGGTGTCTAGGTTCAATCAAGCTGGCTCTTGTCCAGATGCAGGAAACCGCTGAGACCGTTGGATGGCTCAAGCACCAGTCGGGAGGAGTTCCGGAGCTCCGGGGAAAAAGGTAGATATACCTCACTATTAACGTGATTTGTATAGATACATGGCTAACTGATCAGCCGCCTCATAATATACCAAGGCTACGGGGAGGTATTCCTCACCTTCATGAATCCAGGTACTCAGCGTAATGAGTACCTGGGAGGACACAGCCGACCGCCACCCCGACGAATTCCTGACGATGCAAACATTTGGGCCATGGCGAATTAACGAGGAGCCTGAGCTCCGGAGCCTCTGCCTGACACTGCTGGCGTTTTTGTCAGCCGCGCAGGAGGTGGCCAACTAAGCCATCTTCTCCATCTGCCCGGCCGTTGCGTGGAGTGGATGGAAGGTTGTTTTGTTGGAGCAGCGCGGGTGGCTTTCTCAATTGATTCCGAAGCTTGATATTGCAGACTATGTGCACTGGCGTTGAGAATAAGCTACGTCCAACCCGCATCACAGTAATCAATATTTCCGACCCGAGAACTATTTGATGCACCGTTTAGCGATAGCTTCCAGATGCTCCTCATCAGTACCGCAACACCCCCCAATAACCTTGACATTAGGAACCAACGGCATCACGCCCTCAAAGCCATCCGTAAAGACAGAAATATCCCCCCGATCAAGGGTCTCAGTATTATCCAGCTCGTCATGACTCTTCAGACACGCATTCCCCTTGATCAATCCAATTCTCCCCCGCACAACCTCCGGCACATCGCGCAACGCCGCAGAAATCCGCACCGGATGCGCACAGTTAACACCATAGTACACCACATACCCGCCCGTCTTCTCATCAACCGTCTGAATCGCGTCCTCCAAGCTCCGCCCACCAAGCAACCGGCCATCAGACTCAATACTGAACGACACAACAACCGGCAACCGCACCTCCCTCGCCAACTCCACCACCGCAATCGCCTCATTCAAATTCGTCACCGTCATAATCGCCAGCATATCCACCCCCGCGTCCGCAAGCACCCCCACCTGCTCCCTGTATCCGTCCCGCGCATCCTCCAGCGTGATCGACTCACTCGTATCCTCGTACGCGTCCCGCAGGGGCCCCATCGTCCCGCTGATCACGACGGGGATATAGTTTTCTCCACCCATAGCTTTATTCCTGGCTTCCTTGGCTAGCCGTACCGCCGCGCGATTAAGCTCGAGGAGTTTGTCGGTGCAGAGACCCATGGGTTGCGCCCAGGGAGTAGCGCCGCGCCAGGTGCGGGTGTCTAGGACGATACCGGTGCCGTTGGTGGCGGCGATAGAAATGTATGAGTTGTAGTAGTGGGAGATGAGTGTGCGGCCGGACTCGGAGTCGACTAGAGGCAGGGAGGAGAAGCATGGCAGGTGGACTTTGTCTTTGTAGACGAGGCATGTTTCCATGCCGCATTCTGTGAGGAAGGGTTTTGGGGAGACGAGTTGCGGGAGAGCCATGTTGACAGAGGCTGTTTAGATTGGGTTACCTGGACGGATAGAGATACTTGTAAGGACAGTGATGTGAAATGTCTGAACGAAAAGTGGAATGAGTGTGGTGGAAATAAAGACCTTGACTGTCTGGCCGCCTGGCGGATATTGATGGATCCCCGCAAAGTGGGGATGACCGCCAGTGTGGAGACTGGAGAGCTTGAACACAAACAATCACGAAACGTCAAAGAAAATCCACATTGTATGTACAGGTTAACACCATAGTCCTCCGCACACACCCCTGTCCTCTCACCAACTCTCTGAATAGCACTCCCCAAGCTGTAGTAGCGAGCAGAACGAGATATCTGTTTACTTCAAATAGTCCCCATTCGTCTCCTGATGAATCACATCAAACATGGGCTTCGCACTGAACCACCCAGCCATCGGAGTCCCAACCGTCTTGTAAGTGAAAGCAGCATCCGCATCATCAATCTTGATAGTCTGTCCGCCCCGTCCCGCAGCTGCAGCATCTGCTAAAAGCTGCGCATAGCAGCACTTTTCCAGCGAAACAAACCAAAAGACTGTCTCCTCAACCGTGCGACCAACGGTCAAAAGACCGTGGTTCTGCAACAAAGCCGCTTTCTTATTCCCAAGCGCTTGAGCAATATTCTTGCCTTCTTCCTCGGCAAGAACGACGCCGTTGAATTGCTTGTAGACAATGTGATCCTGTAACCGTCAGCAGATACCCAAACCCGGCGAAGACAAGCGTACATTGTAGAACGCGCACGAATCCTGAGTAATGATATCCAGCGGTCGGCCCAGCGTGCAGAACGCTCGGCCATGGAGGCTGTGGCTGTGCGCCGCACACACAACATCTGGTCTGGCAGCGTGGATTGCGGAATGAATCATGTACGCCGCGGCGTTGAGCAAGCGGACCTCGCCTCCATCGATGACCTGCCCTTCGTGATTCACGCGAATCAAATCAGACGCCTTGATCTGCGAGAATGCTACGCCAAACGGATTCACCCAGAAAGTGTCCGGTTCGACCGGATCACGCAGCGTGATGTGGCCGGCCACACCTACCATCGTCAATAGCCGAACAAATTCCGGGGACTAATGGTGGTCATACCCTCGTCGTATCCATATTTGCCAAAAATGCGAAACGCGGCCGCTAGACGCCCCTTGAGATACTCGCGCTCCTCCATTTTGTTCTCGAATACTGGTTGTTTCGGCATGGTCATCTTGACCTTGGCTTTTTCGGCGCCGGCCGCCTGGGACGACTCTGGGGATCGGAGGGTGACATTGGAGACGGTTTCTGTGGCGGTTGGAGGGGCCATTTCGACAGTGCTATTTTATAGTAATCTGTCTCTTTTGGATTTGTGAGTGGTAATTGCTGTTGCAGTATATTATATATTGGCGAAGAGTGAGAACTACGTTTGTAATTAGGTGGTGACGTGGTGACATCGACCCCAGATTATGCGGAGTTTATCGCTCCAAGCGGGGTAAGGTCGCTGGGTCCTGAGTCCTGACTCCTGCATTGCCGATCAGCATCCGAGGTTTAGTACCATCAACCGAATCATTGGACCATGGTTATTATATTTACGACGCCGTGGTTTCTACTCCTGCCTATTATATAGCTTCGGTCCAGAGGCGACCGCGTATCTTTCATGTTTTTATCCTTCTAGTGCCCAAAGCGAAAACTGCAAGGTGTCAATATATATCTCAGTTGATCAACAGGTCTATAAGTTTATCACAAAAATCACTCAGGAAATGACCGTCGACTAGCCCATAGATTTGTCCAGTCGCGTGATATTCTCATCCTTCATCTGTTCAACCCACTTATCCTTGCGGACACACCAGATCTCCATCGCCAACTCCCCACATTCATCCCTGTACGGATCATCAAGCGTCCCCGTTTTGATAATAATGACTTCATCCTGACCACTCGGTTCGGACGTAAAGGGCGTCCCGCAGTCCCCGCAAAACATCCGGGGAACACCAGTGCCGCGCTCGCTCTTATCGACGTAAAGTTTCGGCTGGCCCTTGGTCCAGTGGAGGCTTGTCTTCGGGATGGCAATGTTGGCAGAGAAGCCGGAGCCAGTGTAGCGTTTGCAGTTGATGCAATGGCAGAGAATAACCTATGAGACGAGTCGTGAGTCAGTCATGATTGGTGAGAGCTTGAAGACTGCAGGGGTGAATAAGGACCTTGGGAGTTGTGGAGTCGGGGAGATCGATCCGGTAGGTCACGGCATTGCAGAGGCAGGTGCCTGTATAAGACTTTTGAGACATCTTGACTGGATATTGTTTCCAGTTGTTTCGGTTTCCGTCCAATTAATATTTTCTGGAAACGATTCAATGCGAAGGCTGAATAAATATTGGGTGTGCTTCCAGTCAGCAGCAAAGAGTGCTTCAAAAGAGAGTGAGGGGTAGAGTGTTATGTAAGCAGAAATGACAAAAGGGCGTAAAAGGACCCCGCGCTTGCGGACAAAAGTGGAGACAACCACAGGCTTGGGAGTGTCAACATGATAAACAGTCTCGGAAAAAGTAATGCTCTCTCCTGAAGAGAAGTACTTTTAGGCGAACGGCAGTCTTCGGCTCAGATTGTTGGCTTGGGCAACCATGTTCATCAACGCGTCGTACATAGCTCTATCTGCAGCATTCATTGTTTGAACGGACCCTGAGCCCCCCAAGAGGGGCTTCAAGTCCGCACTGCAGACCGTTCCCGGATCGGGCAACACGCCGTTCTGGAAGTAAGCGCGAATAGCCTTGCTCACGCACAGCGATGGTGCGGCTAAGGTGGTGTGCTACTGGAGGTTAGACCCGGAATTGAAGACATTCTTGCTGACAATGCAGGTGATAGAATGGTAGGAGGGATAATGCTTACTCCTTCGGAGTCTTGTTGGAGTACGACTGAACCAGGAAAACTTTCCGACATCTTCTTCGCACTGTAAAATGATCGCCAGTCAGCATAGTGGTGGAATAGCGGAGAGGAATGAGATTGGAGACCTGCTTTCTCAACGGAGTGACTGGATCCAGACTATTGCTCACAAGAAGAAGTGGATGAGATGTATTGCCAGTGTACGGCCCTATCAAGATTTGGTGAGAAAGGAGCGCACTGGAATGATGACCAGTATACCTGTCAACTGCCATTTCGGCCTCGACTTGTGTCCAACGCACCCTAGTCCAGTGATCGTAGCCCAATAATCCCCCAAGGTAAAACTCCGGGCTTTCTGAGATGCCCATGCTTCCTGGAAACGTGTTTGGTCCATGTCACGTAGATATGGGGCATCGGAGCATAAGATTGCCGACATAGCATGGAGTTCGTTCGCCCCCTTCTCAAGACACTCGCCAGACCACGGCCCTGTTTGCAGGCATTGGTCAGATGGGCACGAAGGCGAGCGAGATCGCTGCTTGAAGTCGGCCATCGGAGACCCATCACCCTCGGCCAATGACTTTGCAAAGTGTGCCAGCAAAGGAAATACAAATAGAGGTTGGTACACCGAGTAGCGAAGAACCGATTTCAGATCGGTCCACGTGACGACTTCGGGCCCCCGTGTGGCTGACCGTGCTACTGGCACGGATGCGTTGTATAGGGCCGCTTCTAGTTCCAGATATGCAGCTTTGATGGCTGCAGGACCTCCTTGCCTATAGAAGGGGCATCCATCGAGGCCGGCTGAGTCGCAGTAGAATGCAAAACGGTCGAAGATTGCGTCAGCATCAGCAATCACATCAGGTCCTTCCCCAGTGTAGTACTTGTCGACATCGACCACGGCGTCCAGTAAAACACGCTCCATCCGATCAGGGAACATCGTCGCAAAGGTGCTTCCGAGCACAGTTCCGTACGAACGGCCCCAGTACAGGAGCTTTTCTTGCCCTCTCTTCCACTTGGTTCGTGTCACGATGCTCTGTTGCTGGTCATACCCGTACATGCGATCGTACATCCTCTGTTCAGTCTGACCTTGCCTTTCCCGCCATTCACCGTGTCGCTCAATGATTTCGAGCATATCCCTCGCGACTGGCGGTGTATTAAGATGCTCTCCAAGAGCTTCATCAGTTCCCTCCGGCGTCGACTGTAGTGCCTCGGAACAAGCAGCGCCAAGAGCAAGGGCACGCTGCCAATTGCGCATGAGGGAATCGTGAGAGCTACCCAGCATGCCATCCGCCTCGGCCTGGAGCTCCCAGTTCCTCTGCGAAAATAAATTGGGGAAACAGCTGAACCCGGGAGTCGTGTTGTTAACGCCACGTGGATCAAAGCCTATGATATCAAAGTATCGAGCCGACAAGTGCGCAGTTTTCGTCGGCAATGCAGGATCAGTTTCCGCATCAACGATCATCTGCATGTCCCGACCGAACATCAGAGCCTGTCCGACTCCAGAACCACCAGGGCCCCCTGCCTTCATCAGAGTCTGATATGGAGAGAAAGGGAAAGTCAAGAATACCGGGATTGATTAGAACTGCACCACCATACCGGAAGTCTGTCACCGGGACCTTTGCAGGTAAGCGTGCAATGGCAATAGCCATCTGGCGGCCCTGACCGTTCGTCCGATGATAGTCCATGGGCACCTCAAGTCGGGCGCACTGGAAGCCGTTGAAGCAGTCATGGTATTCCAAAGATTTGGAAGGCATAATCTGCGTACGCTGTTAAACAGAAGCCCATCGAAATAGATTTCCTGTCGTACCTGGTCCCAACTGAACGCTGGCGGCGGTGCGCTCTTCTCTCCGTTTGCTGTTGAGTGATGGACTCCGTCAGGCAGCATCAACCACAAAAAGCCGGCCAATCCCATCAACGCCAGCGCAATGGGACGAGCCTTGTTCCGCCGACCTGGGATAGGAGGAGACGGTCGGGAAGACCCATTCTGCTTTTCCAGAGCCATGGCTACGTTGGTACCCGTCTTGACGTTCTGGAGCGAGGATAAATCCATGATTTCTAAAGATACATCTTGAGGAGTTCGACCTGGAAGGACGGCCTACAATGTCCGAGCGATGGGGATGGCGCACTTTGGGGGCTGAGGTTGCAGCACCTTATCCACTACTGACCATCATCGGCATGAACACCAAACGACAGCGAATCATAACACGATGAATTCAGACGAGGAAGAGGTGGCAGTGACCCACAAATCTGACTGGATCATTGAATTACAGATAGGGCTAGAAAGAATGCGGTTCGGACAAGGCCAATACCCAACAGAGACACCGATCGACCTAAGTGGGGTTATTGTGTCTAACTCGGATCTAGGAACTGAAGTTATCGATCCCCGTCACTGTTATGGTCTCTGAGAAATTTCAATGATTTCCTCCATGGTCTGGTCTGTTCTTGACGCGATCGACATGTCTCGATTAATAGGAAAAATGGTATGATGGACAAGACTTTGACAGTGATAACATCGATGCCAACTGACAAATTCCATCATTCTTGACTCCTGTGATTGTACGACGCGTACCGTGTCGGTCATGTGATTCGACAGTCAGGGTTCGAGCTGACAATACCTCAAGTGGCCTGGGCTAATAGCCGTGTCTCGTTTTAAAATCATATGTATTTATGATCCGCTGATGAGGAGATACTGGGTTTGTGGAGGATCTTAATCCTGGCTCTCCAATCTTAGAAGAGGCAGAGGCCCTCATGATGGCATCTTGTCGCTTGTAGTGAACGTTTTTCGACCATAAACGGAAGCAGAGCTCTCAAGCAAGGCACAGTATGGTTCTATGGCTCTCCCCTGAATAGGCGCTGCGCTTCCGTGGTCCTGAATGTCCTGAATCAACTATTTGTCGATCAAGCTGCAATGGGGCAGTCACTGCTTCGCTTCTGCGGCGCTACTTGACGTGTCAATAGTCCATGCCGATCCTCAGCATCACTTGCTCCTTTCGGCATCCATGGCTTCCTTCCATCTGCAAGTCCTTCTGGACCGATCGCCCGCCACTTTGGACAAAATTCGGACACACGGAGTTGCAATCTTTCGGTAGTATGTCGGAGATCCCTCCCTAGAATTCCATTTTTCTCTTCGCTCAAATTGATCATGATACATACCCTGATTGCTTCTCGCAGCGGGAGATTTACTCCCGATCTGCTGACACTGATCGAAACTTATTATTTGCACGCATCTGGCCTCGATCATTCTTCAATTTTATTCCTTATCTTTTGATAAAGCTTGTCGGTTCAATTTGTTCAATTTCTATGCTTTTGATACATCCGCATTTGAGCATCTTCTCTTTCAGGCGATCTCACTTATTGCCGGCAAACGGCATTCTGCAAATAAAGAAATAGTATGATACTGACTCTACGGAGCAGATCCGGATATCAATGGCCCTCGATACAAATATTGTTCGGAAGAACGACCTG